AATAATAATTATTTTAATCTTAGCTTTTAAGTAGTTTATTTTTTATACTTAGGAGAGAAACTTTTTTTATAATAAATAATAATAGTTATATATTTTTAAAAAATAAATAATTACTTATAATTCTAAAGTAGTATTTATTAATAAGTAATAATAGTATTATTATTATTATTATTATTATTACTAGTTAGTAATATTTTACTAAGTAGTTAAACTTAGAGGTTATTAAGTAGTTTTATTTTTTTAATTTATTAATAGTTTTATATATAGAGGTTATATTTATTATTAAGAGGTTTAGTAAAGCTGCAACAGCTAGGTCAAAGGAAGGCTACGCCCCAGCCTTTATAGTTTTATATATTAGATAATAATTAAAATATATAATTACTATTAATTATTATATAGGTTTTTAGAAAAAAAGGTTATTAAAGTTAAAAAGCTTATTATTTTACTAATAAGTAATAACTACTATTTATAGCTTAGCTAAGGATAACTTATTAAGTAAGTTATTATAACTTAATAACTCTTATTAAATTAAAAGCTATTTATTTAGATTTTATATAAAATAATAAAGTAAAATTTTGATTTTGCTTATATAATACTTTTAGTTTTTTTTTTTTTTCTTTTTATATTTAATTAAAATATAATTATAATAAATAAAATTAAGTAAAAAATAATAATAAATAGTATAAAAGCCCTAGTTTATATATATATATATATATATTTATATTTTAATTAAAATTAGCTTAGTTATTTAATAATGCCCCCCTAAGGTTATGCCCTTGTAGTAAAAGTGTTATGCCCCCTTATTAATTACTATTTTAATTACTAAGGGTAATAATAATTAATTATTTAAGTATTTTAATAAGTAATATAAAGTAAACTTATATACTTAGTTAACTAAGTTAAATTATTAAATAAGTTAATAATTTTATTATAAATTATCTTAGAGTTTTAATAATTTATTTTTAAATTACTAAATTATTAAATAATTTAATAATCCCTTTTTAATTAGTTAATTAATTTAATGTCTATTTATAACTAATTACCCTATAGGCCTATTATTATAACTATAAGACCTAGGTTATAATACTTTAGCTTATAGCTAAGTATAACTTTAAAATTATACTTTATAAAAAATTAAAAAATAATTACGCAAATGCTTTTAGCTATAGAGAAAACTACTTTAAACTAATACTAAAACTTACTTTATTAATATTTTAAGAAATAATAAAAAACACTAGAAGTTAATAATTATTAATACCTTTTTTATAATTAAAAATAAAAACCTTATTTTTAATAAAATTAAAAATAAAGTTAATAGCTAAATAAAACCTTAATTCCTTAATAATATAACCCTTATAAAAGGATTTCCTTATTAAAATAAAAAAATCTAAGTACTAAAACTATTATAATAAAAAGTAATAAAAATAATTTATAAGTATTTATTATATAAATATAAGGGAATTACTAAAATATTATAGTAAGTATAATAATATTATATTTTTATAAAGGTTATATTTATTATTAAGAGGTTTAATAAAGCTATAATAACTAAGTTAAAAAAAAGCTATACCCTAGCCTTTAGTTTAAAATCCAGAATTAATTTATAACTTTACTTAATTAGCTATAGTTAACTAAGTTAAACTTTAAAAATTTAGGCTATAAAGTATAATTAATTAAGGTTTAAGACTAAACTTAAAATATATAAAAAGGCCTAAATAATAAGGTTTAAGTATAATATAATTAACTTTAAGCCTATAATTTATAATTTAATAACTTAATTAAACTAAATAAATTAATTATTTTATTAAGTTATAAAAAGTAATAATAATTTTACTTAAAAATAAATTATATATATAATATAAAAGACTACTTAATAAAATAATATATTATAAAAGTAATAAACCCTTATAATAAAAAATAAGTTAATAATTAACTAAAGTTTATTATAAATAACTATAATAGCTAAAGGTAATAAAAAACTAATAATAACTATTACTAAAATAATAGCTATTATTATAAAAACTTATAATCTTAATATTATTAATATTATAAAAAAGGTTTACTAAAGCCTAAAGAATAAATAAGGTAAAAAAGGGTAACCTAAATTAATTATAAAAAAATAAATATAAATTAACTAGGCTACTATTAAGTAAAAGAATTAGTAAAGTACTAGCTAATAGCTGCTAAATAAAAGTTTAATAATAATTATTTTAATCTTAGCTCTTAGGTAGTTTATCCTTTATACTTAGGAGAAATTATATTTTTATAAATATAAAGAAAATTACTAAAAAAAATTATTTAATTATATATTTTATATATAAAAATAAAATTTAATTAATAAAAACCTTATAGTAAACTATAATTATTACTAATTTTAAAATACTTTTAAAGCTTTATTTTATTTAATTATATTATTAAGCTATTATTATTAAAAAAGCTTATATTAAAAAAGCTTATAAGAAATATAATATATAATAGTATTTTTATTATTATTAATAAATTAAACTCTCTTAAGTATAAAAAATAAACTACCTAAAAGAAATTAATTATAAAAAAGCTTTTATATATAATTACTTTATTAACTTTTTTAATAATTTTCTTAATTTTTTTACTTAGCTTAAGGTTTTTAATACCCTTTAGTTAGTTTAGCTTATACTTTACCTTACTTAGCTTTAGTTTTTTCTTTTTTAAAATTTTTAATTATAAATTTATAATTTTATTAATTATAAATTTAATTCTTTACTTAACTATTTTATTATATTTTCTAAGTTAAAGTTAAGTTATAGCTATTATATAAATTATTTAATAAATTTATATAGTAAAAATATTAATATATATTCTAAGTTAAGAGCTTTGATAATAATTATCTCTTTTAATAAGTAATTAAAGTATATAGTCTTATTAAGTAATTTTTTATATTATATATACTATTTATTTTTAAATAGAATTATTACTGCCTTATATAACTTAATAAAATAATTAATTTATTTAGTTTAGTTAAGTTATTAAACTATAAGTTATAAGCTTAAAGTTAGTTATATTATACTTAAACCTTATTATTTAGGCCTTTTTATATATTTTAAGTTTAATTTTAAACCTTAATTAATAGTTATATTTTATAGCCTAAATTTTTAAAATTTAACTTAGTTAGCTATAGTTAATTAAGTTAAGCTATAGATTAATTCTAAATTTTAAATTAAAGGCTAGGGTATTGCTTTTCTTTAACTTAGTTATTATAGTTTTACTAAACCTTTTAATAATAAATATAACTTTTATACTTAGGAGAGAAAATTAATTATAAAAAGAAAATATAAATTAATTAAGTTATTATTAATTAATAATTATTAAATAATAGTTTAATAATAATTATTTTAATTTTAGTTTTTAAGTAGTTTATTTTCCTTAATTAGTAAAAATATTAATTATATTAAACTTAGTTTATTATAATTTAAATTTAAAAATCTTTTAATTATTTTAAGTATTAATAATTTATTAATACTTTATTTTATTAAATTATAGTACTAGTGCTAATAAGGGCAAAGTTTTCACTTTTCTATATTATTAAAAAGCTTTTTAAAATTTACTTAAATTAAGCAGGGCTAAGGACTTATTTTAATTAAGAAACAAAGCTCACGGCTCATAACTATCTATTATCTGGCCTAGTTGCCCAAGATCAAGACTTTTTGCGTAGCTTTCAATGTTAGCTAGAGAGATGTTTCCAAAGCCAGCAGTCAAGTAGATCTCCAAGAATTGAACAACATGTTCATAAATCCAAACCTGTAGTGTCGTATTATCAAGAGGGTCGCCTTCTTCATCCATCCACATTGTTGGGCTCAAGCAGTTGTCTATGGCCTTGAGGAAAGCAGAATCCTCAGGAATCTGGAGTCGCCATTCGTCCGCCTTGTTTTCTGGGCAACCATTGAAGACCTGATCAACGTCCACCAGCCTTATTTGGCGGCCGGAACTCTTGAGCGGAATACCAATAATCTGTGCAAGCTTGGTGAATGGCTTTGCAAAGTAGATCTCTATCAAGACCACTGCCAAATCAATAAGAGCTGGACAAGGATGTCCACCGTCAAACCCGTCCACATCTGCGTCATAATTGTTTTCATTGTCGACTCTGAGACTAATAGCTTCACTAGGCTCAGGTAGATTAACTTGAATGAATGGCCGAAGAGGCGTCTTACGATCGGCTGTTTGGAAAAAATAAACATTTGCAGAATTCAAACCTCGTTGAAACCAGGAAATACCGTTCTGATGGAGAACATCGTATCCTATGAGGAGAGACATTATGCGTATAATTCTCTCTGAGAAGAGCTCGCTCCGACTTTCAAGGTATTTCAGCAGAGAAGCCGGCTCCTTTGAGATGTCAATCCAGGAATTTGATTCTCTAATTCTCTCGAATTTGGACGTTTTTCCTGACAAGACCCGTATCAAAGACTTCACATTTCCCACTTTGTATTTGTTACAAGCAAACGCCTCGATCGTTTCATCATTGAGAGATTCGAGAATAAGAGGTTCATGTTGAGCAGCGATCTTAGGGAACTGTCCGTATAATTTCAATCGATTTCCAGACTCTTTTTCAATCTCCATTGCGTCGTCGTTATCATTATCTCCAACGTCGTCGAAAATTGGGAGCGGAAGCCATTCACCGGTATCATTCAATGTCTCTCGGCTCTTCGCAGAGCTTGTGCTGTCACTGTCGCACTGGCTGCTGTGTTGGGATCCCTTCTCTTCATGATCTGGCCATGGCAACGATCGCAAAGCAAACTCTCGCAAATGTTGACCAACGTGCTCTTCAAAATTTCCATCTGTATACGAGCAGAATGGGCAGTGTTCGAGAGTGGGAGTAATTGGGTGTGCACTGATTTCAACAATGAAAGCCAGCTCATCCTCTTGAAAATGGCCAGCGTGATTATTTCTCATGTGGTCTTCAAACTCTTGGGGCGTTATATACGCCAGTGGTTCATGGTTTGTAGCAAAGCATTTCCACCTCATCCTGTGTTGAGTGCTCATATGCGACAGCCACAGTTTGCGCGAGGAGTATATCTCTAGTGGATTATTGCATTCCTCGAATAAGCAAATGTATGGATCGAGATCTTGTTTAACATGTTTCCTATTGTCGTTTTATATATGTTAATATATTGCCGGAAGAACCTAGCATGGTATCAAATTGGGGAAACCTTACACCCAGGCTGCAGTATTACTCATCTCACTGCATTGAAGAACCAAACAGCAGTAGGGGCATACAAATTCTTTACTTCCAGAAAGAACCCGGGGAGGTGGTGGGATGTTCATCTTTTCATGTTGTTTCAAGGGAGTAGAACTCGCCCTAGACAATCGAGACGGTGCAGGCTTACGATATGATGCCACATCTACCGTAGTCGCTATGTCCCGTGGTGGTATTGCTTTTCGTTCCTTCGTGGGTTGGGTGTCTGCCTGTGGCGGTTTTGGCTCTTGTAGGGTCTCGAGTAAGGGCTGTTGCTGAGATTCGTCTAGCATGCCTGCTGGTCTGGCTCCGTGTTCGACCTTCGGTATAACCCACCTCTCTTGACGAGATCTCCGGTATAAGATTCGCTTGTGGCGTATAACCATTGTCTCAACTAGTCGTCTTGTTAATTTATCATCAAGATCCGCACTGTTTTGTTTTATGAACTGTTGAAAAAGCTTCCTCAGCCCAGCCACCATCGCTTTAGTTAACTCTTCTGAGTCTTTTCCCTCGGAATCCTGTAAGTAAAAGTTTTCGGCTCGTTTATTCTGATTAGAAAAACTGGCCTTTCTGACCGAGTTAGAGAGTCTATTCAACCAGCCAATGCTCTCATGAATCGTTTGGAGCAACTTATCCGCATCCCAATGCATGAAGTCCGTTTTTGCAGAGTTTCGATGTGTAATTAGGCCGGCCGTTCGGACATTGTCTTTTCTTTCGTTTGAAGCCCCTTCTGTTTCCAGTTGTCTTGAGTTGATATCATCACGAACTGTGTGGAAAGAAAATCCATTAGCTGTGAATTTGTATCGATGGGGTCGAACTGTTGGGTTAACATACGCTGACCAAGTCTACGCTCGATTTTTTCAACTTGTTCAAGAAATAGCTCTTTGACGTCGGCGAAATCTCTTATTCGAAAATCTAACGACGTTTGAACGTCTGCGAACACCCCGATGTTGGAAGCCCACAGCTTGAAGCGCACAAGCTCGTCTTGGATCTCGTTCTTAGCTTGGCCATCATGGCTACCCTTTACATGTTGGACTGCATCGATGCATTCCGAGAAAAGACCGAGACATCGACTCGCGCACTCGCCAATGCTTGATGAATCAACCTCCATGGCAATGGGGGAGGTTTCGCGACGCCCACATGGAGAGGGAGGATGGTGAAATAGTTGTAAGAGTGAGGAGTGAGGCTGTAGTAACAAATTACTCCGCACAGCTGGAAGATAATATCGCGCAAGAAAGAATTTCCGATACGGCTAATGGTTACACACGCCGAAGATATGTATATATATTAATATACCCAGGTAGAGATCCGCGGCTACCTTTCCCCGCATCGTAAAAGGGGGATCAAGTTCTCTGAGGATCACCCGTTAGCCTCCGCAGCTTGGCCTATCGCTCTGATGGGAAATATTTTTAGTACAGCCACTTTGAGTGGCGCAGAGACTCGCGACATTTTGAAATTAATAATATCCGTCCTTCCGCTTGTTCGTAAGCTGGGCAAAAGTCTGATAGCCGAGATGAACAGGGAGGACATAAGATGCGACCACTTGAGCAACATCCGAGCTTCAGCTGATATCCTGGTTACCTCTCTTAAAAGGATACAGAATGATGGCGATGCCGAATCATTTGAGTCTCATATATACCAACTAGCTGATTGCCTCGAAGAGATTTTCAGTAGGCAGGTGATCAGAATCTCCAAGGTCGACGTATGTGCCTCGAGAAAAGGGTAGCTGACGAATGCCATCAAGTATCGCTAACAGATATTTTAGGTGTCCAAGTACCCTCGACTCTATGCAGTACAAAAGATTGCCTCCACATCAGATGATTGGAAATCAAATACGAGAGACTTTTTCGACGCTTGGACTTTGGAAGACTCAGCCTCCTGGAACAAATTGCGAGGTAACCTGGAGCGACTCACTGATGAGCTGCATCCATACGGAGGCAACCTAGACATGATTGATAGGCTCGATTATGCCAAGGCACCGCAAGAGCCAGGCAAAGAAACACACGACTTCATTAGTCGAGCCCTTGGTGCGGTCCTTTGCAGGTGCCATGTTAAGTCCGAGCGCGAGCTTATGTGGTTGCTCGGGTCATGTCAGAATGAGACTTTGATGCCCGAACTTGGGTGCCTGTGTATCTTGGCCTCTCGAGATGAAGCGTTTATGCAGTGGTATGAGTTACTGATGCATGAGCCATCAATGGACCAGTAAGTTTGCAGGGAGATTCTGAATGGTTCATCCTTTCTAATGTCACGATATAGACGAGTGGTCAAATCCACAACTGTGGGTTCAACACGAGGTGGAAGATATAGGAGGCCTGATATCTGCGCATCTGATTTATGTGTTTGCGATTTTCTGAATCAACATACCGAACCAGATTCCCTGCAGTTGCACATTGACCTCCGTGATGATGGGCTACATCCATCTGGTTTCTGTCCCGATATCTGCATATTTGAATCTAAATCTAAGCAAGGGCAAATTGATCTCAAGAAACTACTGTCATGCGAAGGTAAGCCATGGACTGAAGTTTACAGGTTGGAACTTCTTGTTGCTCTCGCATACGGTTTTCTTCATCTTTATACGTCGCCTTCTATAAGGTGGCAATGGAAGAGGGATAATATTTTTTTCTTGAGTTCACGGATAGGGAATTCCTTACAGCCGCTACTTAGGGCAACTCAGCTCCGACAGAGTGAGGAGACAATTGATCTTTCCCTTCAATTTCACAGTCACCCATCGATTCTCGAGCTCGGCGTTATTCTTCTAGAAATTCAGCTGGGAAAGAGGCTTCAAACCTTTTTTACGGATAACCGGGATCTCACGAGTCCAAACAAACTCTACTGTAGCGCTTGGAAAGTTTACCGGGATGAGGAGCTTAAAATCACGTCCCTTCCATGCCGTGATGCGATCAGGGCATGTCTATCGCCAGACATCTTTGAAGGTCAAAACGACGTTCACGAGGCGCGAACTCTACTGTTCGAAAAGGTTATTCGACCACTGGAGGAAGAGCTTTTGGAGAGTTTGCCACGGCCGGATCCCAACAATCTGGAAGGAAAAACAACACGTCGACCATTATCAGGAAAGACCTCAAAACGCGGGCCCACCTATAGTGGTAGCAACTTTCAATACCGAGAAATCAACTCAACGCCTCCATTCCAAGACGTCAAGGCCAGCCAAGCTCCCAGGGGACGTAACACAGATGTCAAATCTTCCGAAGCATTCTCCGACAAGAGAAGGAGCGAAGGTCGTGATACTATTCAGTGCGTGGGGTTTACCAGTATTCCAAATTGAGCTTTGTCCTGAGAATTTGCTGACTTGTGGCAGGGGAAAACGTGTCAAATGGGGAGATGAGCCCTCGGAAAGATCATCCAATAAATGTACATATCTTTCAGTACCACCATGATCGCACTCATTGATACAACGCTAACGGTTTCGACTAAATAGCCAAGGCGAATCCCCTCAACGGGAAGTGTGACAAGACAACAAACCCTATCACAATGCTCTCTGATGCAAGAGAACATGTCAGAGATAAGGGGTAAGATTACTCTTCGACTTTGGGGAAGTGATGGCTGTTGTCTGACATGGTGAGCGGCTGCAGAGCAATATCCGACTGGACAAAATGGTTCAAAAACTTCACGTCATTTCGCCGACAAATCCTTCCATATCCGGTAGATCCTAAAAACCAACAGCGAGTTCGGGTTACAGTAATTGACACTGGCATTGATGGGTCTCACCCTTTCATTATGTCAAAACGTTGGGTAAGCGTGGATGAGAACGCCTCTGAACCGCTCTTCTACGATTTCGCCGAATCAGATCCGGTCCGTGAAAAGCATGATCCCATCGACCAAGATGGCCACGGCACGTTCATTGCAGGTATTCTGCTTCAAATAGCGCCTGATATCGAGCTATCCGTTGCTAGAATTGGTGTGACTAGAGAGTCAATTCAGCATGACGCTCAAGTTGGGGACAAGATTTATCGGGTAAGACATTCCCAGCACTTTAAAGCTAAACAAATTCCCATCCATACTCATAGTTGTTTGTGATCTCAGGCTATTAAACACGCCATCCACATCTGGGAGACAGATATAATTTCCATGTCCTTCGGCAGTGAGGAAATATCATACAAGATTCGTGATGCCATCAACGAGGCCTTGAAGCGTAATATCATCCTCCTAGCCGCCGCCGGTAACTCGGGCAATTACGCATCTACCCCGTACCCAGCAAAAGAAGACGGCGTCTTCAAGATTTTTGCGGCCGATACGTCCGGATTCGCGGCCAAATTCAGCCCACCGGTCGACGACAGTAGTTCGCACAACAGCTACTTCATCTTAGGCTCCGGGGTAATGTCAACCTGGCCTCTAGGCTTACAAGAGCAAGCGCAGGCTGACGGCCTCGACGTATTCTGCCATAGCCCTGAGGATGAACATGATCACTCGAAACACAAATGTGATGTACGGGCCATCATGTCGGGAACATCGTTTGCCACACCGATCGCAGCCGCCCTAGTAGCTATCATTTATCAGTTCTACGACGCGAACGAGTCGGAAATCAAACTCAGAGAGGATAGTACTGGCAGTTTCAAATCACCTCAAGCTATTCGTGCTATTTTTTCCAAGATGAGTACACGTTCGGATCAGGCACCGTATAGCTTTCTTGTACCAGACAGGGGGAGAGACAGTTACTTCTGGTTCCGACGACAAGGGTATACAGGATTAAATAACGAGGGCCAAACGCCAATTGAATTCTTCTCGAAACGGCTTTCCGATATCCTTTATTCAGCTGAAATCTGAGTCAAAGCTGTGTTATTTGTGGAATTAAAGTGTTTGGCCAATAATATGGTCAGATGACGTATTGAGTTGATAACGAGAACACCCTATAGAAGACATTGTTTTTGCCTCGGCTATATTCGTGTTTATGATCGCTAAGGATATGTTGAATGACACTCGATCCGCCACTTTGCAAGTATACGATTAAACAAGATTCTTGACATCTACCTGAATGGCCAAGCAAGCGCTATTGTCCTGCTCGTCAAACGCCCGGAACCTTTTGTCCTTCTTAGGCAACGAGGCCCCGAAATCACCCCGCTCAAACGAGACGCTCTCGATCTCGAACATGGAATCTTCATCTTCTTCTTCCTCACTCACTCTCATATCAACTCCTCTATTGTTGGCTCCGTATAAATTACCACCCGCCTTATAATCGCCTATTCTGAACCGATTGCGCCATGTCACCCTAAGCTTGCGCAAACGGTACGCAAATATGTAGGCTGTCTCGGCTCTCGCTTCGTAAGCTGTCACTCCCGATCTCAGATTGCCGGCAGCGACACCAGCTTCAAGGGCGTTTTCAGGGTCGAGCGTCGCCCTAAGGTTGACAGCGAGGGTCGAAGTATCAGCTCCGTCGTAGGCGACCTTGCCCGGATTTTTAGCAATCTTCAGTCCCGTAATCATGTAGACCGTTTTTCCAAAGCGGCGATGCTGTTTGAGCCATTCCTCCACAGCTGGGACTTTGGCAGTCCGCTCAACATATGTGGGGTCCTCGCTTATTTCGAAGAACCGCGTCTCTAGAAGAGCCGCTTCCCAGCTCAGGGCCTCATGTTGGGACTGGCTACCTGACGCCTCGGCAGCCATTATGTTGACAACATGGCTAAAAATGCCAACTGAGCACTCTCCCGTCTTCACGTTGGTAGCACTCCATTCAAGGAGTGGCGATGTATGGGGTCGGAGGGGGCCTTCGAGGGGCAGAGGCTTGGCAAGTCGCTCGAAGGGTTTTCGGGGATCGGTGATGATCTGGCCAAGTTGGATGTAGTCATCCGGTTTGTAGATAGTTGTGGGCAGAATGAAGTAAGTCTTTGAGTATTCCATTTTGGTTAATCATTCGTAGGTTGCTAGGGAGGGAAAATCTCGGTCGTCAAGTAACAGCGTGGTCATATATAATGAATATGAATGCTTGTCACACCTTCAACCCCGCACCATGATTCCGTCATCTATTTAGGGCCACCGAAGCAGATCACAGCTGGACCTAATGTTGTCTTGTACCCTATGAGCCGTGCACTTATATGCATTACATGTCCGCTATTCACAACGCTGGATATGAGACCAGCTGTGCCCAGTGTCACCAATGAATAACCCTGTTTAAAACTGCCGCTTTTAGAGTGCAGTACTGCCTTTACGATAAGATTATGTTGGATTCACTGTCTGACGTTGGAGATCACATTATCGCCGTTTAAATAAACATCACTCCATTTGCTAACTAAATATCATACCTTTGCACCGGCACATCCACCCACACCAACGAATAATCCGATTCTATAACCCGTCAAATACGCGAGGTAGTGTCCTATTATGTCTGTAACGATATTATTACTACAGCTGTTGCTTTCACATACAATTGCTTTACTTACCACTATCAACGTCTTGGCAGGCATTAGACTTAACATTGTTTGTTTTGTTGAAATGAGGATATATAAGCCTCAACAGCCCTCTGGCTTTCGGCCTTTTTGCAATTCCAACCTGTTCGAAAAATATCTCTGTCGTCTTTGTTGTTTCTCCAGTATATCTCCGCATTCCTCCAATTCTCGGTCCATTCGATCCAGATGGTCCTTAGACAATCTGAGCTGCACCCATCGTGCAACAAGTTCGGCTTGCGCTTTGTCGTCTGATTTTCCGACAATACCCCAGTGAACATTAAGATCTTGAAGTCGAAGCTTAAGGGAGGTGTCATGGGAAAGTTGTTGGAACTCGATTCCGAGAATCAAAGAGCTAAGATGGGACAGAGCGCGGTTGATTACATCTCCGTCTAATCGAAGCGAGACTTGGCGTGCCTGCTGTATTAACGTTTCGAGTCTCACGCAATGGAACACCAGGTGATTGTAGAAAATCACTTCCTGCGAATCCATATCCATTTTTTGAGCGACTTCCGCCATTTGGCGGAATGTTTGTGAAGCGCTCTGGAGTACGTCAATGTCACTCCCGTCCTCGGGAGCCAACGGTGTGTCCATGTTGCCAATTATAGATGCAATGAAAATATAAAGTAAAGTCATCACTATGTATAGTATTAGGAATGACAAACAAAATGGTGGGAGTTTCAGAGCTGTTGATTTTGCAATGGGTTCTCCGCGCAAGGTTTGGCATGGCAAATAACAAATAAATCACACCGTCCCTTTGGAACTTCTGCGGTGAGAGATCGAGGCGGGGGTTAATTTCATGAATTAAGCGAAGCATAGCCGATAAATCGATAACAAGTACATCTTGGCCAATCACGAATAGCTACACGAACAAAGAGATTCTTTGTGCTAGGCTCGCCACATGATCAGTCTAGGTAGTACAATCCACGTGAGGAAAAGTCGGGTATAAATTCAATAGGCTGCTTTCTTCAACGAACAACAGTCAACTGTAGAAGATACGCTCTATTGAGTGATGATTGATCATCTCACAGCCATGACGGATACCGGCGTTGCCTCTGAGCAGAACAAGAGAACTGCTGCTGCTGCCGCCGCTCAGCGATGTCTGGATTCATTCAACGAATGTCTCCTACATGCATCGTCTATCCACGGTTGGCTTATCCACGATAGGTTGGAGGTCCAAGTTATGATATTTTCCACTTGGACTACTGATACTAGAGCTTTTGCTCCTGGGCAAGCGTCGATGGACCACCGGCTTCGATACGCCCCCGAGGTGCACAATAGGATCATAGACTTGTTAGAGGCATTGAACTGCCACATTCAGAAGCGTGAGTAAAAGTCTTGTCTGGGTTTCGGATATATCAAATCGAGACGTCCGGAATTGCATAAATCGAAACTGACACGCAAACATAGTCTTGAAAGTCCTTCGTGGGCAGCTACCGAGCGGAGAAACACACATCGCAAGCGTCCTCACCGAAGAGCTAGGCGTGTCTTCAGGTCATATTGCTGCCGAGGTCAGGCGTCTCAACAAATCGTCAAAGATGATTCGCAAGGCTAGCCAAGAATCCCAAAGCATTCACGCGAAAGCCGTTCAGATCACAGACGAAGAAGAAAATTATGCTGAGCCACCACAGCTTAGCCGTTTGAAACGCTATTTCGCCGAACGGTTTCCCAATGCTAGCGTCGCTCTTCAACAGGAACTCGCTGAAGCACTGATTTCCAAATCAGAGGAACTTCTACATTGGGAATCCCCATATGAACTCGCACCTACCCAGTTACAATACCGGGATCTCAAGGTCCCAACAACTCTACAGCCCGAGAAGTTCAAAATGGCCGCTTCGAGCTCATCCCCCGTTTCAGACACCATGATGGTAGCGTTCGACAACCATGAAGCTCTTCTTTCTCCAACAGCGCCCAGGCCCAAAACCAAGAGAAGTTTCGCGCAGTTTGAGTCAGAGCAGCTGGAGGTTCGTCGAGCTTTGCTCAGAAAGGTTTATGAGTCATCCTCGGCTACTAATCCAAAAATCTACCTTGACGTTGAAATGAGAGATGCACAAGATAGCTCTTCCTCAAAGGAGCAGCTCAGTCACATTCTCAAGTCAGACGTTCCGGCCACTTGTGAGAATTACATGAACCATATGCGAGACGCTCACGAGACAAACCCTGACGGCAAAGAAGTCGACGTCTTGGCCAATAGCTTCCAGGAGTTGTTTCTACCGCGCCCACCATGTGATCAAAACGAGCCGCAAATCAGTAGCTGTTTGAAGGATCCCATAGCTCGCTACTCGAAATCACCGGCCAGCGGGTCACTTCCAAGGGACTACGACAACATTTCAGGTGACGTTGCAAGTGATAAATATAGCCCCAACAACTTGCAGCGGCGAAACAGAAGCACTATCAATGGTTTGGACAATGAGAGCATTCCCAAATCCCCGCATGTTACGAATGAAGACCTGGATGATGTAGCTGTGCCAGACACTTTAGCAAACAGCGACGGGAAAGGGTTAGCGGATGAATTTCTCAAGAGGGATAAAACCCATAGTGATCCCGTTTGCCATTCAGGCCATGTCATGATTGACAAGGCAGAGGTAATCTCTCCAGAATTGAGTGACGAACAAATCGGCCAAAAAGTAAAAACACAGCCTGAACACGGGATCAACTCTAGCTTTGACATGGATTCTAACGACATGGAGATGGAGGACGTCTAACGGTAATAGGCTCTCGCTCCGTAAGAGGAGAGTGATGGAGTCGCTGCCACATCGAATGAAGAAGACGTGGCTGCAAACCAGCCGCAATGCTGGGAGTGTCAACGCCGCGGTACGCTCTGTGGCGGCAAAACTCCCGTCTACGATAACTGCACCGTCTCTGGCCTAGTTGCAAAAAGACAAAGCTTTTTTTTTACCATGTTCCAAGCATCCCTTAGTGACGCCGCCATTGCTTCACAACCAACAACACATAAACCTCGGCATTTTTGGCGGCTGTGCTACAGGTGCTTTAGGAGTAGTCCAGGAAAGCAAGTACATTAACTGTTTAGCTTTAGTTTCAAAAGATAAAGTTATCCAGGTTCTGACCGAGGTCGATGGCTTCCGCGTAATCCCTCAAATTCGTGAAGGTTATGTAGCATTATTCTGGTCCGACCATGTTGACGAACGCGATCATGTCCTCATGGAAACCTTTTCCAAAAAGTCTCTCCATTAATTCTTACTCTTGTTGCTACTCTTGCTTATATAAAAAGCTAATGAGGGAACCTGCTTAGGAGCTACGCATGTGATGGACGACGTGGCCTGCAACTCCAACATAATAATGAGCTGCAACTTTGGCCAAGGCACTTTGGTGTTTCTCGAGCCTTTTCTGCTTTTTGGGGGCAACCTTCATGTAGCCGGCAATCGAGTCAAGTTGCATGGCTTGGTGAAGAAGACAGGGATGAAGAGAGCAGCTAACTTCAACCATGCTTCAGGTAGCTGAACGGAGTGATTCAGAGAAAGTTCAATAGTCTCGGCTTGTGACAATGGAAGCTTAACTACCCCGTCAGACTCAATTACTCGCTCGTATTAAGTGTCTCGAAGAATCTCGTTGGTCTGCCAACTGGCTCGCCTCACGTGATCTTATGTCGGACAAAGGCCGTTTGTTCAACTGGTTAGCCTTTGTGGTAAACGGAGGAGGTTGGCCTTTGACAAACTTCCATCACCTCTCTCTAGGAAACTGTCACGACGAATGAAGACGTCGATAAGACACATACGTCAGCCACAGGTCCGGATCCAAAACTTGTCCGATCTGCACCTCGAGATAGGCCAGCAGTATACATCATATACCTTGCCGGTGACTGCACCATTTCTTCTACTGGCTGGCGACGTCGGGAGACTGATTGACGACGGCAACTACGTAGCGTTCCTCGAAACGCAAGCCTCTCGATATAAAAAAGTGTTTCTGGTATTGGGAAACCACGAGTTCTACGAACTAGACTATGATTCGGGAATGGGCATGGCGCAGCGCCTCTCAGAAGAGCCGTCTCTCCAAGATTCCGTTGTACTCTTGAACAAGTCTCGTTGGATGACCCAGATTCCAATCTCACAATTTTGAGCTGCACGCTTTGGTCAGCTATACCTGAAGAAGCTGCCACTATGGTTGAAACAAAAATCAACGATTTTAAAAAGATCATCGGATGGACCGCGCAGAAACATAATCAGATTCACACGAGGAAGCTGAGTGGCTTCGTGAAGCAGCACAAGACCAAGATAATTCCAGAAAATTTGTCATCGCGACGCATCATGCACCGTGTTTACAAAGCACGTCCAAGCCAGCGGATACTAATAACCCATGGACACCTGCGTTTGCGACCCATCTCGTAACCAAGGAAAACTGGGGGAACGTCACCTGCTGGATCTTCAGCCATACACACTATTCTACAGACTTTCCGGCACAAAGGTATTAGGCTGGTGGCAAACCAGCGGGGACATGTGTTCCCAAATGCAAATGTGAAGAGCAAGACGAAACAAAATCCGCATGTATTTGATCCCGCTATGGCTTTCAAGTTGTAGAAGCAACATTGAATTGTCTTCTTCTTATAAGCACGAGTTCAACATTCATTGGATTTTGTCAAACCAAGTAGAGCCGGGGTGATTATAAATGTTGTTTACCAACAATAGAATAATTCCATACAACTCCCAAACAAAGTACCGCAACATATCCGCAAAAGCCCGCTCTCCATCGTAGCCATTCGGTGATCAGCGGGCAATACGCCCAGCTCATATACGAGTACAAGGCTCGGTCGGTGTGTTTCTCAATTTGGGCAATGGTGGACCATTTTTCCGCAACTACCGGCATGGCGTAATAATCACTAATACGCTCCTCGATATGGCAACGATTCGGGTACGGAACTTGCCGCCCCTTGGCTTAGACAAGTGTCAAGTCGCATCAGACATAAATACTTTGCCAGAGTCGCTGGTTTTTGTTGATTCATTCAATATTTCTACTCAGTTGGCCAATTCAGCTGATAGGCTACAGTGCGACTCAGTCACCATGTCTCCCCATATCCCCATTGCCCTTGGCCACCACATCCAGGCCTACGCATACTGGGACTCTCCCGTGCCAGCCGTCTTCGCCGGACAAAACTTTACAGATCCCGTCGTCTTCAACCCTACTACATTCACCTTGATCACTACACAGAACGAAGCGGTGCTCGTTGATGCTCCTTCAGTCAGGTCTCGAGTCGAGCCAGTTGCGACTTGGATTGCCGAAATACTCGAACACCGAAAGCTGAGCACCATTTACATCACTCACGGCCATGGCGATCACTTTTTCGCCGCCGAAGCTATCCAGGAGCACTTTCCAGATGCCTCCATCCGCGCAACTCAGGGCACTTATGAGCACATGCTAGAACAGCTTGCTCCAAGATTTTGGGACGGCTTGTGGCTTCCTACGTTCCCTGAGCTGGCAGAAAGCCCGAAGCCCAACCCCAAAGTCCACGTCCTCCCAGAAGGTCAAGATCACTTTACGATAGACGGCCACGAGTTCCGCGCTGTTGAGGTGGTTGGTGGTGATACTGCCTCGTCAACCGTTCTTCATGTACCCTCTCTGGAGCTGGTTGTTGGAGGAGACGTTGTTTACGGAAATATTTACCAATTCCTCGCTGAAAACACAACGCCTGAGCTCCGTCAGAAATGGATAGACGCCATTGACCAGATTGCGAAGCTTCATCCCAAGGTTGTCGTGCCATCTCACCGTCAATCCACAGACGACTTTGGGGTAGAGCACTTGAAAGCTACCCAGGATTACATTCGCACGTGGTCAAAGCTCAATGCAAAGACCAAGACTTGGCAGGAGTTGGAGGCGGCTGTCCACAAGGCATACCCCGAGAGATATGGAAACTTTATTCTTCGTTATTCGGAGCTGGTGACCAAGGGAGACTTGCAGCTGCCGTAAGGTCGTGATGCAGTACAGTTCTCAATCCATTCGTACTCGGTCAAAATGGGATGACGGTGCTAGGATTTGGTAAAAAAACATGGGAGTGAGACAAGAATCTGTGACGACGTTTGTTGATATGGGACAAGGGATACAGGTGTCAAGATTGAGTCTTACTAACAAAACATGGCGGGTTAAATACATTCTCGATATCAGGACGAGAGTAGTTGTTACACTAGAATATAATCCTGTTTCAATGTTTTACACGTCATGAAGAAATTGAGTCGCGCCGTTGAGAGCCAACGGGCTCAACCAATCTTGGACAACCCAAACTCAATCCCAAACTCTATATCAACATCACATCCATGTTTTAGTGTGCATCTACAGGCAGCGCAAGCTTCATTACTAATGATAATGGATTGATTTAATTTGCTAGCTAAGAATAACATCCACTGTGCTATTTGAGTAAGCACGTAAGCGGAGAGTGTGGATGAGATTCACATAAGGCCACATCGCGATAAGCATGCTTCGGGGAAGGTAATTCTTTTCTGAACCTTTCATAAACTGTGCTTAAATCTTTTCGGAATATCCTCTTTACGTCAAGCTATTCACTACTGCCGAGATCCGCATATTCAATAGGAGGGGTAGCTTCCAAGCGCAACTACAAAGAGAGCATCCACTCAATTCAGCCCAAGGCGACAACTCAACAACTCAACATAGAAAATACTCCAATTTGACTCCCTGCTGTCTGCCAATAGAGCCACCATGACCACTGTCAGCCCCCTCTCCAGCAAAGAGTCCTTCGCCGCCGCCCTCGAAGCAGCCTTCAACAGTCCCGATGCTTCACTCGAAGAAATGATCCTCAACATCTACGTCAAAGAAGCTGTCGTCACCGTAAACATGAAGCGGATGACATGGGACGAGTTCATCCCGTACATCAAAGCCATCCGCGCCAGGACGACGTCTGTCGATATCAAATCACATTACCTTTTGCGGGACGGAAACCTGTTTTCCGAGAGACACTCTGCGTATGGCCACGGAAAAGATGGGACGGAGACGAATGCGGAGGCGATGCTTATGGGCGAGGTGAATGAAGACGGCAAAGTGATTTGGCTGGAGGAGATTGCCATTCTCAATTCAGATGCGGGCTCGGCTGCGTCTAAATCTACGTAATTGCTGGAGGAGAATACGCCTCGTGATGTGCTAGACAGGTCAAGAAGAGTGTTGTGCAGGACTGCTGAGAGTCGAGGTATAAATTTGTTACCAAATACCATCTGCAACTGAAATCACCAACAGTCTGTATATATTTGCTGACCAGAATTCCTCGTTAAACTATCGGCCCCTTTTTGAAGTAACGGTAAAGCCAGTAGATGGTTTGTGCGCTTCGATGAACCAGATATGCGAGTCATGAGATCAGATTTACGCACCGCCATGGCCTAGTTTTCCGAGATAAGCACCGGGTCCCTTGCATTCCCAGCAGATCTAAATATCCGAAAGAAGCCAGTCTTTCAACACCCGACGCTTTTACTACATTTCGACAACAACTTCGTACACCTAGCCTGTTCTGTACACGGTGGGGTGGTAATGCCCCGCGATCCGAGGTTATTTGGCAAATCCCGCCGCTGGGCTTTCAATGACATGATCACTATTCACATGTTAATGATTTCCCTCTGGATCGTGGGTAAATCAGGTCTGCCAAGCTCCAACAACCCAGGTAGTTGTCATGATCGCCTTGATTGGGAAACCGATACTACTCAAGTGAAGAGCATTGCAAACTACCACCCAAGTCAACTCAGCTTGGAAATGAGCTCTTTTATAACAAAACATGAGGACTAGTCGTTTCCAAGAGCTTTACTCAAATAGACTAGTCTTTGGCAACAATTGTGACACGTTACGTTGTATGATCGCCCCTAGCAGAGACGAAATCCCGAACGGGGCCGCTGTCACTTAATACCGATCTACATCGACAGCCACAACAGCGCGCGTCTTTTCTCCCGACTATCCTCAGCGATAGTTCCTTGTTCTATCCAAGTGTCTATATGATCTGATTCTCAACAGCGAGTGGCTGTCGTCCTTACGGAGCTTCCTGTTTCACCTTGGTAACCAGTCAGCTCTAGCGGGCGAACCCGACAAAACATTTACTCCACATACAATGGCAACCCGCTCACTGTGTCTAATTCCTGATGGTAAGCTGCCTGTTTGGATCATTGTTTAGTTATTCTGACCGCTACTGTGTGATGGTACGATACAGAAACCTCGGTTGAAGTACGGCCCTGGTGGCGTGCATAAGAAGACAAATAAAGTATGGCATGAAACGGAAGTCGTTCTACGTTTAGTCGATTGTATCAATATGCTGAATCAATTGAATCAGTAATTCCGAAACCTCCAATCTAGCGAGACAGCGTTCCTAAATACTAAACACTCAACTCTTTTAACAGCCCCCGTCGGAAGTGGCGTTATAAGCTTAACCATGCAACAATCGCTCAAACCCTCTTCATCCGACGGAAAAGCTCACCAAAACCACTCCCACCGGCACCCTACATCCGATTACTACTTATAAACGACATGGTACACGCATATGATTGCCCCCAGGATAGGCATCCACCATTGTCCCTTTCGAGACATACAAGTAGCGTAAGAAAAGTAATGCCGACATCCACCGAGAACGAACTTGGTCGAATGCGTGTAGTTTTCCCCGAGCATTTGCATCTTGTTCCTCCCCCCCTTGGTTCGATTTACAGGGGTTATCCGTGTGGTTGCATCGGGCCTCTTCTTCTCTCGCATCGTTGGTGCCGCGCTATCCTGACGACGCCAAACAACGGCGCTCACCGGCACTTTTAAGCATCAGATTACTCACAACGATATACTCTGGACGAGGAGAACCACGATGCCAATGGAGATATTTAAGACCCGCCCCCAGACGCAAATGCCGAAGCTGGAGCCGCGAGTATCTGCCGGTTCTTTACTTGTGTGTTAAGAAAAGGACTGTTTCGTGTCAAGTTTTATAAACAAACTGTTCTTGCAATGCGTGCTACTTTGTCTGGATTGTTGCTGGCTGCTGCGGCCTCAACAGCAGTTGCCCACGGCCACGAGGGTCACGCAAAGGTTCATCAAGAGTATGCTAGAGCAGCGGCAGTTGATACTTCGACGTTGAAGGGCAAGTGGCTGTACGGTTATCAGGGCTGGTTCCGCAAGCCAGCATCCGGTGTAAACAGCCATTGGTCTGCCCAGGGTGGAACTCCAGGACCCGGCAATGGTACGATTGACTTGTATCTTATACAATTCTTGAATCAGGGGTTGTTCAGGTTGAAGAATCATTACTTACATGATTGACTATAGTCGAATTCGAGTTTGTGCCCGATGTCAGCCAGTATCCGGCCAACTGCCTGTTCACGTCAACTCTGACAGCACCCAACGGCCAACCCGTGCAACTCTACGACAACACTTGCCAAGGAGTCGTCGACTTACATTTCAAGTGGATGCAGCAGTACGGAATCGACGGAATCATTGTACAGCGATTCCTCAGTCATCTCACCGATGCCTCTTTCATCACAGTCAGTCATCGCCCCCAAATCTATAGACAAGAGACTCCAGCAACAACCAACACATTGACCAACTCCCAGATCCTCAACCAAGTCGAAGCCGCCGCCGTCAAATACGGCCGAGGCTTCATCGTCGAATACGACGCCTCAGGCGGAAACTCGGCCACCGGCAGCGTCGCCGCGCAGATCCTCGCCGACTACAACGCCAAGATCAAGCCCTACACAACCTCGCCCGCCTACATCCACCACAACGGCAAGCCCGCCGTCATGGTGTTTGGCGTGGGCTTCCCCACCGTCGCCATCAACGTCACCGACGGCGCAAACATTGCCACGCAGCTCAAGAACGCCGGTGCCTATGTTGGATATGGCGTGCCGGGCAACTTTGGCACGGATGTCAGGGCAAACACGGGCTTTGCGGCGGCGTACAAGGCGGCCAACTTGATCAGCCCTTGGACTGTGGGCGGCTACAGCAACGGCGGTTACTTGAAGGGATACCACACGACGACTCAGATTCCGGATTCTCAGTAAGTCTTGTCTCCTTCTCTCAGCTCTCTTCTATTGTTTCCCCCGATGTCTTCCTCTCTTGTCCTCGCCCTCCATGACCAAACACTAACTCAACCCTCCTCCTTAGAACCCTCCAATCCCTCGGCATCGATCACGCCCCCCTCATCTGGCCCGGCACCTCGGCCTACCACCTCAACGGCGTCAACACGCCCGCCAACTTCGACTACTTCCCCCGTTTCAACGGCTCCTTTTACTCGATGCAGGCCGACGCAATCACTTCCCTCGCGGCCAAGCCGCTGTTTGCATTCAACGCCATGTTTGACGAAGTCAACGAAGGTGAGCCCCATCATATGCAGCATCTCCATGCCTACATCTTCAACCAACTCACTCACAATGTGTGTCACCCAATAGGTACCCAAAGCCTGCCGTGCTTAAAGACCAACCAGCTCCCCACCAACGAAAAGTTTGTGGGCTACGACAACACTTTTACCGACACTGCGTTTTACCTCGAGCTCGGTGGCCAAAAGGCCGCTGCGTTTGCGGCTGCAGTCAAATAAACGACATGTGGAATGTGTACATGTATATACATTAGTACCCAAAGACTCAATCAATGTGTAATGAATGATTCAACGTCCAAAAAGTAAAAATAGTCAATCCTATTCTCAAACATCCGCCCTCATTGATAAAGATGAACCACGCATCTCCATCCAAACCATTACAGTAAAAAACACATTACAAGAATAATCCAGCGTAAAATAAAAAGTAGAAAGAAAAAATCGCTAGTGCTTATTCAAAATCGTTGTTGCTCTAATAAAGAGAGATCTTTACACAAGACAGGTATATGTTATATATAATCACAAAAAGAAAAAAAAAGGGACATAAAAAATAGTAATAAGAGCGTTACACAGACTCCTCTTACTGACGCCCATCATCAGCGCCGTTCCCCAAGAGTCACCTGCGCTCTACCGTCTCCGCGGGAAGTTCATAACTATAATTCGTCTGCGGCAACTCATAAATCGTCGGCGGCTGCTCCATCTCCACCAGCGGCGACGCCATGGCCGTGTTCATGTTGGCCGGGTGCATGCTCATGTCGGGCGACGCCTTCTTCACCGCGTCGGGCGAGTCGTACGGCGTCTGCGGGGTGTATGCCGGTGCTACGCTTCCGTCAGCCATGTAATACAAAGCCTGCTCGCTGGGAGAGTGGTATTGACCCAAGTTGATGGGCGGCTGCTCCTTGTCCGCCTCGGCCGCGCTGGCGGCCGCTCGCTGCTTCCGCCGCCGGAGGAAGAAGAAGAGGCCCAGCAAGCCGACGCCGATGGCTCCGACGCTGACGCCGATGCCGATGCCGGCCTTGGCTCCCCCGGAAAGTCCGGAGCCGGCCCCCTGGCTGTTGTTGTCGTCGTCGTCGTCTCCGGATCCGGAACCGTCGCCGTCGCCGTCCGAACCGCCTCCCGAAGAACGGGTCGAGGTGGGCAGCACCGTGTGGTTGCCCCACGAGCCGTCGGAGCCCCGGTACGCCTGGACGAGGCTGCTGTTGGAGACGTAGTACACCCAAGCCTCGCTGGTGGCCTGGTTGTAGGTGACGGCCAGCTCGGCGTTTGCGTCGTCAGCCAGGGGCCACGCCGACCTGCTCTGGTTGGGCATGTTTTGCCAGATGAAGTTGATGCTGGCCACCTCGTAGAGCCTCCTGTCGCTGCCAATGTAAAAGGCAGTGCGCGTGTTGGACTTGTCGACGGCGGAGCCCATGCCTCCGGGCTTGCCGTTCCAGGCGGGGAGGGAGAACTTGGGCTTCACATCGGGGTCAATGTCGATCTTGGAGGGCGCCGTCTTGTTTGTGGGAGCATTGTCGATTGCCTCTGGGAACGCAGCTACAAGGGGGAGTCAGCGTGGGGAGCCAGGACAAACGCATTGTTTGTGCAAAGATTGAAGCATGCAAGACAATGAAACGAAACAACTGAATGAAACAGGCAAGACAAGACAAGAAAAGAAAAGACATACAAATGTGCCAAGTGCCGTCCGTGTTGTACCGCGACACCTCGATATCCTTGTCGTTCTTGGGAAAGATGACGGAAATGTTATACGTGTTGGAATGCAGCGACGTCAAAGCCTGGCCCAACGTGGGATCCTGCGACACCGCGCCGTAGTAGAGCCAGTCCGTGTCCGTCGTGTACGACAGCTGATGCACCTGGCTGTCCTTGTCGTGATAGTAGACTCGGTATCCCGCAGTGCTCCCCAGCAGCTCGACCGACAGGCCCGTGTTGGGGTGGATGTCTGTGACGTTGGCCCTGTCCGAGATGATGTACTCGCCCGACTGGATCAAGGTGCCGGACTCGGGGTTGCAGTTGTAGAAGCCGTTGATGAGTTTGCCAGAGTCCGAGTGCCAGAAGATGGAGGCCTTTTTGTTTTGGGTCACAACGATTAGCAAATATCCCCCGACTTGTCTGTCAGACCATCAACCGTATGCAGATCCTACTATCAAGGGCCCGAATATATTTGATAATGTCTTTCCCCCCACCACCACCACCACAAGAAGAAGAAGAAGAAGACATGAACGGTATTTACTCACCACCACCTTTGACGAATCCCACCAGCCCGTGGCCGCCATGCTGCCGCCCTTCTTGGGCTGGTTCTCCGTCTTCAGCACAAGCGGGTTCGCCGTGGGAAACAGCGGCGCCCCGTCAATGTTGGCGTTGCAGTTGTTGACCCAGATGTCGCCCGTCTTGGGGTCCTGCGTGCCAATCTGCACGCCCTTGTTGGGGCCCGGGTAAAAGGCGTACATGGACGTGCCGCTGGCCGTGCCGACGAGGCTGCTGGCCGCCAGCACGGCCACGCTCCAGCTCCGTGCCATGTTCATTGATTATGATTATGGTTGATGTGGTGAGGTGAGGTCGATGCGTCAACGGTAGCTCTCAAGCTCAAGCCAACGGAACCGCTTAGCTCAGCGTTCCCGCTCTCTCCGCTCAACAAGCAAGCAGAAAAGAGGAGAAGGAAAGCGGATGGATTACCCAAGAGGAATAAAAACGAGTGAATCGAAGAAGAAAGAAAATGGAGAAGGGGGGAAGAAAAGAAGGAGGGGGAGAGGAGGAGGAGGCGCAAGAGAAGAGGCAGCAAGAGAGAAGAAGAAGACAGAAAAAAACGCCCGTCAGATCCCCCGAAGAAAGAGAGCGGTGCCACTAAACTGGGGCAAGCATCAGCATCAGCATCAGCATCACAAGGGAAAAGACAGAGAGAACAAAAGGTGGGAGGCGAGCTCGGCTAAAGAGAAAACCGCCATCTATTAATAATGACTGGGGCATGCATCTTATACCCCAAAGCATACAAAAATAAAATAAAAATCACTGGCGTTGCCCGTTTCCTGGCGCGGAGACGCCCCAAGGCCAACCCGTTCCCCGTCAGCCCTGTACTCTACTGCATGTTCAACGGTTTGACGAGGATGCTTGCAGCAGCGAACAGACAGGCCGGGCTGGGCTGTGAATATCCTGGGAAATCCTGCTTGCCTGGTCTGGTCCTGTAGGCCTATCCTGGAACCTATAATCCAACGTGATCAATCTAACTCGTATCCACCGCGCTGCCAGGCTGTGACCCCTGCAAGTTTGCCAGAGACAGGGGCTGAATGGATTGAGCCCTACTGGGCTAGCAGATTACGAGGCCCAGCTACGGAGGATATCATATTATAAGCTATGGTTCGTCCAAACCTCCAACCCCCTGGATCGCCGACCTGGCCTCGTCTCTTCCAAGCTGTTGCTGGCTAAGCCGTAGCAGCTTTAGCCCGAGTTGCAAACGGTGGTTCGGGACAACAGCAGAAGTACCTACTCGTACTTGGCAGTCATCCGCAGTTGCAGTTGGTCTCTGAAGCAGGCGTTATTATCAGATGTTTGGTTCCTTTCTATTTCCGTTTCCCTCTCTGTCCGCCTGAGTAAACACTCTCTGACTAAACTCTTCTTACTGACTCAATCCCCCTCCCACAACCCACAACCCACAACCCACACCTTGTAGTTTGCGTCTGTCTTCATTTTTGTCATTTCATGCATATACGAGTCCGCCAGCCAGCGCATCCATCTCAAATCAAATCAAATAAAATAAAATACAAACCCTACACGTATCTATCAGTATGTAATCATAATTACCTTAATTAGCCTTGTTTACTTCCCTTTTTTTCTTCTCCCCTTCTCACTTATTCCCTGCTCTTCTCCGTCCATCACTCGCACACAACAAAAAATTGAGGCTCTGCCCTGCCTACTAGCCCGGCCTCCCACCACCCAAATCTTTCCCTTGTCCCGCCACACCCGCCGCCTCTCTCCTTTTTTTTTTCCTTCTCTCTGCCGCTCATTTTCCACTTCATCCTCGTCACTCAATTTGCACAAATGAGACATTGCCGGTTCCTGCTAGTTCCCCTTTAGCACAGGACTTGTTAGAGAGCTGTGTGGATTCCATGCCATCATGTGGGTTTGTACACGCCACCTCTGCAGTACCCCAACGTCGCCCGCAATAAACGCCCAGCGTGCCGTATTCCGGTAGTCTCGCCTACTCGGCCGGCGCGCAACAACGTTCGTCCAGCGGGATCGGCAAAAGGCTCTGTCAGATTTTAATGCGCTTTTAGCGCCTGCGCCAAGCACCTGGAATTATTATTAGGTCCCCCAAGCCACAGCACAGCAAGGCCATGACTAAGCCGGTCCGAGCCTAGTCCGCCCCCAGCCAGGGACTAGTGTCGCAGCCTCTTTTTTTTCCATGCTTAAAGTGTTTTTTGGTTTCTCCAGGGTAGCTCAGGGCCCGCCAAGGATTCAACTGGAACCTGAATTAACTGCCACTGAGATGCGTCTACTTCTGTTGCTAGTGGCGCGACTGCCGCTGCGGCTGTTTGGCAAATTCAAATACTAAATCTTCAATAAATAGTACTAGTAGTCGCCGACCTCGTTTGGGTTTTCAGCTTCGTGTTCGCCATTTGTTCGGGCATATGCATGGAGGTGAATGTTCTATTTCCTTTATCCGGCTGGGCTGAAGGAAGCCTGAGTCAGCTTGGCCTTTTCAGCCTACTTACCCGGCATCAGCCATTATTTCGTTTGTTTCTTCAAAAATAAACAACTGTATTATGATTTTAAAGCTGGGTTTTACGATAATCAATTGCCTAATATCTATTCCTGTTTTAGCCGTGAAACAAGCATACATGATTAATGCTGTGTTGAACAGTGTAATCACAACTACCAAAACAGCAACCCAAAACAACAAAATTCACATCACATGACATCAAATCATCCTCAACACCTTCAACAACCCAAAACACCAAAAATTCACATCCCATCAAATCAAATCAAATCACCCTCAACACCCTCAACAACCCCATCCCAATCACAATCCAAAACAAACTCCCCACAACAAACACCCCCAAATATACCATCTCGACCGGCCTCTCAACAAACCGCCCCCCAAACAACTCCCTCCCACTCCCCTCCCTCTTCGTCATCTTGCCCACGTCCGGCACGTACTTGAAATCCATCTTGCTCAACCTCCCCCCCAATCCCTCCCTGCTATTCACAATCGCATCATACAGCGTCACTCTGAAATACCGCACCGCCGCCTCGTCCGCCCCCGGGATCCATCTCTGCCCCAGGGCCAGCATCCGCACGAACCAGCAGTGCCCCTTCCAGCAGGCATACGCCAGCAATCCAGGCCTTCCGAGACCCAAGGAATCGCTCAGCGCATCGCCGTTGAGCACGCGGCTCCCGGCCTCGATGAAGCCCTCCGAGATGTGAAACGGAGCCACGTCTTTCACCGTCTCCATCAGGTTGTGCCCGATGATCAGCGAGTTCGCCGTGACGCCCCGCTCGTGAAGCAACAGGCTCTCCATGGTGGCTTTGGCCTGGGCCACGCTCGCAAAGTACTCGGCGGGAGTCGCCAAAAGATACCCAACATAACGGAACAGCGCAATGTAATCTTCCTTTTCCTGCTCCGTGGGAAACACGCCCATCTGCGGCAGCTGAAACCACATCGGGTTACACGAGTACGTCGTGATGCTGTGTATCGAATCCACAACATTCACAGGCACTCCAAACGTCCCCACGTCGAAATAGTCCGGCCTCGTCTCAACCAATCTGAGGATCCTCTCCCTCACCGCGGCGTGAAGCAGACGAACTCGCACCGTCGTCGTGTGTCCCTGCCCCCCCGGCTGAATCGACTCAAGACTCGCCGTAACCTGCAAAAGATGCTGAAACGTCTCCAACAACCTCCGGACCAGCACCTTTGGCGAGAACCCCCCCGTCCGCATCAAGACCTCGATGACGCCCGGCGCCGCAGAGTTCTCCCCAAAGAAAGCCTGCAGCAAAAAGCCCACCATGTTGGCCGCCGCATAGCGGTAAAAGAACTTTTGCCCACGCTCAACCTGCTCCCAGTCCACCCACTCCGGCACCGTGTGGAGCTCGTTCCAGAGCCTGTCCAGCGTCTCGTCTTCCGTGTGGCGATCCCGGAGGACGGCGTACATGTCGAAGCCCCCGGGACAAAGCGTGGGCTTGACTGCTGCCTCCCCCTTCATCTCCTTTGCAATCTGCTGCAGCTTCTTGACGGCATCGTGTCCCAGCGTGTCGTACTCGTGGCGCAAGGGATCCGTCTTTTCTCGAGGCAAATGAAGGTCTGTCCACTGAAATGTGTAGTTTCCTACCGTGTGGAATGCCATGGCGGTGCTGGCTCGGCGCTTCAACAAGATTTCTTCGACACGAGGTCAACACAACAACTCTGGGCTGCATGGGGGTCAAGGCCCTCTTACGACACCCAGAGATGGCTGTTCTTGACGATGAACCTATATGAAGCATACCAGTCACATAGACATCCCCATTTCAAAGACACCCCATTGACCCCCATTGTGCCGTGCCCTTGGACGAACGAGCCAACATACGCATCAAGTCCGCCCTCAGTCACTGAACTGGGCTATACGAAAGCCTCACCCGGCCCAACAGAACCAACATCAAACTGCCAACATGCTGAAGATTGAAGATTTGCGTGCACACGCAACACTTCTTCAGTGCATACAGAATGGACAACTTTCCACTAAGAATGTTATTCATACGCAGCACAATACGCATTGTCGACGAACCAACACTCCGATTGTTCCCCTTTTTCGCCGCTCATCCCATGTCACGAACCAACAGCCTTCAGCATTAACATGAACCAATCGCAATACCGTCCAGACGTATTGCCAAAGCCTCTTCGGGCCACGCCGCTTCCATCCCATCTCCTTAGCGCCACCCGATTTCACGCTTCATCCGGCCCAACAGCCACCAGCATCATTCATTCCCTTGGCTTCACCTGAGATGCCCATGCGTCTTGATTGAAACAAAAAGTGCATTCACCACTTGAAAATGAATTTGACTGGGAAATCATTTCAACTGAGACAGCACGTCACTCGTCATGCTCGCATGTCACTCCGTGTCAAATATCTGGAATCAAAGAGCTCCTTGGCCTCAACCAACCAATACAAGGAGGGTACAAAAAAAATCATGCATAGATCCTCACCGTACATTCGTTGGCCAAAGCTTACCGCCACACCTAGATGGAACAATACCCTTTTTCGAGCCTATTTCCGGATATATCCTTTAATGAGATCCAGGGCGGCGATGATGGCTTCGAGGTTCCTGATGCTACCAACTAACCAATCCCGTGATGTCATCGTAGTACAGTACTCGTAGGACAAGAACTTCAGCTCATACCTCACAAAACCCCCTTTGCCCGCGTTCCATTCGGGGCTTATTCGCGGTGACAGTCTATTGAGGAGCCATCCCCCCCCCAACAAAGGCCCCTTTGGCTGTTGGCCAGTACTCCTCTAGCATCCTCCTGTTGCCCTGTTTGTGGATTTGGCGCTATGATTGATTCAGTTCATTGTAGTGCTGGAGCGAACAATATGTCATGATATATATGGTCCACAGGTCAAGGCGCCGTGACTAGTCATCATCACATACTCGTTCATGGCAATGAAATTGCACAGGCAAAATCCCTCACCATGTCTAATATCAAAGCAGTGCAGCCGGAGCAAATCACCGTCCTCTTACCTGACATGTTCCAAACCTTCCTCAAGCAAGCACCTCTAGTAAATCCTCATTATGAAGCCGTCAAAGCGGAGTCGGAAGAAGCACTGGGCAGGTAAATTCCAGCACCCCTTTCTGTTGCTTTTTCTTGTGCGTCGTCGTATCGCTCATCCCCAGCATCCCACGCGCTGACAGTCTTGCCAAAGATTCTGTGCCTTTGGGCCGAAAATGAATATCAAGGTCAACAAATGCGATTTCTCCTACTTCTGCGCCATTGCCGCTCCGCATGCTTCTCGATCAAGGTTTCGAACCTTGTGTGACTGGGGGAACTGGGTAAGCAAGAGTCATCACGAGCCAAACAGCTTACCCCTGAAGGAACCCTACTGACCGAGCATCATGACTCACCACAGGTTTTCCCATACGATGACAGTAAGCCCATTCGCTCCCCGATGACTGCAGTTACCTAACGACAGCCTCAGTGTTTGACAATGGACACCTGCGACATCGACCGGGAGAATCTCAGCTCGTAATGGAGAGCTTGATGATGCCCATGCTGAGCGGTGCCTCTAGAAAAGACCTCAACATCAAAGATCGCCTGCGGATTGTAAAGTTCCACGATACCGTTGTCAAGAGAATGGCCTTGGTATGTTGGTCCCGATGCTGGATCGTATCTGCCTTCCCATCCTCTCCGCTAACAGACCATGTTGTCATCAGAAAACACCCACCGGTACAATCCTCAACCATCCACCTTGACACCGTATCCCATACTAACACCCTCACCAAGGCATCCAACGGAGATTTGCCCTCGCGATGCAAGGTTATTGCCGAGGCGCACTCGTGCAGATCGACAACCAGTTTTCCGGAAAACGCCCCACGCTCGAAGAAATCGCCATGATCCGCCGAGAGTCCGCGGGCTGCAGACCCCTATACCACCTGGTCGAATATGCACATTGCCTCCGGGTGCCGGACGAGGTGTTTGACCACTCGGTCATTCAAGAGCTGGAAAATATCGGCATGGACATGGTGGCCATGTAAGATTCTGATTCTGCCTACATCCTTGTTCATGCCTGGCGTTCCATGTCTCACGGAATCGTGTGCAGATCAAACGACATTCTGTCCTACCGCAAAGAACAAGTCAGCATCCAATCTCTCTCCCGCTCCCCCTTTTATGTGTCAGAGGCTTACTCTCGGACAGGCAGAGGGAGTGCCGCACAACATGGTCACGGCCTGTCGACTCAGCGGATTGTCGGCACAGAAAGCATTTGACAAGGTAGGCAAGCTTCTCGAAGACCGCTACCAGCGCTGGGACAGGGCCGAGGCCAGTGTCCCGAGCTGGGGAGAGGAGGCTGATGTTCACGTCCGAAAGTACATTGAGGGCATCAAATGTGTAGTCAGAGCTAATCTCAACTGGAGGTGAGGAGCAAATCTGCACCCATGGCAATTCGTGTCTCGCGGGACTGACTTGTGGATAGTTTTAAATCCGAGAGATACCTGGGCTCTAATCCCGACCTTGTTCGAGCGACCCGAAAGCTTCAAATTCTGGCGGATTCGCCGGCCGCAGATGTGCAACCAAAGCTGTTTGACAGAGCCCTTCTACTCGAAATTTCATTTTTGCTTGGAATCTATTTTTCCTTGAGAATCATCTTGCCCTGGCAATTGTTTTTTGTTTAACGCTCGGCGTTGCGTGGGATTGAATTTTTTTTTACTGGGATTTCTCTTCCTTAATGCTCCTTTGTGCTTCACCCTTGCTCTTGCGAGAGAAAATACAGCCTGTCCAATGGGGAATTGTTAGACGAGCGTAATCACTATACCATGTTGTTTGTTAATTGAGAATCACAAATCAAACCATTGTTTCGCAACTTGAGACCGAGTATTGCTTGATTGCCTTGTGAAATGGTTTCCGATCACTAATTAGATCGCTGCTGATGCGCCGCTTCGAGACGGACTTTTGATCGCTGGGGCCGGCGAAATTGCCAAACCGGGTCTCCGTTTCGGTTCATCCACTTTGGTCCGCAGCCCCAGAAGCATATTTTGACAGGTCCGTGTGGTTTGACGTCTCGGAACGTCCATTGCTGGAGTTCGCCGCAGTGCTTTGACCTCGAGGCGACCAAGACCTCGCCCTGCCACGGGTTGAAATCCCTGGAGGTGTAGGCGGTGTCGTCAACCTTGTTCGCCCTGTTCGCCCTGCCCGGTGCTTGTCAGGATAGTGAGGACCGTGCTTTTCCAAGGGCGCAATGATTACTCGTACATGGTAGTATTTTGCATGGTGGCAACAAGGCGCGTGTGTAAGTGCCCGGTGCCACTGCCGGTCTTCTAGGCTCAACCAAACGCCGAATCAGGCCCCTGTCTTGAAGAATCAATGCCTCATCCAGCGTCATATCTGTAGAATTGATTTGAGGCTCTTTGTTCTGAAACATCGCGTAAAGGGCGAGATGCCACCATTTCAACGTGAACTCGCAGGGGTGACCCATGCTGTGCCTGGACAAGGCTGTACTTGTACCTGCATTCACAGGGCTGGCTCACTGAGAAATTTGGGGGCTAGAACAACGGTGACACGCGTCGATGAAACGCTGTTGGCCTGCCGCCGTTGGTTCGGTAGCTGGGTGTGGGTGGGCGAGGAGGTGATTGGCTTGTTCAGCATTCCTTTGGTTTCCCTTTTCGATTTGCTGCAGTTGAGATTTCTATGCGCAACCTGGCGTGTTGTTTCGGGGTCGCGGGGGTATGTGGTGTTCTTCGTTGACGATCGCTAAAGTCGGACATGGCATCCTATAAAGAACGACTCTCAAAGTAGTTGAAGGAAAAGGTTGGGGCACTTACCGTGGTGTGTGTAGGGGTGTGTGTATGGATGGGTGGCGTTTGTTCTTGCTTTGTGTGAATTATAAAGAAACAAACGAGAATGATCGATAGGACGGCATTGATGAGGATTGTCTGCCGCACAGCAGTAGTGAATGCAACGAAGATGATGACATAGATGGTATCGACAATGCCAAACTATCGAGATGATTGTCGATATCCAGTGCCCTAGGGTAGGCAGGAACATTAGCGATGGTCGATTTCAAACGAGAAACCCTCACCAGTTCACCCTCGAGCTGCTGGAGGAAATGCCCTCCTGGAGCTTATCCTGTCGATCATATAATGTCGCGTGGAATGTGTAGAACTCGTGACATGTCGTTCTTTCTTGAAACGGGCAGCCGTTGGCTTGGATCAACGTAGAGGATGCCCTGAGCACTGTTCGGAAGGGTGGATCGCGTGGGGAAAAAGTCGATCGTTTGGAAAGGAATCGCATTCTTTGTGGCTCGTGTGACGGACTCTGTGCTCTAGTAGGGTTAGAAGACGTTGCAAAATGCTCAAACTAGATGCCCGTACCTTTGCTCAAAACATCTTCTCTCGAGCTTCAGCTCATGGCAATCGTCATCGGGTCGAAATGTGTGATTGGCAGCATGTGGAAGATCGACCGTGGGGATATTCAAGCAACGCAGGTTGGTGATCATCACGTGGTGCCTCTTCTACGGATAGCTCGTCGAAAGACGAAAGGGCAGCACAGCCCTACGTCGTTGGCAAAGAGGATGGAATCATGGGATCGAGGTCGGATAGCGAGAGCAAGCTGCAGTGTGATTAGTATCTGCGAAAGACGGACAAGGCAAACGTTGATCCTCGCACCAAATTGCTTGAGGTTGACGAGGTTGGTGACGAGCGAAGATGTGAGTAGGAGCATCTCGACGAAATCGGCGGAGCATTTGATGGAAGTTTCTTGACGCAGATGGAGGCAATGAAGGTGATTTGGATTGAGAAAGACAAAGATGAGTGCAACGACGGAGAGAGTTTGGAGATTGTCAAAGGAAGAAATCAGACCGCCCGAGGACTGAAATTCTGCCGGGCAGGTTAGTAGTAGCGAAGGCTGCCAAACAGGAAACTCGGCAGGTATCAACAAATAATTTCCCACACAGAATAGCAAAATATAGATACCCTAGAAAACATTTTACAGGTATTTGAAACTATACGCGTGATTTTAGGGTATATATTTACGAATATCGGGCCATCTATTCCGGCGCTCTTGATATAACAGCCCCGTGATCCAGATGAACACCAGCTTTTTCGGCCAGGACTATTATTGCTTTTATTAAGAGAATTAAACAATATACGAGATGAATATCTGGGAATACTGAGATACATTGAGGGTGTCTGAATACTGGATTTCGGTGACCTTGTCAACATGCTGAATGATTTTTTGGTGTCGGTACTTTGTGACTGACCCGTGACCGACCCGTGACCGACCCGTGACCGCCTTCGCACCACTTCCCTCGCGCAAACCTTTGCCCAGCATCATCCAGACCATCCATTTGCCATCCATCTCGGTTCAGTTCAAACAGTGCCAATTCTTCCCCCCGAACGGCCCGGACGGTCTTTTGATTTTCGTCAAGCCCGTTTATCTCGATTGTCCGATCCTCCTCTGCTGATGACGATGGAAGTATCGCGCCAACCAAAATTATCCCCCCTCGGGCAGACACGCCACCTGAATCCGAATCCACAACCGCATCGTCAACTTTGTCATGGTTGAACCAACGCCGTGCCGATTTGCCTGCATCGTTCCGCAAAAGAGGGTCAGGGTTAGCACTTAGTCTGGCCGAGAGTTGCAACCTTCAACAGCCCTACCCAACAAGCTGCTACCGGTCAGTTCCCCCTTCGGTCTCTGCGGTTCTGTCCCATTGCGCCCAGCCTCTGATGTGACGATAGTTCACTGCTGGGCGTTTCCCTCTTCCCCACATCTTTAGAGGACCAGATACAAGAGAGGTACTTACTTCACTAACCATCGCAAACTTGCTCAGACAGTTCGCCATCTTGCATGACGCAGTCCTCAGCCACGTCCTTGTCCGATACGCACGATGGTTGACTACTTGCATTCTCAATCTTTGCTGGGAAGATTCGATGCTCGAGAGCTGCTGGACTTTGAATCATGACAAACAAACAGATTCGATACACTCAGTGCCCTCTGCTTCTAATCAACCACATGGAATCCCCTCTGTTGCTCGTGTATGGCGTTCCACTCTCCCATTTCCTGGGAAAATGACATCAAGACCCATTTTCCAGGAGGAGAACAATCCAATGGCAGTGAGAGGAGCTCTCTTCCCACGAATAGACTTTCATATCGTGCCTCTCTGGTACCCAATTCCAGAGTTCGGCACGCTCATTTCAAAGAGCCTAAATGGAATACAGTGTGACATGATATTCTGGTATTGGGGCAAGTCTAGCTGTATAATTCAATGGACTTGTTGTCGCTGGCATAGGTACGCGCATAGTGCCCTAAGTGGTACTGCGATCTTCAGATATATCTGACATTGGTACATGAAGACTGATTACAGTTGCAGTTATGTATTCGCCGCCCCTCTGGTAAAGAGCGGCTCATAGGTACTCGTCCATCACCGGCTCAGGGGAGGGCCAGCAGCTGCCCGGACATTCGAACCAGCCCCCCTTTCCTCGAGGCTCTTGTTGCTGCTCCCAGCTCGTTTTTTGTCTGGCGGAAAATCACCACTTTCTGAAACTCAATATCAGGCTAGAATTGGCGCGTCGATGGGGCATATGTCTCAGGAAAGCTCGCTTGCGAACGAAACAAGCTGGCTACTCGGAACTTTGCCGAATACACCTCGGGTACCGTAACTTCTGATACAATCTGATGACTCGGTTCTCTCTCTAGTGCCAGAACATTTTTCATCATGAGCTCAGAGTTGTGACAGCTACAGCACATTGCCCAGTGTCGGCCTCTGGCGATATACTGGATGATAGCCCGACTGCACGGGCTAGTTGTGTAATCACAGCCTTCAACAGCCCTTTGAAGGATGCCATGAGTTGACATCAAAAGCCAAACAAGCCATGCAGACAGCAGGACAAATGAATACTAAGCTACGATTCTCTGATGCCCTCAGTAGTGTGCTTGACGCACTAACCAAAGATAGGGGTGAAAGTATACAGCTTGTACTTGCATTAAACTCTAACCGCCTCCTGAGGGTCCGTCTTCCTTGTGGGTTCGGGTTCTCACCCCGGAAGGGAGAAACAGAAGTCTGAGGGACGACTCAAGCACCACAGGTGCTGATTTCGATCAGGTTCGGTGTGCTCGGCTGAGCGTATAAATATACAGCCTCCCCCCCGGTAGTCGTGTATTCTTCTTCAGCCATCATCTTGAGCCAGTCACATCAACAGGCCTCTTTGCCTGCAGTTGATGGCTTGTACAGATCAAGCCACACCCTCACAGCACTCCTGCTAATATCGGCATCTCTACTTCCAGATGAATTTTGGTTATCACTGCGCCCCGATGGGTCGCCTCCAGGACCTCTGTGGCCCTGGTGACCATGACAAAGCCAAAGACGATTGGACCTCTGAGTATGTGAGGCATTTACTGTCGAGAAATGTCCTCCAGTCATGTTTTCCAGCAGAAACGCCAGAGGCAGACGCTGCGACCAAGAAAGACAAGGGCAAGGGTCCCATGACAGATGCCTTTTCGCCTGCCTTTTGGTATCCTCCTCCAGGCATCTGCTTATTTTGTAATCAGCGCCGTACTTCGAGCGCCGGTCCCGGATCTTCCCCATCGCTTACCTCAAACACCACGATGAACACCGACACCGTCATGCCGCGGCTCCCAGACATCAGGGCGGCCACTCCCGAGACATCGACTTCGGGGGGGAGCTCAAGTGCTCCTCCGTTGCCTATGCTCTCGAACAGCGGACCATCCAGCTCTGGCTCCCGTTCTGGCTCCCGTTCTGGCTCCCATCCTGGCTCCCATCCTGGCTCCCGTCCTGGCTCTAGTTTTGGAACATTCAAACTTGTTATTCGGCCTCATCCACGATATGCCACTGAACCAGGCACGACACCCCTTCCGAGCCAGCAGCCGCAAAAGCTATGTCCTACGCCCGAACCAACGAAATCCTCTGCAATGTGTCACAAGGTATTCAACGCCTTTGGTGAATGTAACTTTACTGCCGTCGAAGTTGCACGACATTCCCGCGACGGCGCAAATGAGCCAGTTCCTCTCGGCGGGCTTCCAAAGTGCAGGTGCAGAATTGAAACGGTATGCTATCGGCCAGCAAGCGGCAACGGCAACGAGGATATCCCGCCGCTTCCCCTGTCGATTCCGGGGAGGCCGATGACATCTCCGCGCGAGCCAGGCCACCACGGGATCCATCTTCGCGACGACGCAGCCGATACCTACATAGAATGCGCAGTGCATCTCTATTTCTGTTCACTGGAAGGCAAAGTCAATGACATGCGCTTCTGGTATCGCAACGACACGATGCACTTCAACCAGATGATGAAGCTACAGCTGGATGTTGAGACATTGGCCCGCAGGATGGCCGTTGCTCTGGCGATTATGCATTGGTTCGCCCGCATCGATGCCCGTGGAGTTCAATTTTACCTCTTCAGCCAATGGCAAAGGATCCAGGGGCGACAACTCCCACAGGATGGTCTTCAGCCCGGCCAATCACTCGCATCTCTTGCTGAGGGCCAAACCCACCTCCGAGTCGGTCACTTCAAGGAAGCCCAGATAATGGAAATGAATGAAGACGGCGTGAAGATGGCCGTGGAAGCGGTGAAGTGCAGCATCTATATCCCAAGACCTAACCAGAAACTACCGGCCCAGAGGCGGACGTGGGACGCTTTTGTCTCTAGCTACATTGCGGCTTCTGAGATGATCCTGACGCACAAGGGTGGGAACTCGAGCTTGCCGCGCCTCTTTATTTACAAGGTAATTACTGAGGAGCGGCACTGGGAGATTCCATACTGAGGATTCAATTCCATTTCGAGCGTCGGTATGACGAGCGAAAACGACAATTGGGGTATTCTGTTCTACAGGGTGGCCGAGATGGTGGAGGAGGAGGGGTTTATGCGATTGAAGTACGTACACGCACTTGCTACGAGAGAGGTAGACAGTTGAGTAAGAAACTTGGCTATGTAGATTAGGAACAACTATCAAAACGAAATACACGATGTTTTGAAAAATATCACCACGTCGCATATAAAGTCGTGATCGAGGGTTCATTTAGAGTCAAGTGTTAGTTAGCTCGATCCGCCAAGAGTGGCGTCTCGGATCTCGGATCTCGGATCTCGTCGTATCTCAGCCCTGTGGAGCGAGCAATAACATAATCGGATTGGATGAGGATGGTAAAAAGGGATTCGAATGTTGAAACTCGGCATCGAATTTATGAGATGTTTTGTATTTCTTTGGTGAGATGTTGCGGGTTTACCCCAAGAGAATGAGTATCCAACCATTCATGAGCCCATGTAATAGAGGCTGAATGTGTTACGCACAGAGGTAGACGAAAATAGGTCGATGAAAGCGAATACGATTGTGGACAAAGGATGAGTTGCACTGAACCAAAGGGACAAAAGCGACCCGCAACCGAAGGCTGAGCTGAAACGTGGCGCAGAGCCTTGAAGTGGTGATGAACTCATTTTGTAATGTTTTATCAGGTACATGTTTCTGCGAGTATGGAGACTTGTGGAAAAATCTGTGGAACAAGCCACCATGCGAACGCACAATCAGCCTCACTTTCATCACTGGACGGGGCTCCATGTTGAAGACTCCAACCTTGATGAGCAGATTATTACGAATTATTACCGCAACACAAAGTATCCCTTCATCCACCCAAGATGACTCCATCACAGCTCGTCATCCTTATCGCACTTCTTGACCTCATAGTCCACAGTCTCGTTGCCCTGCCCCCAAATCTTGGGCTTGAAGTCGAGATACACAACCTCGTTCTTCTTGGGCTTCCACTCGCCGTCGGTATCGCGATAGTACACAATCTCGCCACTCCCGGCGTCCTTCACCTCCACCGTCGTGTGGGCCAGCGCCCCGTTGGTCGACCACTCGAACCGGTAGCACGAACCCTCTTTGACGGGGAACGGCTTGGTGCAGCGAATGTTTCCGTCGCTGTCGATGCATTTTTCCACGGCGAAGTCGAGTACGTGGCCTTTGGAGACGGTGTCGCCAGCTAAGAGTCATTGCAAGGTACTGCGTTAGTTTTTTCTTTTTTTTTGGTTTTTCACCAAGTTTTTTACACTTTTGTTGGGAGAGAAACGGGGAAGATGGAGTCTCGTACATGAGGCGATGCTTGCGAGGGCGAGGCCGGCGGCGGTAAGTTTTTGGATATACATGGCGTCGTGAGTCGTGATTGTGAAAAGTATAGGCCCGAAGGTGGAAATGGAACCGAGTTGAAGATGTGGATATAGATAAGGCAGTACTGGTTATAGGAATAGAAATGGATCGAGGATTGTCGTGACCAAAAGGAGGGCGGAACTGTATCTTTCTTATAATAAACATTTCGCGGATATCGTCGCATCATCGATGACGCGGGCTGTGGAGCTTTTGCTCCAAACCTTACGAGCACAGCGCACGAGTTACAGGGGCTGCAGGGTGGCCAATTGCCCGCAGACGCACTGTATTACAGCGCCCCGACGGGATTCGCAGTGCGCCGGGCACCCTGATGTCCCCTGTGAGTGCAACCGAGGGTGTTATCGATGGGTGTTACTGATGGGTGATACTGCACCTGCAGGAATCCATCCAACATCAATTTGAGCATCGCAATTAATATAGACTCGATTGTTTCCCACCATCTTGTCATTTGTATGAAACATTGCTGGTTACATAAATTCCTCGGCTGCCGTACCCCTTGCATGCCAATTGAGTTCTTGGCCGGCCGGTGATGATGCGGACATGACCGGGTTCGACCATGGATGCCTGGCATTTGACGTCAGAATGTCGCATGCCAGTATCACCAATTCCGGCCATGGAAAAACGTGGCGGCGTTACAATATGGAGATGAATCTCACAATCATGAAGCAGTAAATAAAACTGATTCAGGGCGATATTTCTGATGTAGTGGAGCAATTGAGCAGAGTGCAATAGAAGTGTCAATCACTGAGCTTCACAATAGCTGCTTCAAAGCATCTCATCATTGCGCTTCAGAGCCGTGCATAATTTCGGATAGCCTCGTCTTCAATAGAACTTGATCCAAGCTCTGTGCATACAAAATGGCTTTTTCTAGGTACTTATGTGTACGAAAATACATGAGATATCCTCAAAAATTATGTAATATTACCTTAGTACTAATGTAAATGACCTTTTGTTCGTCGCTCAAGATGAGCATCGACAAGCGAAGGAGGTTCCTGCCTTGCATCGCGATGCTGACTAACGTGCCTTCGCTAAACAGTTCGCTTAACAGCTGTAAACGAAGATTATACCTGAGGCAGGACACAAAACAACACCTGCGCACTTTTGTTTCTAGATTTTGTCTTTTTCTTTCCATTCCATCTTCTTCTCTCTCGTTTTTATAATGCCATACAGCGTAGAAATAATCTCATATCCAACATGGCCCCAAGATCTCGCTCTTCCCATCTTTGTCTGTCTCTCTTGTTATACACATCCATCTACAGTTTGTGAACGTCACGTTGTAATCCAACTCCTTCAACGCCAATGTTTGCACGCTGCTAACCATTTCCCCAGATATCAGGCATTCTCGTCATCCAAAGAATGAGATTATCCGTCTCCTGCCTCCCGTCACTCTCCTTCAGTCATCCTCGAGCCCAACCAGCTGCTTCATCGCAACGTTCTTGATGATCCTCAGACCTCCATTCAGCGTCACCACGTCAACGTTTCCACTTCGCAGCTGAGCTTCATATTTCCCCAATGCCATTCCAACCAAAAACCGTCCCATTGGTTCGCTCGGGCAATGCAACCACTTGGCGCCCACTTCAATCGGCTTCCTCAACAACATCTTGGTGCTGTCGATCAAGAGACCTTGATTCTGTAGGTACGGCCGAATGGCTGCGTGATCTTTACCATCCACAAATCCAGGTCCCACGGCATCTGCCAACAGACGCGGGTTGGTGATGCGCATCTGAGACAAGGCAAGTTCGGCCTCGCCCTTTGTTTTGCCGTACAGGTTTGTGAATCGACCTGGCGTCTGTGTTGAGCCTTGGCCGGATACAAAGATGAACCGGAAAGGGTCGTTGTTTGGTGGCAACGTGGAAAAGGCTTCAGCGCTTGCAAGGGGATAGTCCTTTGTGATCCTTATAAACTCCCTGTGCGAAGAGGTCAGTTGGTTTCAGTTTCTGACACGGACTACGCAATGCCACCGACATACTCCTTCGAGACTTTTGTTTGGCTAACTCCCAGGGCCCAAACTGCACCGGTTGCTCCCTGAAGCTTGCTCAGCACTTCTGAATCATACTTTGAAAAGTCTTTGTGAATGATGACATTGACCCGGGGGTCCTTGGCGTCTTCAGCCATCGCGACAGGTCTGCGGCTGAGAATCGAGATTTTCGTCACCTCGGTCATTTTGAGCATGGCATCGAGAACGCTCGAGCCGATGAGACCAGTGGCGCCGGTAAGTATCAGGTGCATTGTGGAATGTTTATCGCAGACAGCTTTTGATGGCTAATGTTGTGGTTGCTTTCAGACAAGCTCGCTCAATCAAGACGATACAACGGTCGGTCGACGAAGCATAGGTCGAATTCGGGTTCACAACGAAGAGAGTCCAATATGAGCCCGAAGGACTGGAGTTGCGACAGAGATGAAGGGCCACTGGATTGATGCCGTCTCCCAACTGGCGTCTTCACTGTCATTTATATCCAATTGATCGTATGTCCAAATGGGACTACGACGGCTGACATTTTATTTCCCAATCGGGTGTACGTTGAAACTCCACCCTTTCCCGCCAACTCTATCTAACGAGCCTCTCGAGTCAGTCAGCCAGTTTCCACCCACTGGGCATTAGCTTGTCAGCGATGTTCCGAAGAATCGATATGACATGGACTTGCAATGAGAGTGCTGTCAATGCCTTTGCATCAGACTCGGGTATGTGTCGCATTTATACTGTTTGGCGGCATCCTGGATGACATTCTCGGCAGTGGCCCGGAAAAGCCCATTCGGCTCCAGACCCAACAACTAAGCTAGCTGGCGGCTTTTGACTGCATCAAGAGAGCAGTCACACTATGGTCTGTCCTGTCCTGCGGCAAAAGACTGAGTAAACATTGACGAACTAGAAGATTTAGGCTTGATCATTGCGTCTTGAGCACTCTGTTACGGCCATGCCAGCATCTCTTCTCCCGTCTGGTCTAACATGTCGCCTCGGTGAAGCAGCACCAGGACACAGAGTCTTCTCGTGATGCAACCCTGGATCGACAAACGACTCCCGTGCTTCAGGTATACCCTGGCATCCTGGTTTGCCCTACATCCTACCGTTTTCCGGATTCGATGGTAACTACCGAATGTGTTTTAGCCAGGGGCTCGTTCCGGATTCCGATCCGCGTAGTATTCGGCGGCGGCTGCATTGGCGAGCACCCGGCTGACGAAGGCTACTGCTGCATCAGGTAATATCTTCTTCTTATTTGAACCCAAGTTATCCCGTTCTATGCCGTCATGGGTGTTTGTGAGAAGCTGTTAACCTTTCATTAGCATAGCACTGTCGCTTGCTACGATTACAACCCCGGCTCGATGCGGCGTGGCCTACAGCACGTCTTAGAGATGACATACCTGTACGCAACAGGATGTCGTTGCAGCAAAGAAAATACTAATCCTGCCACACAGAAACAACACATACGCCGCCCGACTCAATTTGTGCAGGTACCATCTGTGATTTCACAAACATCACGCTCTCTCGGTCGCGCTGCTGGCAATGTTGTCTCTTGGATAGCCAAGCCAGACATTCTTCAAACAAGAGGCTTTCATCAGATGGACTTGTCAGTGTTTCATTTGTCACTTCTTGCCCCCAGATAAACTGCTTGATTCACTGACTTGATGTTGCAGATCAACTGCACCTCGTATAAGTCGTCAGTTGTCTAGATACAATCAGTCACAACCCCGAAAGGCATCTTCACCCCTATTCTACACGAGAACAGGAAGAACGTTGCATTCTGCGTATTTATTTTGGCCCAATCCCCATGTTTCAAGAGATTGAAACAACTTGAACTCCGCCTGGGTAGGCACTGTCCAATTGCATTGTGGAGTTGTGTCGTTGGCTGTGTCTCCGCCGGATGGCACATCGGGTCCTCGCCTTTCTTACTTTATACTTTCACAATAATCACGCAACGGACTCCAAACATATCATATGCTTGGCAGATGACATACCTGATGCCAATGACAGCAAACAACGTTTACTGATATTCCAAATTGTGCAAAAGCCACGTCTTGGTCAGACAGATCGTTGGCTCTGACCTCTCACAACTCTGCAACTAATCAGGACCCAAGGAGAGAAAACAGGCCGCCGCTTTGGTTGGCTTACAAAAGCCCTTGCTGTATTCGGTCAAAGTGGACTGTGGTTCGCCTTAGTGCTTCATCCCCTGCTAGGAAAGCAAGCCTACCCGTTCGTCAGAGCTTCCAAGAAGTTCGTGGGCTCAGATCCCAAGCTAAGAAAGGCAAGTGTTCGATACCACCCCATCCCGAGTTACCGGTCGGCCGAGGTGCCTTGACCAAGTCTGCCGAGGCTGCCTAGATAACCTAGAGGCTTTCGAACATCCTAGGTTTGCGGGACGGATAGCGCCAATCTCCTCGGACCAGGCGCAACTTGGCGCAACTTGGCGCTTACTAGCACCACTTAGCTAATGTGACTGACTGATAGGCTTCTATTGACATATGAGCAATCAGTTGAACAGTCAAACCTGGGCGTTCTTGCATTGTCTTGCATTCCCCAAGAGGTAAAAGGCAAAGCCCTATTTCGTCCTGCAGCTCCTTGGCCCCGCCTGTTGCCAAGATGTCAATCGGGAGAGCAACCGGGTTGTCGCCTGACTCAACTCCACGAGTCCGTCTTTCATTAGCAAACTCCATGGAGACAAAATAATATGTCTTTGCCTGCCTTGTGTATTACTGAACCGGAATGGTCTGCTGACGTTAGCCGCCGAAACCCGCGTAAACCCAAGCAGTTCAATTGAACAGCGGGTTCCTGACTCGCATCCACTCCGCATTTGTGCTCTTGTTCAAAGGGGGTCACGTAATGCGAGATCTTCTCTGGCTATATTGCGACACCCTCTTGGCCAGAGTTGGGTTACGTCTCAAGTCCGGATCTGTCGGGCATTGGTTGAACCAAGCCTGGCTGGTGGAGACGCGTGATACCTTGACGGCCGAAGTGCTTGTTTACTAGCCTATTGGTTCTTGTGCTGTCCATTTATATGCTCGGGCTGCTATCACCATCCTTGGCAAGGGCTGCATGTGGGATGGCCCCCAAGAACCATGTTTAGGAGCGGCCAGGGCCGAGAATCGCAGCCAGGATGAAAATATTTTGCACACACTTGTCGACATTTATCGCTTGAGCCTTCTTTCTTTCTGATTTATCATGGGATATCTTCTGGAGTCGCATTTTACGCCTCATTCGAGATGCCGAACTACACAGCGCAACTGGCCCAACATATTTCGTCTCTTGTCCACCATCCCAGCTCTTTCTTCAGCGTCATCCCTCCGGCTAGCGTCGCTCTTTTTGCCTTAGTGGTAATAGTTGCGTGGTTTGTGTTGTCTTCAACATGGCAATACTATCGACTTCGCCATTTCGACGGGCCGTTGCTGGCCAAGATCTCAAACTTGTGGCTCTTTAGATCTGTGGATAGCGGCAGATCGTATCTCGACTTCTGGGAAGTGACGCAGAAATACGGTTAGTAGTTGGTCGCGGCTCGCAGTCATCGCTCACACTGTCCATGCACTGGTTTGTTGAAACACCACTAACCACACCTTGCCATTTCACAGGAACAATCGCTCGAGTCGGACTAAACGATCTCGTCACTGATGACCCTGTCTTTGTTAAGCACATGTGCAATGTTAAAACAGAATATCGACGGTCCAGTTGGTACGATGGCATGCGCTTCAACCCCACCTCGAACAACTGTTTGTCCACACGAGATGAAGCTGCACACTCCGCTCTGCGATCCAAAATGGCCGCTGGTGTATGTGTTATGACATCTTCAAATGCAGAGTTTTGGAAGAAGCTGACGGCCGGGAACCTTAGTACGCTGGCCGCGATGTCGACAACATCGAATCGAAAATTGACAACAATGTCCGAGAATTCATGGGCCTGCTAAACAGATACGCTGACAGAAAGGCTCCCGTGGACCTTGGCCGCAAGGTTCAGTTTTTCACCTTGGATTGCATCTCTGATATTGCATACGGAGCGCCGTTTGGCTTTGTCGAGACTGACACTGACGTCTACGAGTACATTGAGACGACCGAGAAGAACCTCCCTATGGTCATGGTGGTTACTGTGTTCCCCTGGCTGCTCCAGCTGTTGAATTCTCCCATTCTCAAAGGGTTGCTCCCATCAACGAAAGACAAGCTTGGATTTGGTAGGATAATGAGGTGAGCAGACTGTCCCCAACCCCCTGGCACGGCTTTGTCCCACAAGAGTAAGACTTCGCATGTTGACTCCGCATGTTATTTGTCAAGCATCGCAAGAGACGTAGCGGCAGAACGTTTCAAGCCAGATGTCAACAGTGAGCGGGACATGCTCGGGTCCTTCATCCGACACGGTCTCACCCAGACCGAATCCGAGTCCGAAATCCTACTGCAAATGTAAGCCATTTGGCTACCCCCTGCAACATTGACTCATTCAGATTTACTGAGTAATCCAGCGCTGCCGGATCTGACACAACCGCGTCAGCCATCAGATCCACGATGATGGAGCTATGTGCAAACCCCGAAATCCTCCGTAGACTTCGGCAAGAAATCGCTTCTGCCAACATTGCCGGCGATGTCATCACCGACAGCGAGGCCAAAGTGTTGCCATACCTTCAAGCAGTGATCAAAGAGGGTTTCCGTATTTTCCCGCCAATCGCGGGTCTCATGTCAAAAGAGGTTCCACCGCAAGGAGATACCTGGAACGGCGTCTTTATTCCAGGGGGGACCAGAGTGGGCTACAGCATCTGGGCGATTACTCGGCGACAAGATGTCTGGGGTGAAGATGCGCTGCAATTTCGGCCAGAGAGATGGCTCAATATTTCTCTAGACAAGCTCAAGGAAATGGAGAGTACTCTGGATCTCATCTTCAGCTATGGTCGATGGCTTTGTTTGGGTAAATCCATTGCCCTGCTTGAGTTGAACAAGGTCTTTGTCGAGGTAAGGTTTCGTGTCGCGTTGTGCAAGTTGGCCGCTGACCATAGTTTGTGTCGTATAGCTAATCCGACGTTTCGACTTTACGCTGTGCGACCCGGATAAGCCTTACAAAATCTTCAACCACGGCGTCTTTGCCCAATCACAGATTTGGATGGATGTCACAAGAACGAAAAAGACACAATGAAGACGTGTTCATTGTGAGAATGATGAGACGAATGTAACGACGAAATGAAAGTGCGCTATACCCACGGCTCTTCAAATTAACGTCATCTAAGAGTTTTGATGTTCAAAATGATGGTGTACCAACTCAAGCCTTTTGTACCGATTCAAGCCTCTACTCACCTCTCTCCTCAAGCGGTCTCTTCTCTGAGTTTTTTGAAGTAATGCTCACTCCAGGTATCCTGCCACAAGACGCTCTTGAGCGTTACTTGAAGCTGGTCCATGTCCCGAAAGCTGGACTTGGCGTAGAGCGATTTCAGACTTTGCGCAAACCACTCTTGTCGTTTATTTTCGAGTGCTGCTGCATATCCGATGAATAACATCCACAATATCCAGCTTTGCTTATGTGTATTCGACGCAGGCTTCTCTATGAGCTGCAGATTGAAGGTAGCTTGCAACCGATCAATCAGGCGCTCAATCATCCGAGCTCTTGCAGGAAGCTCTCGTATAGCCAGGTAGAGGTATAGGTTCAAGGCAACGCACAGGGGAACCAATTCACTGCTGCTGGCTCCGCGATCGGCAATACTAGCTTTTACAAGATGGAGCTTGTACTCGGTGCCGTATACTCGGCTTGCTTCCGTCTTTTTGTGGCCCGGTACGTCTTTTGTAGCGGATATCTTGCGGAGAGACTGCACGAGGGAGACGATTTGCGACTCAACATCGAGATTGTCTTGCGAGAGGTCGTCTGTCGATGATGTTTCGGATGGGAACTCGATGTCATGTGTCGAGGAAAGGGAAGTATGCGGAAACTGCGGCGGACAATTCCAAACGCTCGAGTTGCAGAAATCAGCCCTGACAGTCAAACATCGTCAGCTTGACTCAGCGGATTCTTTCGGTGATATTATCGGGGAAACCGGAGCTTACCAAATGACTACTCCGCGATGAAGGCCCTTGATATTCTGGATTCCGCCTCTTTTCTCAATCATGTACTTCAGGCCCTGCATGTGCATGTATGAGACGTCAAACAAGCCCGCGAGATTCTACACGGCGTACAATTAGCATTGCAGTAGTGATGCTAGAGAGACGGCAGAAACGTACTTCTTTGGCGCCTATCAATGCAACCGATGCTATCGTCGCATCTTCAAAGGTGCCGCTCTGGATTTGTTCGTTGATCAACCGAAATGCCTCAGATGAATGATAGAGGCACCCAAAGGCATCGGAGAAGCCACGTCTGAGGTTAAAGTCGAGGGCAACAAGATACAAAATGGAATGGAACAGAGCCCGGTGTTCCCGAGCATCGAACAGGCAGTAGCCGCCTCCTATGTTGAGATCGAGAAAGTCCTTGGAATAGCTTTGTTTATCTGGTGATGCCAAGGTCAGTGACATACTCGTCAAAGCAACCGATGCCTAGCAACTCAGATTCTTTGCCCGACTAACAATAGTAAATCAGCTTCAAACTCTCCGGCTTCAAGTTGAGCGAAAACGAGTTAAAAGGATCCAAACTCCCGCCCAACAACCCCGCAGGCGTACTCGCAAAGAACCCGTCCGGGTCGTAAACGCTAGGATCGGATATCGGACCCCTCGGCACCAGAATCCTTCCCTTTTGCGCTCTTGCGACTTCATTAGAGGTCTTCTCGCGACTTTTCGCCTTCCTGACGCCTGCTTTGGGCTTTGTCTTGTTGGGCTGTGAGTTGAGTCGAAATCTTCCCTTGTACTGAGATGGGTTCGTGGGATTCTCGCTTGCCGCCTGGTCGGAGCTGTCGGGATTTCTTTGTTTCCAAAAGTAGTCCTTCATGACTTGCGTGCGGACAACAGTCGATATTGCCTTGTTGCCCTTTTGCTTTGCTGGTGTCACCGAGACAAACTCGAGCGGTTTGTGGCCGCTTGACTTCGCATGAGAGGTGGCGACGTCATCTTTGATGAGAGAATTGTTTGCTTCAATTTTGATTCAGTTTCAGGAACATTGAAGTCACAGTCAAGACAAAAGAAGAATTACCGTTTTCTTGTGAAAGTGTGGTGTCTCTCGGGTCTTCATACGGGATGACGTTGAATCCGCGAGGGCCGACATTCGAACTCATTGTTTCCCGCGATGCAAATTGGCTATATTTGTAATCAAATCGTCTCATTCAACCACGGTTTCATTCGTTGCTCAATTGCCTAGACGAGGTCGTCAATCGGCAAGTTTAAGAGTTGCAAGAGTAAGCAGAGATCGCAAGCCGGGATAAGAGGATGATTCTGCTTACTAATTTTCAACAGCCGCTGTGAATGCATAATCGCGGAAACAATCATGTGATGAGCGAAGCACTAACAAATCCGGTCGTTGATGCTCCGGAACTCGGATTATTGAATCGCGTTTGCTCTTTTCAACGCATGTTGAATTTCAAGGGCTCAGCAGAATTCTTGGTTTGGCTGTTTGAGCAATCGTTTCTTTTCATTCTTTTCTTGACAGCACCTGGTAGAGCTGCACTCAACTAGACCATTGGATCTTGCGATCCAAAAACACATCCATTCTCTCCTCGACAATGTCATCAAACAGTGACGCTTTGATGAGCAACTTTCCAGGCATGGTAATATCGATCGTGTAAATTGGGCTATCTTGACAGTCAGTACAAGGTGTCTCTCAGGGAATATCATTCCAAAAGAAATCTTACCTTCCACAGGCCTTGCAGAAATTCCTCTGGATTAACGCTTTCTGTCAGAAACATCATTTTTCACGTGGGAATCAAGGGTTTGGCAAGGGGTTTAGACGTACTCTTGCCAAATTGCCCGAGGCTGTCTTGTAGTCTTCATACTCGTTCAGCGCCCTCTGCGCACCGTCAACCTTTACCTCGCTCTCGTCCATGATATAGTTGATGGAATATGCTATCGAGCATGAGCATCATTCTTGTGAGACTAGACAATGTGTCTGTTGCTTACGCCCACCGGCACGGCGACAATTGAGGCTGCGCATATCAATTAAAGGGACTGTAACTGATACAGAGGGTGTGAGATAGCATACCAGTGACAAGCAACCGTCTTTGAGGGGAGTGCAGTCAATGAGACTGTGATGGAGCCGCAGTTACAGCTTCCCGATATTGATGCCATTTTTGAAGGCTTGGTTTGAGTTGTTGATTGAAGACTTTGATCGTGAGAATCGAAATACTCAATCTGCAGTCTTTCAAGGGTTTATTTATGCTTAGAAGGCAGCTTGAAAGCCTTGAAAGCATCGAAAATCCTGAAAATTGCCATTTCTGGAGAACAATCCATTGGCGAATAAAGAAAGCGAGGCATCTCAGAAACAGACCATCATAACCTCACCATCTTGCAAATTCACCGCTGATTCATGAGTCTCGGGAGTGAATCAGCATCTCAGCTCTGTCCGATGCAAGTTGGACTTGAGAATTACCAGAATTGGACAAAGATCGTCTTGGCATTCATCATCCGCGTACATCCAGATTGGCCGTATGTGGCGGCTCCGCTCGGCTTTATCTCCACGGGACACGGAAATCCTCTTCTCGATTTTCAGCTGAGGCTACCAACGGACAGTGTGGTCGATCAACACACTGTGCCGTTCTTCATTCTACATGGCCTTGACAAAGCTGCCTAGATGAAAGATAGTTAGCAAAGGAGCGGTTTTAGCCACATTTGGAAATTCTCAGGGTCTTTTGCCAAAACCATGAGAGATATTCGTGATTCATGATTCACACGACCACAGGACAAACATTTCTCGAAAACTCACCTTCAAAGCAACTCACAGCAAACCAGCCCATGGCGTCATCAACACCTTCCAAGCCAAAATGGGCAACAGTCAAGACAACTCTGCCTGTTCGTCCGTTGCCGCTCAACTCTACGTGGGCTCCAGTCACGACTGATCGCTTAATCATCCGTGCCCTGGTTGCTGAAGACCTCGACAGCCTGCACCTGATCCGCTCACAACCCGAGGTCATGATCAACACTCCCCAGGGAAGACCAGACATAGATGTTGATGAAACCCGGCCAAGGCTCGAGTTTTTCCTACCGCCAAAGGATGGGTCACACTACAACTTTGCCATCTGCCTCAAAGAAACAGGCGAAATGATTGGCATCGGCGGCTGTCACCAGATCAAGTCTATTTTCGGCTGGCCGGCCATGGGATACATGTTTCGAACAGACGCCTGGGGCAAGGGATATGCGACCGAGTTCACCAAGGGGTGGTTGGACATGTGGTGCAAGCTGCCCCGAGAAGAGGCAGAGATCGAAGTGGACCAACGCACCTTTTCCGAGGGGGATGAGCAGCCGCTGGAGATCATGGTGGCGTTTACGTCGGCGGAAAACCTTGCCAGCCAAAACGTCCTTAGCAAGTCTGGGTTCGAGCGATTTTTGGACTGGGAGGATGCTGATTTGCGGAATCCCGACAACCAGATCACTTTGGTGGCGTATAGATATTTTACGGGCAAGCACCTGGCCAACTGAACCCACGGGAGAGATTCAACAGGGAGTATGGATGTCGAGAGATTTTGTTGTAGACCAATAGACTTCAGCAGATTGATGATTTAACCTCGCAATTTCATGTCTGTTCGTGGAGCAGTTGAACATACCGAGAGTGACGTCGTGTGAAGTCTCAGATCGGCCAAACACTCGCCACGGACTCGTTCACTTACAGTCTGATAACCCGTCTTCTGTTATTTCGGCCAACACTCATACAGTTACCCCCTAACCTTGTTGCGGGATCAGAATCATATGCTGTTGAGCACGTTGAAGCAGAGTCTTTTTCTCAACCGGCTTCACACTGTCCATCGGCCCCACAAACCCTCGGACATACGAGTACTGTATGTCTCACAGTCGTTCGTCCCTGAAACTCCACCTTGTTGAACGGCACGAGGCGGTCATAATGTGGATCCCAATCGGTCGGCGCAAAACAACTGTTTTCCTCTTCGAGTAATTTTCCCAGGCAACGTCCAACCGCTTCGGTGGGGTCCACGGGATGCTCTTGGCATGTCTGGATACGGTGTACGTGACGTTATAAATCTGCAGAATTGTGTAAGCCTGAATAAGACTTACGTACAATAACCCAGCTTCATGCTTAATAAACCAATTCGGTATCATATGGAAATTACCCGTTTAAGGCATCAATCTGTGTTGCCAACGAAGAGACGAGGATGTCGACGCGGATCCTGGTATGCGTACCTCCAGTAAAGGAACTGCTCACAATAGCTAGTTGACTTGGGTTCGGATACATAGATCCTTGGATATCCAGCTGCTGAAAGACTCTTAAAAGGCCCTTGTCATTTCGGGCAACTTTCTTTCACGTTCAGAATGGCTTCAACTCCATTCCCCACAACATACAAAGCGGTAATTCTCACAGAAGCCAACGCACCATTCAATCTTCACGACGTGAAGCTTCAACATCCAGGACCAGGCCAAGTGCTCGTCAGAGTTCTAGCATGCGGCGTGTGCTTCTCAGACATCACCATGGCGCAAGGCCATCTCGGCAATGTATTTCCTAGGACTCCTGGCCACGAACTCGTTGGAGATATCGTCGAACTTGGGCAAGATGTCAATCGGTTTACTATTGGAGAGAGAGTTGGAGGCCCTTGGCATGGCGGGCATGACGGCAATTGTCGACAATGCCAAAAAGGACGGTTTCAGATGTGTCAACAGCAAACAATTAATGGAGTTACTCAAGATGGTGGTTTTGCAGAGTATGTACTCCTCCGTCAGGAAGCCGTCGTTCGCATTCCCAAAGAGATGAACCCAGCAGAAGCTACCCCTTTACTCTGCGCAGGAGTCACCGTCTTCAACGGCATCCGTAAATTGCACGTTGAACAGGGCGCCATTGTTGCCGTTCAGGGTCTCGGCGGCTTAGGCCATCTCGCCGTTCAGTATGCGAGCAAGATGGGATATGAAGTTGCAGTACTTTCATCCGGCGACGACAAAGCCGCCATTGCCAGAGAACTCGGTGCACATCATTATATCAACACAAAGAAAGCCGACGGTCCTACTGAACTTGCTAAACTTGGTGGCGCTTCCATTATTGTTCAAACAGCACCAAACCCCGACATCATTGGCCGGCTAGTCGATGGACTTGCTCTTGGTGGTAAACTGCTTTGTCTGGCTCCTGTTGGTGGAGTGGAATTCGATACCGCTGTGCTTGTTAATGGAGGTCGAAGTGTTCATGGCTGGCCTAGCGGCCATGCAATAGACAGCGAAGAGGCGATTCAGTTTGCTCGGGTGCATGGCATCAAGTGTATGGTGCAAGAGCATGCTTTGACAAATGTTCAAGAAGCAATTGATAGTCTCCTGGCAGGAAAGCCTCGTTTTAGAAATGTCTTGGTGATGAAGTGAAGATACCAGGGGGGAGCCAATACAGTATGGAAGTCGAAAACATAATCCTCGTTCATCAAGGGATGCGAGTACCAATATTTCATTGGTGATTTGGGGGTTGGTTGTCCTGATAAATGCTTTGTGACTTTGACACTGCATGGAATCCCAAGCTTCTTCAAGGTGGTTCAAGCCCATACTAAGTGAATCAGACACATCCGAAGCGGATGAATCATGCTGTTCATCCGTGTATCTTGGATATATGCTCAAGATCTGGTCCGTCTTTCGCCGACGTAGTAATAATGATAACTCTATCTACCTCGTATCCCAAAACGATTGCACGATCACTGACTGCGATTTTCTGCGTGTCATATCTTTTGGGCAGTCTGAGAAGTTTCTGTGTACCCCATACGATCCATCGTCCAGAGGAGTGGAGGCCGTAGCCACAACATTGATCTTCTACATCGTACAGTCCGCTCTTTTGACTGTCAGCAGCTGAGTGTGTAGAGATATGTTGCGTGCTGCCATCAAAATGTACATGTCGACCCATATCCCAAAGATGCATACTGTGTATGAGTTGGCCAGTGCTTATTTGCCATATAAATGTTCTTTCTCTCCCACCTATGCTGGCACCGATAAACGAAGCATTGCATGCAAATGCTAGTGTGTCAATATCTCCGGATTCGGCTTCAATCGTGCGAATACGCTCGTTGTTATCGCGATGAATAATGTGAATGCGACTTGCCTTCGTGGCAACAGCGATGAGTCCCAAGTCGTGAGAGAATGCGATGCATTCGATTTCGGTTCCGGGTATAGAGTACTGGTAAATAAGTTGACCGGTTCTTGTCTCCCACAAAAGTACTGTACCTGTGGTTGTAGCAGCTCCCAAGACTGCGGAATCGTGACAAAAAACAACATGACAGAACCAGTGGCCATATTCATTGGTGTGATCCCAACCCTTCTTGCCAATACCCCGTAAGGAAATTGTCTCCCTAAAGTTGATAGCGAAGAACTGCAAGTCATGGGAGAATGTGAAACGCCCTCTATCCATCAATGGCGTTGTGTGGTACTCTACGTCCGTACACAAACCTGTATCCATTTTCCAGATACACACATGTCGCTTGGGAGAGAAACCAAGCGATACTGAGGCCATAAGTGAGCCGTCATGCGAGAACACCATGTCATCTAACGCGTCTCCCGGAAATCTCAGTTTCTGGACAGGGCAGCCAGTTCTAGCATCCCATACCATTATCATACTGCCATGCAGACTTGTAGTTGCAACCAGGGATGAGTCATGCGAGAATTTGATTCGATTGGGGCGCGTGTCGATGGCGGCTGGATCAACCATCGGATGGTTTTGGTCTTGGTCCACGACATCCCACGTGCCGATTTCACCACTGATTGAGGCCGACGCAAAGCACGTCGAATCTGGTGAAAAGGCGACCGACGAGATGAAACCAATACGAGGGTTGAATGCATGAACACATTGCTCCGTATCTATTCGCCAAAGCAATGTTTTCCCCAGCGTGGTGGTGGATAGATAATACTTCCAGTCGTGCGAAAGCGCAGCGTGTGTTATCTTGAGATTGCTGTTTCCAAACTGAATTCTTCTTTCACAAATTTTCGTATCGACTCTCCAGTATTGCAAGACGCCGTCGCCGTAAACGATGGCCAAACGCGTTGAGTCGGGTGAGAACATCATAAGCCATGGATGATAGTCCTCTTTCTGGTGCAGAATAGCCTCGCACGCACCACTGTTGGTGCTCCAGATGCGAATGATTCCGTCTTGAGATGCGGATGCAACAAGTGTTGAGTCTCGTGAAAATGCGACAGTTGGCACGGGGCCTTTATGGCCCAGCAACTCATGCATGCACTCCCCAGTCTCTTCGTTCCATATTCTAACAGTTGAGTCTTCGCTTCCTGATGCTATCAAAGTCGAGTCGTGCGAAAAGATTGCAGATGCAACGGTACCGGAATGACCGACGAGTATTCTGAAGCACTCTCCTGTGTCGGTGTGCCAAATCCGAATGCTATGATCAGCTGAAGCAGACACAAGCCTTGATGAATCGTGCGAAAAGTCCACGGATAAAATAGCACCTGTATGCCCAGTCATTTGTTGTAAACATTCGCCCGTGTCAAGGTCCCATATTTTCAGCGTGTGGTCCCTGGATCCTGAAGCAAGCAACGTCGAGCCATGCGAGAAAGTCATACATTCAATATAATTGCTGCGCCCTTCTATTAGTAGTGTGCACGGATTCAAACTATTGTCGACTGGCGGCGGAAATAGTATCCATGAAGGAATACTGTCTTTGAACTGAGCCCTCACTACGCTGTCCGATGGGGTAAAAACAAGAGCCGAAGAATATGTTTGGAGGGGCCACGACTCAATTGTTGAGGCATGGGTGCGCACAAATTGTTTCGCGTCATTCAGGAAGTCAAATGTCTTGATACCAGTTTCTGGCTGCAAAGATTATTAGCAGTCGGAGAACCGTATCTGAAGTTATGGAATGTAAATAGTAGCATACCTCTACAAGTGTTTGAAGCATTTGAATCAAGCCAATAATTTCTCGAGTACGTTCCATGAGGCTCAGTGTCTCTAGCCAGTGGAGAAAATGCCGCAGTAGAAACTCGCTGGCTGGCCCTCCATCGACAAGCTTTATTTTCGAGTGTTTTACATGGCTCACCCAGTATAGACAAGAGTATTGTAGCTCGGGAGGTAAATGACGGTCGATCGTCTCGCGTGGGATGTCCACTGCTGATACGCTTGAAGATTTGAGATGACACATATCTGGCTTGAGATTGCCGAGTAAGCGCAGGCAGCGATCAGCCATTGTAGCATGGGCCTGTCTTTCTTCTACCCACAATGGGGTTTTGTCACGCTTTTCTGGATCCAACAGAAAGTCACGAAACGAAAGATGCAACAATCGTACTGGCATGGTTAGGGAAGACGGAACGCCCAAGACGGAGTGCAACAGCTCCAGGCGATTGGAAATGGTTTCTTTGGACAGATCAAGCATTCGTGATAATGCAGTGATGGAGAGGGGATTTGCAAGGATGATGATTGTGCCTACAATGGCTCGGAATTCTTCAGCAACTTCTGCCTCTTCACTCTTTGATAGTCCATCAATCTGTTGGTCCAGGACTGGTAAATATGTCGCGTCAAGACGCGACCCTGGAGCCTTTGTGTCGTACTGAAGGACTCGTTGGAGCTGACGCTGGGGGTCACCATGCTTGTGATCAGCTATGAAGCGGCATGTAGTTGACGCAAAAATGAACAAAGGAACAGCCATTTTCACCAGGGTCTCGATGTTGGAGCTGCTAGGCCAGCTTTCTGGGAGTTTGAGGTCATCCGGTCTTGAGAGATTGTAGTCGTTTCGTATATTGAAAAGCTCATGCTCCAAAAATCTCAGCATATCGTTCTCAATGATACTGGCTGGCACCTCGTGAAGGATCAAGTCTTTATAGGTTCCCTCTACCTTCTTGAAACCTAGGCGGAGTGGAAGTTCAGGGCGGCTAGTTACGAAAAACTTCAGCTTTGGAAAACCTGGTTGTGATGAGCGGGAAAAAAGCCAAATGAGGAGTTGGATATCTTTCTCCCGGTCACACTCATCCAAGGCATCGACCACGATGACGATGGGGCTCGCCTGGCCAGAATTCTTAGGGATGGTAGATAAAGGGTTAAGGATGAGCTCCTTGAACTGGTCCGATGCTGATTTCATGGATATGCCGGGTTCAGCTTCAATCGCTTCTTTTACTCGCGTCGCAAATACTGGCTGTCGGCGTACGAGATCTGCAGCAATTGTTGTGAAGAATTTTGCCAGTCCTCCTCTGTCAGCCTCGCCTCTCTTGAAGAAGAAGCTGGCTCCGAGGCAATTCTCATTCGAAAACATTTCGGAAATGGTTCGAGAAATGGTCGACTTGCCGGTGCCCGCCATGCCATTGAGCCAAAACACGGCATGCGAGTCTGGATTCTTGGCCCAGTTGGAAACATCTTGAAGGAGATCTACTCGTGTATCTGGAAGGCACCTTGCTTTGCGGCTTTCGTCGAATGAATCGAAATAGGCATCGCTTGCGACAGGGAGCTTGTCGAGAATAGCTCTGTAATCAATGTCAAGCAGTAGGTTGCTATGTTCCAGTCAGCACTAAAAAGTCAAGACCTTGAAATCAGAGCAAAGGGCAGCATGAACCAACGTTTGATCAACCTGGAGGCTTTTGTTAATCACTTGCATGCACCGTTCCAGGCTGTTGATCCTCTTGAGAATGTCATTTTTCTCAAAGGGCCACCTGAGTGAGCTTCCTTTAATCTTGCGCAGTATCCTGTGAGCCGTTTCTGAAGAGGGAGAGAGATGGTCAACTAAATGTTGCAATAGTGACTGAGTTTCACTAATGGCGTCGCCGAGCTGGTGAGTATGCTTGAGCTTTGCATTATTGGGGCTACTGCGCATCTCTTCAACGCTGGTGAGGATTCTTTGGAAATTGGTGAGGAGCCGCCGTAGCTCGTCGGTCTCCGCTGCCGCATTCTTGACATTCTCGCAGAGCAAGAGAAGCTTTTTGCACAGATCAGCGGTGGTGCCGGCACTTGAAAATGCGCCCAGCGGCTCCATTGAAGGCGTGTTGAAGAGATGATATGATAACGTCGGAAACGGCAAACATGCTTGTCCTAGGCTCTATTGGGTCGAGGTGTTGGAGATGTTGGGGGCGGTGGTTGGTTGCTTGGCATTTGGCTGCAGACATGGTTGTACGGATTTGATCGGTTCAAGCAAGAAGAAAGCAGCCGATCGGCACGAATCAAATCCTTGGTGCATTAGAGACTCGGATGAATGGTCAGCCTGGCTACCACTGGGACCGACCTCTGACATCCGCCTTTCCACGTAGATGGCGATGATACGTTTGGAACCCCGTTTGGGCTTCAGATTTTGGGAGACTGCGACAGGAGAGCTGGATGCCTTGGTGGATTCCTGTAAAGCATTGACGATTGGCAACCTGACAGGAGCAGATTGCTTCTTTCTCTTCTTCGTCTTCTTCTTCTTCTTGGGTATGCAGGCGGTATTGGTCGAATAGCTTTTGGTGCTGGCATTTATCCTGGTTGGATGCAGAACCTGTCCGTGTTGGTAGTCAAGGTTGTTGAGGACGGTCAGCTGTTGTTTTCTCCCACATAATGGATGACTTGCCCAGCATCATTATCTCGCTTTTAACCAAACTTCAACAGATGGGTGGTTTGAAAGCTGTAAGCTACAGCAAGGTTGAAGCGACTTCGGATGGAAGCCGTTTGTTGACGTCTGGTGCCCTTGGCTTCACCCTGCCTTGGGGGTAATTGGTGCAAGCCTACTTTTTAGTAATACTTGTCATGATTGCTGGATGAGTGGAAGGTTTACAAATTGCCAGCCCTAGAGATTCGCACATGCTGCCAAGGGTGCAGACTGGATGTATCCTGTATAATAATTGCTGTAGGAAATACTTCTATCGCTTAAGGCTCAAGCGAGCTCGCGTAATGCTCGTCTATTTGTACACTCTGTTGTATCTTTTTCAGCAGCCTCAGGCAATCACAGGCCTTTCCTCTGTTCAACATCCTTCATCTCTTTCATCTCCATCGCCAACTGCTAACCCGAGATCATCAAAAGGTCAGTCACTCTGCGCGTGCAATCCAGCAGCATCGCAGCACTGACAAACCATCACTGCGCTGAATCTTGCAGAGTACGATGCCGCTCCACAGGCCCGACGCCGCATGCCGCCGTAAGTACTCCAGGCTAAAGAGTGCCCAACAGATTCTCATATGTTGCCCTGTCGGTTATGAGACTTGCAATTTGTCGGCCAGGAAGAATGTCATCGCGGCATAAGTAAGTAGCCACAACTTGATGCACTGCGACTGGTTCACATAATACACCTCAGACTGTTCCATCATGTTCTTCAGTCAGAACCCGTTCTGCGCTCACTCTCAGCATAGATTCATTCACGCACGTTTCTCCAAGAGTCGTCCAGCCAATCACGTCAAACGTCAAAACCGTCATCAGTTCAATGGCCCGATTGTTTACTTTTCGTGCCTGTCAATAGCTCCATGCGCTAGAGAAATCCGGAGTTAGATCGCGTTACCCCTGAAGCCTCCCCGCAAGTTCTGGTGACATTCGTCTGGCACGAGCCGGATCAACAATCGAGCCGCTGGGGATCAAACAGTCCAGCAGCGATAGGGCCAAGACTTGCGGCATGGCCTTGGCGATGCCCGGGATCGAGCTGTGAAACAGCCTTGAAGAGCCGTTGTTGACCTGGAACTTGCAAAAGGTATGATTGAGGTTGAACAGTCATTGAGACTCCTCCATGGCTCTTGTTCGCTTGGTGAGGCGACATGTCGGAACTCTTCTTTGTTTATTCTCTTCCTTTCCATTCCTTCTTCCAATAGTCTCATCCGAAACGCCGTTGCCAATTCTGCTGGTCGCCATCCTACGGCATCTGGGGAAACGCTCCCTCGGCCAACACAAAGCAAAAACGATAGTCTCCAGCATGTCCAAGTTCTAGCCTCATCGCTCCAACCCTCCTCGGCCCGACTGTACAACGATGGCCCCTATGCAGACAGGCACAGACGGGTAGCTGAAGCTGACTGCTTATGAACTGACATGGCCATGGGGGAAATCCAACGTTAAGGCCTATTCTCCCCGGCCCGCCTTGCCACTTTGGTGGCTGGTCGTTGAGCTTCACTGCAGGAAAAACAAAACCTTTCGCATCATTTGCCAGCCGCCACCGGCCATTTCACGGGCCTACTGACGGCTTTAGTGTTCTCCAGCTGTCCTCATTCGCGGGCGCAGCTTCAGCCCATGGGAAACAGTCCGATGGAGTGTTCGGTAAATGAGCTCCATCCATCCAAGTCCGGGAACCGTACCGAGGATTTACAGCGTATTCTTGACTCTTCCCCGCAAAGCCTACCGCCTAGAACAGGGGTTGTCAGTTTAGTCTCTAGGCCTGTTCAGGGCTAGGGCTCTGCTCTGGACAGGCATCATCCTCACTATCCCCGGCTCAGGCTCTGGGGGTTGTGCTCCATCGTAGCATCATCGGATGACAGGAGCTGAGACGGGGAAACAGGGATTCCGGAATACCGTACAGGAACTGGAACAGCGAGAGGATGAGAAAGAAAAAGACCAATGCCACAGTTGACAAACTAACCATCCCAGCCAGTTGGGTCGATCACGCACCCTTGTCACTGCTGAAGCTGCAATCTCACTAGTTTCGACGCGTTTGTTATATTAACCTCGCTTCCTCCCGTCTTAAAAAATGCTTCGTCCCTGAGCAGTTGACTTTGGCTTCATCTCATCTTCTCATCCTCCCTCTCCCCCTCCCTCTCCCCCTCCTCTGCGCCTCTGATAATCATCATGAAGGCCCTCAACCGCGGAGTCCTTCTGCCAATCCTGGCCTTGCCTCATCTTTCCCAGGCAGGCTTTGGCTCTGGTCGCCTCGTGCCCCAGATCGAAACCTTTGTTGACAACATTCAGCAAGAGTTTGCCGCTTGGTTCGACTTCAAGGCAGACAATGGCCTGCATTCCAAGCTGCCTGGCAAGAAGCCAACGACACCACCACCGACACAGTACTGGCTGGATAAGATCAAGCATCAAGGTGTCGCGCCCTTTGCGGATTCCGACTACAAAGTCTTTCGCAATGTGATGGATTACGGTGCCAAAGGTGCGAATCTTCTCGATCATCTTCACAGAAACAATCTATTGACCATCTAGCTTAGGTGATGGCGTTACTGACGATACTGCTGCCATCAACCTTGCCATGACCTCGGGTGGTCGCTGCGGACCAGACAACTGCTCGTCCAGCACCGTCACTCCCGCCATTGTGTATTTCCCGCCAGGTACCTACGTCGTGTCATCTCCAATCATTGACTACTACTTTACCATGATGATCGGTGATGCCGTCAACTTGCCAACTCTCAAGGCCAGCCCGAATTTCGGCGGCGTTGGCCTGGGCGTTATCGATGGTGACAAGGTGTGTTTCTCTGACTTTGACGGACTCGTCTCTCAAATGTTGCCAGAAACTAATTTTCAACTCGCAGAATCACATCTGGGGCCCAACCAACATCTTCTATCGACAGGTTGCCAACTTCATCATCGATCTTACCGATGTTCCGCCTGTCAACGATCAAGGCTCTGGTCCTACTGGAATCCACTGGCCAACCGCTCAGGTGAGTGCTTTGTGGTTGCTTGCTTCCTCACCCATAGCAATTCCCTCTAATGCGCATTATTTAGGCTACGAGCATTCAAAACGTCCGCATCGTGATGAGCGACGCACCAAACACCGCCCATCAGGGCATCTTTATGGAGGATGGTATGCTCCCAACTGTACCCTTTACGCGAGTTTCATGGCTTGCTAACTCTTTCATTCCATCACAGGTTCCGGTGGTTTCTTGACCGACATCACCTTTATTGGCGGCAAATTCGGCGCTCAGTTCGGAAGCCAGCAGTTCACCATGCGCAACCTCACTTTCCACAACGCCCAGACAGCCATTCGCCAGGGCTTCGACTGGGGCTGGACATACGCAGGCATCACCATCAACAACTGCTCCGTCGGCCTTGACATGAGCGCTGTCGATGGAAACGGAGCTCTCAGCGTGGGCGGCATCACCATGATTGATTCCAGCATCTCCGACACCGACATCTTCATCAAGACGGCCAAGACGGCCACGTCCAAGCCCGTGGGAGCAGGAAACCTGAACCTTGAAAACATTCAGCTTTCAAACGTTGCCATCGCCATTCAAGGCCCTACCGGCAATACTGTTCTGGCTGGCTCTGCCGGTCACACCACCATCAAGGGCTATGTTACTGGCAACACCTATAACCCCCATGGCCCGACATATGTCGATGGACCAGCCACTCCGTTCCCTCGCCCATCCAGTCTCACCGTTGGAAATGGAGCTTTCTACACGCGCTCAAAGCCGCTGTACGCCAACCTAGACGTCTCCGACTTCCTCAGCGCCCGCGACTTGGGTGCCAAGGGTGACGCCGTTACCGATGACACAAAGGCACTCAACGCCGCAATTGCCACCGCTGTGCGCAAAGGCAAAGTCCTCTTCGTCGATGGTGGAATCTACAAGGTCACAAGCACAATCAAGATCCCTCCCGGCGCTCGCATCGTCGGTGAAGCATTCTCCAACATCATGGGGTCCGGCCCGTTCTTCTCAAAGGCATCTGCACCCCAGCCCGTCGTCCAAGTTGGACTGCCTGGCCAGTTCGGACAAATTGAATGGTCAAACATGGTGGTGAGCACGCAAGGCTCTGCCAGCGGTGCCATTGTGATTGAGTACAACCTTGCCAGTACACCATCCAACCCTTCAGGCATGTGGGATGTTCACGTCAGAGTCGGTGGTTTCAAGGGCAGCAACCTGCAGCTTGCAAACTGCCCCCAGAACATTGGGAGCGACGTCATCAACCCCAACTGCATTGCAGCCCATACCATGATGCACGTCACACCCGTTGCCCAGGGATTGTACATGGAAAACTGCTGGCTCTGGGCCTCTGACCACGACATTGAGGACCCTAGCCTTCGAATGATTGACGTCTACAGCGTTCGCGGATTGTTGGTCGAAAGCGCGGTTGGAAACATTTGGCTGCATGTCCTCCAAAGTCCCTTCATCAAGTCACGTTGAATAATCTGCTAACTGTTTCTGTCCAGATGGGGTACTGCCGTCGAACACAACGCCCTCTACCAATACGAATTCTCCAAGACTCAAAACATCTTCATGGGCTTCATCCAAACCGAAACCGCCTACTACCAGCCTCACCCCAACGCAACCCAGTTTCAGTCTCCCTCCAACCTCATCACCAGCATCTTTGGTTCCACCGACCCAGACTTCAACTACTTTTGCCAAGGCCGCTCCGGTGTCTGCAAGGATGGCTGGGCGGTGCGTGTCCTCAGCTCGCGCGACATTCTCTGCTACGGCGCGGGCTTGTACTCGTTCTTCAACGATCACAGCACAACGTGCTCAAACACTGATCAGGAGAATTGCCAGACTCAGATCGTTGGAATTGATAGCGGCGCGCCCAAGTCGCTACTTAGTAGCATTTTCAGCAAGAAGAGCCAGGTGAGGGTGTACAGCTTGAACACTGTTGGTTCAGTGTCCATGGCTACCGTGCAGAACGTGGACACTGTGTTCCAGAAGGATAACACGGGACCGTTCCCACAGGGTGTATCCCTGTTTGAGTCGTTGTAGAATGATAGTTGATATTTTGAAGATTTGATTTACCTAGACTTCTACTGGCTACACCAAGTTAGATTCGAATTTGGGTGATAGTCTATAGTTGTAATAGACATACAATGATTGGACAGCAAGTAAAGCGTAATCAGCTACACGCCGCGAGAATTGGGCAATATCACAAAAGCTTCCATAAATAACATGACTACCCAGCACCTAGCCAGCCATCAAATACACAACTCAAAGCACTACATTCGATGTACTCCCAGAAGCAGCAGGCTCCCTTGGAGGAACTGGCGGCGGAGTACCCCCAAACAGCGTATTCAGCCTCGAAGGCGGAGATGTCGATCCGCTGGATGTCTCTTCCGGGCCTTGAGGCTGAGACGCCCCTAAACTTCCAAACGGCGCAGTGTCTTTCGCCGGTGGCCGTCTGCCCTGCGCGTAATCTGCCAATCTCAGTTCATCAGCAGACCAGCTCTTATAAAAACTTTGAAACGCGATGTTTTGGAAGGAGAGTGTCTGGATCGTATGGGGATCAGGGTCCCGCTCAGAATAAGCCTGATATCCAATGAGGTTTGTGCTGGGAGGATCCCAAGTGGAATAGGATTTCCCAAACAAGCCGCTACTCGGGTTAGGTACAGTGGAAGAACCAAATCCGCCACCAGCCGCAGATGTTGACGAGGAAATCGAGCCGAATGCTGGCGCAGCAACGGCAGGTGTTGTGTTGGAACCAAAAGCTGACGGTGTATTACTGGCAGCCGTTATGGTTGTTGAGCCAAAGGCAGGGGTTACAGTTGTTGAGCCGAAGCTTGATGGTGTTGTAGAGGTAGTGGTTGGCTTTGGACCAAAGAAGGAGCTTATCTGAGCAGAGGCTGTCGTTGAGCCCAAGACTGATGGCGTGGAAGTACTGGCTGCTGTTGAACCAAAGGCTGAAGTTGTTGAAGTAGTCGCTGCCGTCGAGCCAAAGGCTGACGGCCTTGAAGTACTGGCTATTGTCGAACCGAAAGCTGATGGAGTAGAAGTATTGGCTGCTGTTGAACCGAAGGCTGAAGTCGTTGAAGTAGTCGCTGCCGTTGAACCAAAAGCTGACGGCCTAGAGTTTGTTGTTGCAATTGAACCAAAGGCTGATGTTGTAGAAGCAGCCGGTGCCGTCGAACCAAAGGCTGATGGTCTTGAAGTGGTCGCTGTAGTTGAACCAAAGGCTGATGGTGTAGAAGTGCCAGTTGCTATCGAGCCAAAGGCTGACGTTGAAGTAGTCGCTGCTACTGAGCCAAAGGCCGACGTTGAAGTATTGGTTGCTGTTGAGCCAAATGCTGATGTTGTTGAAGTTGTCGCTGGCGTCGAACCGAAAGCTGATGGCTTAGAGGTACTAGTCGACGTTGAACCAAAAGGTGATGCTGTAGAAGTAGTTGCCGCAGCAGTTGTCGAGCCAAAAACCGGCAACTTGGCAGCAGCAGCAGAAGACTGCACTGCTGCAACAGAGCCAAACGCCGGAAGAGGGGACTTTAACGCAGACACCGAGCCAAACACCGGATTTATCGTCGTTGCCGTCGATGTCTTGGAGCCAAAAGATGAAAGTTCGGCCGCAGGAGTCGTTGACGTCGTAGTAGAGCCAAAGGGGGAAGAATTCGGCGCAGCCGTCTCAGACTCCAATCTCAGACCAAACGGAAGAGGAGCAGCAGCGGGAGCGGGAACCTTTGAAATTGGGCCTTGCTTGCTCGACTCAACGGTGGTCGATTGTCCGCTGTTGGTCGAAGACGTAGATGTTGTTGCAGGCTCAAAACTCGCTAGGAATTTGCTGCTCAGACCTGCTTTTCTTTCTGGTAGAGAAACCGGGGGCAGCTTGACTCGAATCTTTCTCTTTGGTACATCTGTCTCAGGGGCATCTGTCTTGGGAACATCTGTCTTCGGTGCATCTGTATCTCTCTTGGGTGTCTTCTCGACAACTGCTTCCGGAAAATCTATCTAATCACATTAGAAATGTGCGTCCTAACCTCATCATCAGACGGTTCTTCTAGTAGGGTACCTGAAAAGTCTCTGGGCCGAGAGCGCTGGCAGCTTTGCAAACCCGTCTTCAATTTCTCAATCTCATCCGCCAATTGGCTCCTTTCCCTCTTGACTTCGTCCGACTCTTCGGCCAGCCTCTTCAAAATCTCTTCGCTCATTTGCGTAACGACTCTTGGGTTGAAGATGTCGGGGAGTTTCGATATCAAACAATTTTCGAGAACTAGGTGGACGACGTTGTCCGTGAATGTTCGCCGGCTCATCTTGTTGTTGTCAAACGTCAGTACATTTATTTGCAAGGAAAGAAATGTTGTTGGCTTACTTGGTAATGAGTCAACATCATGTCAACGGCAATGTCAATACCAAAGTAGCTATAAGCGCTGGTATCCGTCTGGATCAGGACGTTGAGAATATCGTCGGGCTTCACAATCCGGTACTCCATCGTGTTGTAAGCGACGGAGTTTTGGTCGAGGAAATCGGCAGAATCCGATTTCATGCGCCTGAGCTTGCGCCTCCATACTCCCGCTCGGAATTCTATCTCGAGCGGAATTCCATGTCCGGATGTATAAGGCCGCATAATCTCATCGAGCTTGTCCTTGAGCGCATTGGTCATGGAATCGAAGAACGGATCCACGAACTCGGTCAAGATTGCGTCCCTTGTTCTCTCGTCGTCTTCCAAGATGTAGTCGAATATCTGATAGATGAACAGTCTTGTTCTCTCCACAACATTGTCTATGTGGCATTGAGCTATGCGTCGCCATGGTTCAGACTGATCTTGGAAAAGCTGCATGATGAACTCGTTGCTCGGTAGCCCAGAGAACTCTGCGCCTTGGCCATCCGATGCAAGTAGCTCTATCCTAGTAAATGCCACATCTTTTCCTTCCACCACTGGATCTGGAAAGTCGTATAGCTTGAAATATGGCTCAAGATTGCCAGGCATATTGTCCAAAGCATCGGCCAGCATTTCCTCGTCAGTTAAGCCTTGCAGTGGGTTGTCTCTGGGCGGAGGTTCGTCCCAGTTCATCTTGTACTTGGCTCCCCTTTCCCTCATCGTGAAGTCAAATACATAATTCAAGTTTCGAAGCAATGCTCTCAACTTCCGAAACTTGATCTTGCTGCTTGCTTCTGGGTCTGAGGGGGTAGCGAAGAATGGGGCATTATATCTCCCTTCCACTGCATGCTCTGCCAATTTGTGGAAAGCCGTTGATATATTGAGCAGATAATCACGCATTTCGTCGGAAGTGGTTCTCGTTGTTCCCAGCTTTGCGAGACGCCTTTGGCGATTCTGCAGATTGCCATCAATGTCTTTGATGAGGTCGGGTAGACTGCTCTTGATCTGCTTGAGCAAGGCTGATCCAAGACTTTTGCGAAGACTTTCCACCCCTCGGTTACTCAGAGGCAACGCAGACCATGCTCCTGCTTTGAGAAACTTTTCCTCTTCGGCGTCTCTCTGATCAAAGTCCAAGTCTGCTTCTTTAGGCCCTCGGTTGCGCAAGACGTGCCAACCTAGACGAAGCTGGTGACTGGGCTCTTGTCCTCTTGCGAGACGCAAATATTCGTCTTCCAGGTTTGAACCAGGACACAGATCGACTTTCGTGATGACTCCAATCGTGCGCTCCCTTGCCGTGTCATGTTTGAGGGCCATGTCGAGGATGGCATGTTTGGACAAGGAGAGATCTGCCGATACAACCATGAGAATAATGCTGTTCTTCTGCTTCATATAGCCCTCAACCATTTCGTCAACGACTGGCTTCCATTCTTGAGGCTGTGAAGATGACCCAGATTGGAATATTCCAGGCAGATCAACTAGAGTCAGCGACGGGACGTCTGGCCCGGAAATTTCGACTCGCAAGACATGTTTCGAGAAGCCAGTTGTCTTTCCATCGCCCATGTGCTCCTTGGCTCTGTTGATGATTTCGGGTAGTTCCGATTTCTGGAAACCGCTCTCGTGAAATGGCGTGCGCGTTGACGATGATGCCGCTGTATTGGCATCAGCATCAGCGTATCGGATCCTCACGTCAGTGCTATCTATAAGTGCCCTTCGAAGCACTAGTTCTGTAGGAAATCGAGTGCAGATGCCGTCGCGAATGGGGAAGTGAACTCGAGATATGGCCTCGAGAACGGAGCTTTTGCCTGAGCACTGATCGCCCACCACGATGATCTGGGGCAGGTCGATGCCGGCGATACTCAAATCTCGAAGGCCATCAATAGTATCGAGAAGTCTCCTCGTCTCCGCATTGTTGAGCTGCTCAGCTGTAATGTCGCCCATGATGATGTGATTGTGATTTGGGGAGGGAGAAATGATGTTTTGGGTGGGATGCACGCAGCTGAAAGATGAATGTAGCTTGGATTGTTCAGCTCAGAGACCGGGGTCTCGGCCACTTAAGCGCCGAATCCCCTTGGAACAAATCTGGTGTAAACATCAGCCACTTATCGACCGCGTAGGATAAAGCAGTGTGTATTCTGTATCTATTGGATTGGCTTCCTTCAATCTTTTACTGACATCCGTATATCATGCAGATGCTGCCTATGTATTGACATGAAAATTTGCGCTCTTTAATGTAATACCAACTACTAGCATCTACCAGCATCTACTACCGACTACTACCATCTACTACCTGCTAGTATCTACTAAGGCAACATAGAATACGTAGCTAGGTTCCTTTGACTTGAGCTGCTGCCTACTGAGAATACTGACACATCTCGACTGTTTCAGGTCAAAAGCTACCTCAGCCACCCGCGTCAAACAAATCAGAATGCTCATAACAATGCCAGGCTGCCTCGGGAGCAAAATGTGACCAAAACATGCAGCCAGCAGCGAGGCCCTGGTCTCCTTTTCCCCCGCCTGGAAACAGCTGACCGGGATTGGAATCCGTCGTATCAGCTGTCACATTTGGCGCCAAAGCTGCGGCTGAACAGGTCTAGGATGATAATTGAGGAGCATCAAACTGGTGGTGTGTTACGGATTTTATCCAGCAAGTACGGAGTAATGACTATGTAGCTCTTCAAATGTCTACTACTAGCACTACTTTCGGCTACTAGGTATTAATATTTTATTCTAGTCTCTGCTATTATCGCAATCTTTATAGGTATTCATCTGCTACTATCGCTAACTTTTTTAGTGTCTGCCACTATAATTATATTCCTCTAGTTTCTACCTGTATTATTACTTAGTGACGTTATATCCCTCTATGTAGTTTCTGGCAATATCATTTACTCCGAGGTAACTTGCATATCTCTAAATTTGAGACACTGGATAATGGATAGCAAATTTGGGGTGCCGGCCAGAATTTCCCTACATTTAGTCGGCCGATACAGAGCAAACCGGGAGGAATACATGCCCTATATATCGAAGCGAATGGCCGAAATCCGAATATTCATTCCAAAGAATCAGCAGTAATGCCATACCTCTTCTATGATGTGAACTATTTTTTCTTCCCTTTTTTTGTTATTTGTATTTGCCGATATATGAAATTTCGCGCAATTTAAATATCGGGCATTTCCGATCTTTGGGAGCCGCTCTCATGGAATTGCGTGCGCGTTGACGGTGATGCTGCTGTGCCAGCATCAGCTGTGAAAAACTGCAAAAAAAAAAAAAAAAAAAAAAAAAAAAAAAAAAAGATTGTACAAAATCTTATAAGATAGTATTACAACATGAGTACTGTTTATTCACAGATGCAACCTAACCGCAGGGCTGTCATTCACTCTAGGCGGGCCCATATTCTGTCAAAATCACGAGCTCTGCCATTGCATAACAAGACCAAAGGCTTAACCATAACAGCATAAACCTAACCTATATCGAAGAGATTCACTCCAAAAGAGAAGTCGGATCAAACTTCGTCGCCGTTCTCCAAAAGCTGTCCGTTCTTCTGGTTGCAGCTTACGGCCACTACAACGTCTGGCACAATTCCCCTAGCTCTTAACTTGATCCCAAATATGAAATGAAGCCGTTTCGGAACTCAGCCGCCAATTCCCGTGCATTTTGGAAAGCAGCACAACCATCAATGAAACTCTGGTAGGTGCTTGTCATGTTGAACGCCTTGAGCTCAACCATGTGATATGCCGGCAATGCTTCGTCGGTATCGCCCGGTCCAACGATGAAGTGGGCGTATATTTTGAGGAGGCCATTGATGTAGGTTGAGCTGAACGAATACGCATTCCCGTCATGTTCTAGCGTGCCATCACGACCATAGTTTTGGAGTGCATGTATCGAACGCGCGCCACATGCCCCGTAATAGCACGCCTCCGTCTTTGCAGTGACAGCATTGCCGGATGGCCTTCTGACCTCTAGGAAGAAGTTGGGCAGTACCGGGGCGCCGATGTGCTTGCTCGGGATGATGATGCCACCCAAGGCATCTCTTACCTGCCTGTTGATGGCGGTAAAAGGAGCTCCATCGAAATAATCCGGTTGAAGCACTACGTCGACGCCCTCGACAAGCGGAGTTAAGTTATCCAACTCGATTCCGCCGTCATTCACAGTGTCCGGCTTGATTCCGCTGCCGTCGACGCTGCCTTCGAGGATCGGTATGACTTTCCTCATTATCGTGCTTCTCGAAAGAGAACTGTTCGTGCGCTGGAACATTTGAAAATCAGTCTCTTCGTACGCGGGCAGTCCAGGCCTCGGAGCGGACAGTCGGTTCAATATCTCATCCAAGTTTCTCGGTTCGGGAGCTGAATAGCTATCTGGATGTCGGAAGCCCTCAGGAAAGATGTTGCTATCGACAAGAAGCAGCTCCAGATCATTGTGATGTGATGTAGACATGGCGTGCGCTTAGAGTGTCATAACTCCCTACCAACGGTTTTCAAGGTGTATCCCGATTTTGGTACGATAATTGGTCTCTTGCTAAGCACACAGTTCGTTACTGAGAGAGATACACTGAGGCTTTGGAGAGGAGGTGAATGATACAGAGATGATCCAAATAGGAGATTTTACCGTGCCATGTCAGCCTATATATGCCAGAGCTAGCTTCATTCACGCAAGTTAGCCATCTCGATTCACTACAACGGGTAACTGCTGGTGGTTTGTTTGGTATGGAGTTGTCCATGGTTAGCTTCTTCTGGCGGCCAGGGTTTGGTGTTTGTTTGTCATTTATTGATCCATTCACTGTCTTGTGAATCATGTTCAAAAACTAATATGCTCCTGAGTGGCTGCGTTATGGCTGATGTCAAGTCACCAACACGTATATTAGTGAATACATCTTTATCGCTGCCGTTAATTTTTCCAAACAAATCTTGTTTTAAAACATCTTTTTACATCAAAATCAAATACTGAAACATTATCTATGCTTTTTTATACAGGCTTGTTTGAACGTAGAGTAGAAACTTGGTTGCTGTAAATCGTAGGTGGAGGGTAGGCGGTACGTACCGATAACCAAATGATCAACGATACACGCGCTTTCATTGGCTGCCGTGCCCATTACGTAAGCCTCCTTCGACACCAATTGACTCTCTCCTTCCTGCATCTCGGATCTGCTCATTCTTCTCATCGTCATCCAAATACACCAAATACGAATGCCAAAGAAGCTGAATTTTCTCATAATTTTCCTCATCACTGATTCAACTACGCTTCGTTCATATCGACTGTTAGAGCCTTGATTCAACTTTTTGGCTCTGCGCCAGCATCACTGGTGCCTAGTCAGTTCGACGATGCAATGTCCGAGTCCAGATGATACACTCGTGAGCATTGCTTCTCTGTCTGGATAGACTCTTGACATTGCATGTTCATTCTCCTCATCAGAAGTCACCGAAATGAGCTCGTCTACTCCCACAAGAATCGAGCACCGGAAGCTCCGGAGAGGCACGACAAGCTGCTGGGAATGCAAACGACGCAAGACCCGGTGCCATTTTGAGCAGAGCAGCGCCAGCGTCTGCGTGTCTTGCAAGCGTCGCGGATCAAAATGCGTCCTTCAGCATATCGAGGAGCACGCCTTAGCCACACAAGCGGTGGATCAGCTGAATCATCGTCCAAATGCTGGAGAGCGGATGGAACATCTCGAGAGCATGGTTGATCGACTCGTACATCAGTCAACCGCTCCCACTGCCTCGAATCAGAACTCTTCCTACCACTTGAACCGAAACAACTCAGCACCGCAGGTTCAACGATCGAAAAGTTCCTCCAACCCTCCACGCAAACTCCTCCCCAAGTTGGACAAGGCCCTAGCAAGGAGCTCTAATTGCTCACCCGACAATGGGTCCAAGTCGTTGATTTCATCGGCACATCAATCTTTACTCTCGCCAGACCCAACCAGTGGCTCGCCTCGATGCAGTTCACTCACTCTCCTCCTGCAATCCATCCTCCCGTCTGTCAGCATCACCACTCGGATCATGCACCACAACAAGGTTTTAATGATGTCTATGCATGTGTTTCGAGGCTTGTCCAGTGATCCTTTCCGACTTGCTGCTCCCCCTCGCCAAATAACCCGCCCATCATCTTCAACGCCAAATCCCAAACCGATTGACCTAGCTCGGAGCCTCTTTCAACTCGCCATTTGCCTCCAGCAGTCGGAGCGCACGTCTGAAATCTCCGAATTGTGCCTTGATCGCTCCAATACTGACGTTGCAGGCCAATATTTCGAGGCTGCTTCCCGCTACGTCACCTCACAAGACGCCCTCGTCGTCTCTCCGGAAGGGATAGAAACGCTGATGCTCGAAGGTTTATACCACGTTTCTACAGGTCAAACACGACTGGCATGGCTCGTGTTCCGCCGAGCATTGAGTATTGCTCAGCTTATGGGCCTGCACATACCACAGGTACGACGACAAAACAAGCAGCGCGAAGCTACCAACGGCCAAACGCCGATATGCCTCAAGACCCTATGGTTTCGGCTCATATTCATGGATCGTTATATGGCTCTGGTGCTCTGCCTTCCAATGTCTATTAAAGACGATAGTTTTATGCAAGACTCAGTGCCAACAGAACCTTATGAGAAAATGGAGCGCATTCAGGCCGTGCTTACAAGTCGCATAATATCTAGAAACGAATTGATGCGACACGGGCAACTGAGAGACGAGCTCTCCTATAACCATTACGATGAGACCAAAGACATCGATTACGAGTTGAAGCGGGCGGCGCGGTCCTTGCCGGCAGAATGGTGGGCTTTTCCACGGCTGAAGGATGCGAATACGAATGCGGAACTAAAGGACATGACTGTCAAGGTCGTTCTTCAAATGCATTATTACAACCTTGTGCTGTTACTTCACCTACCGTATGTCGTGCCGCGCATCAGAGACTCTCTTATCGACGAGGCAGCGCCTGATTATACAAATTCCAAAATCTCCGCCATGTTTGCAAGCCGCGAACTACTCACCCGATCCATTGTTCCGGTCGGCCCCAATCGCGTGACATCTTCGAACCGCGGAAACTCTCTCAAAATCATTCTTTCTGCCCTGAATCTTCTGCTGTCTCACTTGGACAGCCATCGGCTGGGCCGCGAGAATGCCCTTGATCATCAGCGCCCAGGGGATTTGCTGCTAGTTGAGCGCGCCATTAGCAGCTTGGATACTGTGTTTCAAAAACATGATGATGCCTTGTGTGCCTCTGCAGCACAAGCCTTGAAGAAACTAAGCGCCATTGAAACGTCTGCAGCAGATGGGTTGAGCTATAGAGCATGGAGTGAGCCCAGCGAGGTGATGGAAATGGAGTGCACTGTTCGAGAAGAAGCAGACAGCATCGAAATGGAGTTTCCATATATGGGAATCATTCATATTCTGCGCCACGACTCTCCAGAAGGTGCATCGAGAGATGCTATCGGATCCCGCACAGCGGCAGAGACAGGCAATTTGGATGGCAGCGATCTAACTTCGTCTTGGCCATGGAGTGATTCTCCATTATCTTTGTTGCCTGAGCTGGCCTCTACTGCCTCGAGTGTCGACGACACGCATGACGCATTTCACAGTATGCTGTCCTCTGCTTATGGCATGCAGGAGACGTGGGGTCTTCAAAGCAGCAATCTGAAGCGTATAGATGAAGTTCTAGAACCACAACAGTTTCTGCAGGACCTAGATTTCACGGATGGGGTTTGAATGGGCAACATTCACTGACACTAGAAAAATTGACAATGTCAATTCTACATTGCTTCTGTTCACATGATCAACAGCAACCATAAGAATCTCCCTACTGGGCATATAGGGCTGACCAAAAAGCTGGCATGGTATATATTGACCAAGTACTGCTACACATCCAACTCTTTTCACACGGCGCGGCCACGTCTTTATGCGATTATGCCTCGAGCGGCGGAGTGTCGCCAAAGATGTTGACACCGGGAATTTTGTCATGAATTCGAGCTCCAAAGACTTCCTTTCCAACATTGCGAATGGCTTGCTCCTCTTCCGCAGTCAGGCTGACGCTCATGGCTCCGAGATTCTCGCCAAGTCTATGTGCTTTTGTTGTTCCGGGAATAGCAAAGATATCATCACCCTGCGCCAGGACCCAGGCCAGTGCCAGCTGTGTTGGAGTAACACTCTTGGCCTTTGCGATTTCGGAAATCTTTGCCACAACTGCTAGGTTCCTCTCGAGGTTTTCGTCGTTGAATCGGGGCAACATGGTTCGCATATCACCAGCCTTGGTAAGGTCCTCTTTCGATGAAATGGATCCAGTAAGAAGCCCTCTTCCAAGAGGACTGTATGCGACCACGGCGATGCCGAGTTCTCGCGCAGTCTCGAGGAAGCGACGCTCAGGCGATTCAATCTCCACAGTAAACGGGTTGTACTCCATCTGAACAGCGGCAATGGGGTGGATTGCAGAAGCACGACGGAGCGTATCAGCGCTGCACTCGCTCAACCCAAGGTGGTGAATCTTGCCCTCATTCTTGAGTTCAACCATGACTTGGATCGTCTTTTCAATCGGCGTGACCTTGTCGAGATGGTGAACATAGAGCAAGTCGACAAATGGCAGTCCGAGCCGCTTCAACGACTTTTCGACGGCCTGTCGGCAGTACCCTGGAGAAGAGTCGACCTTGATGTTTCTGCCTTCCATTTGGATGCCGAACTTGGTGGAGAGAAAGATGTTTTCACGCTTTCCCGGGTTGGCGGCGAACCACTTTCCCAGGAGGTCCTCGTTGTCTCCATACATGTCGGCTTTTGTATGAAGATTTATTAGCCCGTGTGTCTTATTATCCAAGTTAGTTGGCTATCGGCTCACCTGTGTCCCAGTATCTCTCGCCCATCTCATATGCCTTGTCCAAAAAGGCCAGGCGCTCTTCGTCTGGAGCGGGCATGCCATAGTGTCCGCTCAAACCCATGAGGCCGAGGCCGAGGCGAGGAATTTGAGGTCCATTATTACCCAGCGCTCGGGTAACAATCCTGGGAACTGCTTGAGACATTGCTTTTATCTTTTATTGTCGACTTTGTTCTTGTAGGATGTTGTTGTTGCTGCTTCTAATAAGCCAAAAGAGCGTTGGGATGGCCACCTTTTTATATCAGTGGCCACCTCGCCAAAAAGCCTAGCACAGGTGATCTTGCTACGCAATTGAGAAGCCATTCGCATAAGTTTCGGCATTATTTCCGCCAATCTCCATGAATTGTTTGCCGTTATCCTCTGGATTTCGACTCGGTGGTTGGACCGGAGGTCGAATAGGTGAAGCGGATTGACCAATCAGCTTTCTTCCGCCGAGATTCCTTGGACGACAGCCAATCAGCGTTCTTCCGCCGTTAAAGCCGTCGCAGATCCGGCCAATGTGGATTTGGTCTCATCAACCGGATCTCTTTGGTATTTGTCGTTTACCTACTGAGCAACTAAAGAGCATCCAGACACTTTAGTCATCTTTAGTATTTCGCCTAATTTCAGCCGTTTTGTTCAGCCTCAGCTCTTTCATTCATACCCTTCGTTTCGGAAGGTAAAATCGATAGGTGGCCAATCATCTAGGCCACCAATCACACATGATGTTACAATCGGCTATGCTATGCGAAGCCTTGTCCAATGAGTATTGCAGTTGCCACCGTTGCTCATTAACTGAGGCTGAGCACGCAGGAAGTTTTGGGTGGTTGGGCAGCAAGGCTCTCACGTTTCTTTTTCCCGCTCGCCATTTTCCTTCCTTCTACATCATTACTTGCGGCAAGAAATACTATTACCTCTACAACCAGTCAATCTGCATTCATCGTAGCAGTGATGGGCCGCAGAGATTGGCTGAAGGGGCGCTTCTCCAGAGTTTTTGGCAGTGGAGCCAACAGCCCGGTTGATACAACGGATTCTAATGGACAGCAATTATACGGACTGCAAGAGAACACGGAGCCTAACAAACCTCCAGAAGAAGAGGGGTTGAATGAATCGCCCGAGACTCTCAAAAGTCGCCGAATCGAGGATATACCAATTCGAGAGCTCTGGGACGTTGCATATGAGAAGCTTCGAGAGCAGGATGGTGCACTCATCGCAGACTATGAAGCCAAGCTCACAGGCAGCGTTACAGCTGGCTTAGGGCAAGCTTTCAATTTGAAACAAAATAGGAGAGAGTGGATGCAAGCAGTCTTTGAAAGTAAGATGCAAGAATTCAACAAGGATATATCGAAACCCAAATCTGGCAATTATAAAGTTCAAGCGGAAGACGCCATGCGGCTCATTTTAAGGATTGCGAATTCAGCCGACGACTACATCAGCAATACCGCAAGTGCTAATCCATGTACCTCGATTGCCTGGGCCGGAGTCAGTTTTTTTCTACCAGTGAGTGAAGTCGCAGCGACTTATCTGCTGTTTCAATACTTACCAAGGAATATGATAGCTTCTGATGAATATAGCTGCGGAACAGACTTCCCTTGTCAAAGGGTTAGAATATATTGCTTCTCTTCTTGTACAGAGCCGAATGAAAGAAGAACTCTACGTCGAATGTTATGAATTGGGAACGCACAATCATGATCGATTTCGACAATCGCATACCCAGTACAAGGGCGCCTTGCAAAGACTCTATATATACATCCTGAAATTCCAAGCTACGGCCTGTTGTCACTATTCAAACAGCTCCGCTCTCCGTCACGGCCTTGATGCTGTCAAATGGAAAGACTGGAGCTCACTAGTAGAAGAGATTCACGAACAAGAGCGCAATTTTGCCGCCGTCGAAGAGATGTGGCGTGACATACAGCGCTATGAGAAGCACTTGACAACAATAATCACTTTTTCAGAGATGAATGCAAAGCTTTCCGCTTTAGCAGACCAAGATTTTGCTGGTTTACTACGATGGTTATGCGATGTTGACCCGTCTCCGATGTATAATACAGGGCTTGATAGGCGTGAGGCCGGCACGTGCGAATGGCTGATAAAGGACAGTGAGGAATTCAAGACTTGGGAAACAAGTGATGGGTCATTGTTGTGGCTCCATGGTAAAGGTATGTTCAACTCAACCTTGAGCCGCTCAACGAAGGTCGTGTTACCAGCCGGGTTTTCTGACTCTTAACAGCCGGTTCGGGGAAATCGATCCTCAGTTCTTCCGTCATTAAACGCCTTCGGGATCAATACATATCGGAACCGTCGACTGTGGTATCATACTTCTATTTCAGCTTCAGCGACCCCGAGAAACAAAAGGTCGATGTCATGCTTGCATCCCTCACTAAGCAAATATGTTCCCAACAGACTCAGAGATCCCAGTTGACGGAACGCCTCGGGCAGTACAAAATCAATGGCCAGCGCCCAGATACCGAGACGCTTGAGGCAATGTTAATTGCATCTGCATCGCAATTTGCTAATGTTTATATCGTTATTGATGCTCTTGATGAGTGCCCACTGCTCAACGAGCAACGGGCAAAGCTGTTAAAGAGTTTACGGCGTATACTTGCAATTGCACCTAGCAAATTTCACTTTTTCTTCACAAGCCGGAAGGAACCAGATATTGACGACAAAATACGGCCCATTTTATCTTTAACAGATAAGAATGAAATTGACCTATTAGCTCGCCAGCAGATTATCAACAAGGATATAATTCATTACGTTGATTCTCAGCTAAACGGCGACGAATATAAATCTTGGCCCAAGAGCGTGAAGGACGAAGCGAGAAAATCACTCGTGAAGAAAGCCGATTGCATGTGAGTTTCGGGTTCCGGTTCACGTATAGCGGACATCTCAATTGATACCTGTGTATTAAGGTTCCAATATGTCCATCTTCAGTTAGAAGCACTCCGACACCTTTCATCTGAACCTGAAGTACGCGAGGCACTTCAAAACCTTCCCATTGGACTTGACGCCACCTATAATAGAGTTCTGGAAAGCATTCCACTACACTTCCAAGAACGAGTCATACACTCGCTTAAATGGCTCGCCTTTTCAAGGAGGTCCTTGTGCATCGAAGAACTCGCCGAGATATTCACCATCCGCCCGCACAATGATATTCCCTTTAACGAGAGGGAACGCCCTTTTTCTCCTACGGACATCCTGAAGTACTTCTCCGGTCTCATTATGACCCGAGAGGGCTATACCTCCCAAAACCCAAAAGGCATTGTAATCCGGCTAGTCCACTTCTCTCTGAAAGAGTATTTGGTTTCCAAGAGAATAACGCAAGGCTCTACCTCGACTTTCTCATTTACAGAGGTTGACGCTCACAACTCTATTGTGAAGTCTTGCCTCGCCTATCTGAATCATTTTGGCCACTGGGTTGCAAGTCACCCCCCAGGATATCTTTTTCATGACACTTATAACCAGTTATATCCCTTGGCGATGTGCGCAGCCCGCTCCTGGATGGATCATCTTGAGGGAATTCCGCGCGTGTCATGGTCACCTGACATCGAAAGAGATGCGGCGACTGCACTTGCTGTTCATAGCCAAAGTCTTCTCACTCTACTCGCAATGGACTACCGTGCCGATAATGACGAAAGAGACATGCTATTGAGACCATACCGTTACACCGCAAAGTGCGGCCATTATCAGCTGACTGAAATGTTGGTTCATCAAAAGTCCGGTGCAAATAAGTATGTTACCCGGGAAGAAATGGATGAATCACTGCAGCAAATGGCATATGAAAAAAACAAAGATGCTATGCAATTTTTTCTCAAAGCGGGAGCAAATGTTAATGCGCAGTGTGGCGAACGGGGCTCAGCTCTGAAAGCAGCCGCCAGTCGTGGAAGTCTGGACGCGGGCAGGTTTCTGCACAGCTACGGATCCAAATTCAACCTTTACCCGAATAATGACCGGGACCCATTTTTGCCCACATGGATGGACAAAAAAGGCACCGAAAGTCTGAGATTTCTCCTTGACAGCGGCGCTGATGTAAATATGCAAGTCAAACCCTCTGGGACAGCACTTCACAATGCTGTTATTTACAGTTACGATGCAGATTTTGATCTGCTATTAGAAAGAGGCGCTGATGTAAATGCCTTGTCCGATTATGGCACGCCACTCCAGGCACTGTGTAAGTGTGAATTAATATCAGACTTGCCCGACAGACAAGCGTGGATAACAGCTCGATACGTGAAGAAGCTATTAGAGAGCGGTGCAGATCCGAACCTGCGAAGTGGGGAGGGTGACACAGCATTACAGCTTGTGTGCGGCAACATAGGCCTATTCCCTAATCACCAAGTGGCAATGGAGATCATCCAATCTCTAGTCAAAAATGAGACAGTTGAGAGTGGGACTCTTATAAATGGGTTTGCTGTTGAGGTCGAAGAGTATCACCTTGATAGGAGAGACTTGGGTTGGAAATGGAGAAAAGGAGAACGCCCTATAGTGAGATCAGCGGTCGAGGTGGTAAAACTGCTCCTTGAGAAAGGCGCCAAGGTCGACGAGTCTCGAGTATTCCAAGAGGCCTGTGTGGAGCGGGACGAAGAGAGGGTCCGTTGGATGTTTGATCAAGGCGCTGCTGATGTGAACATGAAAAGCGGTTCACGTGGTACACCACTGCATGCTGTTTTGGCTTACACTAGAAAAGACATCGGAGAAGCGCGGTCTGATAGACGCGACCTCAGTTCGCGGAACAGTCTAAGCAAAGAGACTCTACCGATTGTGCAATTGCTCATAAGCAAAGGGGCACAGGTTAACCAAGTTGGGGGACATTATGGCAATGCTCTCCAGGCTGCTTGCTCCAATGAAGGGCTCAGTGCGAACATTGTCCATTATCTACTCGAGCAAAAGGCCGATGTGAATGCGGAAGGGGGGAAATGCGGAACAGCACTGATAACTGCCTGTGCAGCTGATCAAGAGGTGGACTTGGTACGGTTACTCCTCGAGCACGGCGCCGATGTATATGCGGAAGGGGGAGAATATGGAACAGCTCTCGCAACTGCCTGCAAAAGAGGAGCCCCCGAGTTGGTGCGACTGTTGCTCGAACATGGAGCAAATATCCACCAAAAAGACTATGCGGCTTGGAATGCGGCCGGTGGGAGGTCAATGTATCGTGATGATGGCATTCAAGTGCTGGAACTTTTATTTGGCCAAGCAAACGATGTCGACGGCGTGCGTAGTGGGCTCGCCACTGCTCTAAATGCCACACTGGAGATCTGGAATATAGGTTCCACGTTTGGGCACCAAGAGAAGGGGTGGCATGAAAGATTCTCCTGGCTACTTGAACACGGCGCTGATGCCAATGTCAAGGCTGGAAAATATGGCTGTACACTCCAGACAGCATGTGCGAGAGAATCATCTACTGCTTATGTCAATGATATCAACGCCACCTCCCTCTTGACAAAGCTTCTTCTCGAAAAGTGTCCAAATATCAATGTCAATGCACAAGGGGGCATCTTCGGGTCAGCTCTGCAGGCAGCCGCTTTCTCAGGCCAGACAGAGTCAGTAAGGATGTTGCTGGATAGAGGAGCCGACGTCAACGCACGTGGTGGAAAATGCGGCAGCGCGTTGAACGCGGCAATCTTCAGCGGCTACTGGGATATCGTTGAGATTCTTCTTCAAAAGGGGGCCACACCGGATTGTCGCCTGCTGCAGCAACCTGATGAAGAGTGGCTCCAACGTGTCGGAGAAGAATGGCCAGAAGATGAAACGAGGTCGTGGTGGCGTAAACGTGTCAGAGAAGAATATAGGCATTGTGCCGTTGCGAGATATAGGAAGTTTTGGGAGGTTGAGAGTGGCTCTGCAGCCGGACGCGTTTCGAGTAGCCAGAGCTAGATCTGGCGCCTGGAACTGAATGAGAAGAAGCTGACAGGGTTACATGAAGTAGCTGCAGACACTCCAGAGGAATTGGAGATGATTGAAGCACTGGTTCCGTTGGAGAAATCTTATGGCTTGTGGACAAAGAGGCACTGGTTCGCGACGAAGCTGATGGAGTTGAAGTAGCACTCCCATTGATATATTGAGACGCATAGACTGGGGTTCATCGGGATCCTGGTGCTGAGTTCATTAGCATACATACACGCATTCGACAATCACAGTCTTTCATCTGGCAGACCGTTCACATTGTTATCACGAATAGGATCGTGCTGTACCTGGTACTAGGTATAGTACCCTTGCGTTCAGTCAGCCTTTAATACAATTCCTATGTACCTTCCTACTGTAATATTCCTTTGGTTTCTTTCCTGTTTCCTCTCGCTTATTATCCCAAGATTGGGGTTGAGGCTGCTATCGTCACGGGATCAGGTCACCACACCAAGGCCACAGTTTCTTTCCCCTCCTCACATCGAAATCATACTCTTTACAACTCATAGTCGTCAAGACCATTTCCGCAATCCCTCCACAAATCGTCCACCATGCACTTCTTTCCACGCCTATGATTGTTCGATGCCCCAAATTGCTTGAATTTGCGAGGCTTTATCTGCCTAATCCATAGCCGGCCTCGACCCAAATGAACCAGGTATTCCGTGAGTCTTTTACAATTCAAAATTGTTTCTTTACAAGACTAACAAATCAACGCCACAAACACTCGATCTGAGTCATGCTTTGATCCTCATCTCCAGCCGCGTTGCTTCCGAGATTTTCACAGAGAACCAGAGCATGACAAAGTGTTGTGTCGAATAAGCACCAAGCCCCTCAATCGCCTGAATTTGCCTTGCATCTGCCATCAGATATCTACCCATGGCATAATCACCTCGACTTTGCTATTACAAAATGCCATTTTCGTGATTATCTTCATCTAAAACAGCTAATCAGAGCTCAAGATGGTTCAGATAGATACGTATGCCCCTAGCGTATTAGAATTGGTGCTGACTTTTATTGCAAACAACAGCTCAGCCGACATTAGCGCTGACGTTCTTCAGCCCTGCATTAAATGCACGGCAACTCAGCCAGCAGTCTGCAGCTTGCTTGCTACCCCACGTTTCTTCCCCCGCCACAACACCATGTGGCCCTTTGGTAGCTCCTATCCTGAACGCAAGCCTGAGGATGTGGATGGGAAAACATACGACTATGTGATTGTCGGAGGCAAGTCAAAGAATCCCCCAGAATCAAGACAAAAATCCAGCTGCTGACTTTCCAGCATCTAGGTGGCGCCGCTGGCTGCGTCCTGGCCTCGCGCCTTTCTGAGGATCCGACAGTCTCCGTGCTTCTCCTCGAAAAGGGCTTCGTCAACGACAATCTCTTTAGTCGCATCCCGCTGCTCTCCCAGAATCCCATGATGTCTGGACTGCAAGTCGTGAAGCAGCTGAGCCAGATGCCCTCGGCGTTGAATCGGAAGCTCTCTCTCTTCTGGGCAGAGGCGCTTGGAGGCTCAACCCGCATCAACGCCATGCTGCTCACCCGTGGACCACCTGGCAACTACAACGAGTGGTCGCAGGATTTAGGGCTGAAGGATTGGGACTGGGAGAGCGTAGAGCCTTACTTTCGGAAGAGTGAAAACGCCGTCGGCCACCCAGATGCCGAGTATCGAGGTCATCACGGGCCAGTTGAAACCCGCCAGCCTGCTTATCCATTCTCTTTTCATCCCTACGTTGAGATAGCCGCCCGCAGACTGGGGCTTCCTGTTCATGACGACTGCAACGACCCAGATGCGAGCGCGCAGGGTTACTTTCGCCTAGATCAGGCCATCGATAGCAACGGGCGACGCATCTCTGCGTACAAGGCGTGGCTTAGCAAAGAGACTGCTATTGCTCGGGCATCACACCTTACCGTGTGTACGGGTGTAGTGGTTTCAAGACTTGATATCGATACAAAGTCTCGCAAACTGCTTGGTGTCCTCATTCGTCACAGAGGGCAGGCAGACCAACGTGAGTATTATGTACAGGCACGACGAGAAGTTGTGCTTTGTGCTGGAGCAATAGGTACTCCACAGATCTTGATGAGAAGGTATTCTGTCCAGATTCCTGCCACACAGAAGAGCGAGAGACCAGCTGACGAATAGCAAATAGCGGCATCGGACCCAAAGATCATCTTCAACAACTGGGGATTCCCATCGTTCAAGAGTCATCCGCGGTAGGCAACAACCTGATGGATCATGTCGCCGTGCCCATCATGTCGCGAATCCCAACTCGAGATACCATCCACAGCCTGTATAATCCGCTCGTGTTTATTTGGCAATTTATTCTCTGGCTGTTTTTCGGTCGCGGTCTCTTGTCAACCTCTTCAACAAGCTCCACCATCTTTGCTCGCACAACTGCCATTGACGATGCGACTATGCTGGTGCAGAGTTCATGCAACGGCAAGGATACAATGGACTCAATGCGGCCGCAGAATGCGCCGGATATCGAGATTATGATCATTCCCGTTGAAAGCTACTTTGACGTCTACATCACGGAGCATTCGCTGTTGACTTGGCTATGTACATTGGTGCAGCCTTTTAGCAGAGGCCACATAAGGCTTACCACAACGAATCCCGAGCATCCTCCTAGAATTACTCACCCTCTTCTTAGAGACGAGAGAGATTTCAAACCGATGCGAAAGGCCATTCGCTTCGCGTTGCGCCTGGGCCAAGAGTTTGCCCGCTCGGGATATCCGCACACTGCGCCTTTGGTCTATGGCCCTGGAATGGACTTGGAATATCTCGACCAAAGACTAGGATTCACGAAGCTGCTGCCAAAGCAACAGAAGAAGAGCGGTGGCACAACTGAGCTGCCAGAGTGGCAGGACATAACAGACGAGGCCATCGACGAGTATACCAAACGTGCTTACCAGAGCGCTTTGCACTACGCCTGCACTTGTCGCATGTCGCTCGACGCATCAGATGGCGTTGTAGACCAGAAACTGCGTGTCTTTGGCATCGATGGGCTTCGCATCGCCGACGCCAGTGTGTTTCCCAATATCCCCAGTGCGCACACAATGGCGCCGACGATGATGGTGGCCGAGAGATGTGCCGATTTCATCAAGGAGACGTGGCGTGAGAAGTAACGGTAAGTCTTTCATCCAGTTGGAATATAGTTAGAGTTACGATATGTAGTAGAGGCTCTATGCGAGCAATAATGCGATGGGCGAACGAGATGTGATTCAGCAGGATGCAATTGAACAAACTGACGCCTCTGAACAGTTTTATGCTTTCTGCCATTGTTCATTTCATTGCGTCTCCTGACTGCCTTGAGTGGCATTCATTGGATGACATTCCCCAGATTCATGTTCCAGCCTTCACTCGATGCAAAGACTTCTGTCTACTCTTCAAGCCAACTACTAGTCCTTTCAGTTTGTGATCCCAAATTACACTCGACAAACACTTGAACCATTGCTCTGGTTGGAAACTCGCCGTCTTAAGAATGAGCGTATGAAACAGTTGTGACAATCAGAGCAGCTCATTGATCAATTACATCATCACCTCAGCCAAACCTCATCTCATCAAGGCCGCTTACGGAGGACTCCGTACGCCTTACAGATGATGCTCAAATATGGAGCTGCTCATTAGTCTGAGATTGACCGCTAGCCTAGCTTGGACTGGAAATCGATCCCGGTGTCGTCATGATGCTACTCTGTGAGTCCTCACGCAATACTCCTAGTGCAGCCTCGGTCTCGGATGGATGTTCTCGAATTGCTGTCATCTTTTGCAGCTGCATGACCAAGTTCAACTGAGAATGCTTATTGCCAAACTGGTCAACTCACGGGCTATGGCAAAAGATGACCAGAGTCAGCCAAGTGCCTCGAGCTACCCTAATTCTCCCATGGCTCCGTGATGAAACCGGTTTTTTTTCTCGAAACGCCGTTTTAAAGCGTTGCCGTTGCAGCGTCTTCCATGGGGCTTCTCCGCTAAGTGGCGTTTTTAGAAGTTTCTTGGTTGTCTTCTCAACACCACTCGGAAGATATTCCCTCTTTTAGACTCGCGTTAGGTTACTCGATTCGGGCAAGGCGACAGTGACAGTCTGTAAGATCGGCGGACCATTGAAGCCAAGCCTTGGACATACTCTGCGAGATGGATTCATAAGCAGATGACTCCGCACTTTCGACTGCAACTGAATTACCTGACGCGAAATCAACCTCAATAAGACTGGGCTCAACAAGCTTCAAAGAGAGAAGGCGGACAAACAAACGAATCTCTCTCATCCCGAGTCCCGTCTTCAACTCAAACATTACACTCATCCAAACCAGCAATCATGGCTTCTATGGACGCCGTCTTCGCCGCCTACAAAAAGCGACGGGCCGCTCTAGAAGCGAGCAACAACCCCTTCGCCAACGGTGTCGCTTGGATAGCAGGCGAGCTCTCGCCACTAGCAGAGGCACGGATCCCAATCGTCGACCAGGGCTTTCTTCATGGCGACATGTGCTACGATGTCCCGTCGGTATGGGATGGGAAGTTCTTTCGCTTGGACGATCACATTACGCGATTCGACGCCAGCTGTGCAAAGCTCAGACTAAAACTGCCGCTGCCGAGGGAAGAGCTCAAGAGCATCTTGTTCGACATGGTCGCAAAGAGCGGGATGAAGGATGCCTACGTCGAATTAATCGTCACGCGAGGGTTCAAGGGTGTTCGAGAGGCCAAGCCAGAAGACATTGTCAACAACCTGTACGTTATACTGCTGCCATACGTCTGGCTCATGGACCCAGACATGCAATACACCGGCGGCAGCGCCATCGTTGCACGGACGGTTCGACGGACTCCTCCCGGGGCCATGGACCCCACCGTCAAGAACCTGCAATGGGGCGACATGGTGCGCGGAATGTACGAGGCCAGGGATCGTGGAGCCAGCTATCCGTTTCTCACGGACGGAGACTCCAACCTGACTGAGGGCTCCGGATACAACATTGTCTTTGTCAAGAACGGCGCCATCTACACGCCCGATAGGGGAGTGTTGCACGGCATCACGCGCAAGACGGTCATGGAAGCTGCCCGTGCCAATGGGATCGATGTTCACGTCGAGGTGGTGCCCGTAGAGATGGCGTACACGTGCGATGAGATATTCATGTGCACCACGGCTGGCGGTGTCTTGCCAATCACGGTTCTCGATGGACAGCCCGTCAAGGACGGCAAGGTTGGGCCGATAACGAAGAGAATTTGGGACAGTTATTGGGCGATTCACGATGATGCCGCGTATACGACCCAAGTGAATTATTCGGCGAACTGAATGAGATGAAGGAAGACGTACCAATGACTGAAGCATGCTTAGAATGAATAGAGCACACTGATTTTTTTGGATTCCATACTGACTGACTTGTCAACAAGATGAGGGAGGAAGACAGGGCTTGCTGACACGCATTCGTAAATGCGGGAGACACAGGCCATGCATGCTCATTTTGACAAGGGGAACCCCCAACCAATCTTGCCCCGGAGCAAATCAAGCACGGCTGGAAGGCCAATTGGCCCAACAGAAGCAACGTCTCTGTTGGAGCATTCACGGCCGGCAGCTCATTTCAACCATGTGGCTGTGCAGGGAAGGTCAAGTGATGCCCGATATCCAGAGCTCCAATCACAGTTGACGCGAGAGATTGGATCGTGTGTCTTGGATTGGAGGTGACATGGGTTCAAGCGCCGTGATTGCGGGATGCTCACTCAACTGTAAACCGTGATTCGGCAAACACCACTATGCGAAATTTGATGATGCCGGCCACATGTGAAAGGGCTTCGAGACACTCAGCCCACGGCACGGCACAAGTCCAACGAAAAGTCTCGGCCGGCACGGATATTGGCCGTATCCACAGCTTGATCTACCGCAAAACCTCGTGTCGCATCTATTTTGAGTTGTGTCGCCGTCTGTGTCCTCTTGGATGCCGATCCCCTGAGAGCCAACGACGACGCGTCTAGACCAGCAAATTATTACAGAAACTAGTATTCACACAAGCACTACAATAGCCACCCCAAGATGGCAACGAATCACCACCAACAAACCCGTTGATTCCAATCTGAGCCATCAGCTCACAGGGGTCACCAGAGCTGTCATATTATCCGGCTCACATTCTAGCCCGCTTGCAGGCTAGTTTAATTTGTGAGCTGTCACCGTCACGCCCCACCGCAAATCAGCTCTTATAATACGGCCAAGAGGGCCACTCCTTATTCCTGCTCGGCAAAGCAGTCGTCCATATGCCTGCTGCAACAATCAAGTCATGACAGATAGGTTTGAGGAGCTGAGGCGGCGGAAGAAGCTCCTGCAACAAGAATTGCGCCGCCGCCAGGTGTTCCCGCGCCAACGCAAGAGATTCGACCGCGACGAGGACGAACGCCGGTTCCGAGACTTTGTAGAGACCGAGTGCGAGAGAAGAGAGCTAGACCGCCGGGATATAGAGCGCGAATGCGACGAGTTGTACGAGCGCAAGTTCCGCCAGCTGGAACGCGAACGCGATGAGCTCCTCGAGCGTGAGCAGCAGAGGATAGACGTCCAGTATGAGGAATTATTCGACCGCGAGTACAAACGGATCGAGCGCCAAATCAGCCAGCGGGTGCAGCGAGAAACGTCAAAGGACCAGAAACCCCAGAACCTCGTCCAGTATCTGGAAACGTGTCATACGCTCCACCTCCGGTTCCAAAAGACGGCCAGTCGCTCTCTGATAACACAAAAGGAAGCGCTCAGCTGGACATTTCCTCGACGAATCATTCCTTGGGACGGTTTCCCACGATTACAAGAAGGTGTATGGCAGCGAATCTTGTCTGACAGCGCATTCTGCAAGGAGCTCCGGTTTCCGTCGATGCAGCAACTCGAGGCCGTGAAGCGCACTCTCACCCCAGTCAACAGCGAGGCGTCACTGCAGCACTTTGGACGTTACGCCATCGAGAATGTGGTGCAGGAAATGATGGACCAGCTATACGAAGACGGCTTGCTTTGGAACGGGCTCGGACTCGGTGACGATATCAAGGTAACGATAGAGACCGACAAAGACCTCGGCCAGGTATTCGAGCCCGTGCTGGAGTCATCATGGCACAAGGGCGCGGGCGAATTGAAGATTTCCATGCGTAATTCTCATCGCAGGGCGAAGAGAGCAGGCATCTGGGTCAACCGGTCGTGCGTGTACCGGCATGACGAGGAGAAGGGCGAAAAGACTCCGATATTTGCCTTTGTGCATCAACTACCGCATCGCCTGCAGCTGGACGAAATCAACCGCGGGCTGGCCTCCGAGATCCGGCCGGAACGAGACGTGATTGACAAGGAGGGCGACGACTTCACCTTTGCCTCGAAGACGCTTGTGGCGGCGACCATTAGCCAGCTCTATTCCTACATGATTAGCAAGGAGATTCAGTACGGATGCGTTTGCACCGGAGAAGCATTCATCTTCTGCTGCATCTCAGAGGACGATCCCTGTACCATATACTGCACGCCGTGTGTTCCGGAGCGCGAAGTCATGCCCGATGATCCTGCCCGGCTGCATCGAACTGCTGGTGCAATGGTGTTTGGGCTTGTGCTTCAGGCTCTTCGCTCGAGACCGCTGCCCGCGTCGTGGTGCGATTCTGTCACGTATCTGGATACTTGGACCATGGGATACGACGACGTACTGGACAAGATACGAAAAATGGGCGTCATGAGGCCGCATTCGTCCATGTCTTCCCTCAGAATGCACCGCTGGCAAGGGTTTAGACGGTCACCATTGCTCACCGAGATTCGCAGAGGAGAAGTCCGAGGAAACGACAAGATCAGGAATTGGCTCGACGATGTCCCCGCACAAAGAGCTTACGAGGATACAACCGAGAGCATCGCCAGTGCACCAACGTCGATACAAGACCAGCCGTATTGCTCCCAGAAGTGCCTCCTTGGTCTGGTGCAAGGGAAATCGCTGGATAAAAACTGCCCCAACGCAGAGTTCCACGGACCGGCTCACCTCGACTACGACGACTTTTTAACCCTTGTCCGTACGCAACTTGACCAAGACGACAACCTAGATGCCGATTGCACGCCTCTGCGGGTTGCAAACGTTCCCAAGTCCCTGTTCAAGATGCGGCTGACATCGCACGGTTATACGTTCATCGCCAAGGCAGGGAAGAATTCAGCATACCTTTGGAGCGAAAAGTTTGTCTATGATCAGATGGCGAATCTCCAGGGTCGCTGCATACCCGTGTGCATGGGAATGATTGAGCTCATAAAGCCGCGTCGCCACAACAGCAGAGCCTTGAAGGACCTGCTGCTCTTGAGCTGGGCCGGCCGGCCTTTTCTGAACTGTTCCAAACAGGTGACCAAGGAGCAGATTGCTAGAATGATGGAAATGGGCATAGAAGCCATTCACAAGCTGGGAGTTGTGTACAACGGCGGGCACATCCCGAGCAACTTTTTGTACGATGCATCTCGCAACAGCGTCATGATTGTCGATTTCGAAGAGGCGTCGCTGGAGTTTACCAAGACGCCCGCGGTGGCGGGAGATTACCAGATGCGAAAGAGGAAGCGGGATCGATGGCAGGAAGATGCCCGGCGGGTGTTTGAGGAGGACACGGACTGTGCGGTGACGACGGTGATGAAGTCGACGCCGCGGAAGACTGGGAGTCGGTTTGCTGACGATGAGTCTGAGGTGGGAGACGACTCGGTGAGCCGGTGTTGCTGATTTGCGTGAGGTGAAACATACGATGGCGTTTCGTTTTCTTTGTGTCGAGACAAGACTGAACGGCGGCTCATTCATTCATTCATTTGGCCGGCCTAGTAAGTCTGAGGATATACCATTTGCTTTGTACATGTTGATATAGATTGATTGTAATACTGGGAGGGCAAATATATAGAGATACCAAATGATGCATGAATAGAAACTTACCTTGTTTGCAATATTGGTAGCTTTGGGTTGATGTGGTTGTGTGATGCTAACTGTTTTATGGGAGATGGGAGGCTTACTTTGAAGCAACCTTTCAAGTACAAACACCACCAATGACGATGTGATGCACATGTTGTCTTTTCTTACGGAGTACAGCTCTTCAGCATGCCACGGGTACAAGAATGAATACAAAATCGAAACAAATACATCGAGGGGAAACTTCAAATGCCGCCGTCAACTGATGTAACGCAGCGAATGTATACATGTTGTAGGGTAAGTACGTGCAGTGGTAGTACTAGTAGCTGAATCTGCCCGAAGTGAAGCCATCAGCCATTGTCCAATCGGGCAAGTATGCGCTGATTCTCTCTTGTAGCAGGTTAGTTGCAGTAACATGCGAGTTGTTTAGCAGTGTTGCATTGCATATCGCGTCCCTTGCCCCTAGTCGGGGGAACTGCGACTCCATTTGCGATAATGCGCCACTGCGGTCACGATTTGGATGCAAAAATGATTCAAGAGAAAAAAAGATGGTGATTATGAAGTGATGCAGCTGTCATGGTGTTATCAAGATCCAATGTCTTATCGCCTCTCTCTCGGCCATTCAATGTGCCGTTTCGCCGGGCACAAGTACCGAGAGACTTGGTGCGGCTGGGCAGCTTGGCGCACGCTACCAGGTACAGATGCTCCAGCAGGTACCCGCCCCTCCCACCATCCGCTAAAGCCACCAAAACTAGAGCCCTTGCAGTGTCTCTCCACTAACAGGCCAGGCGACCCCGGGCGAAAGAAAAAAATTCAAAGTGGTGCAACCCAGCGATAGCGCGATAAGCCCGATTAGCGGACACACCAGCCCAGAAAGAATTAAAAAAAAAAGTACCACGGAGCAAGTACCGGATCTGGGGGGGGCCATTGTATCACCTCCTCCTCTCTCTTTTCTTCTTCTTCTCATCTTCACCCACCTCTCTCTTCTTCTCTTCTTCTTCATTCTCTCTTCTTCTTCTTCCTCTCTTCTCATCATCCTCTCCCCTTCGGCGCAACCGCATGAGGCTCCCGTGAGCCAATTCGTCTCTCCCTCTCGCCACTGCGATTGACCTCAAACGTTTCGGATGGCCGTTCAGTCCCTCCCAGCTGTCATCGACATCGACGAAGTGCTCCCGGGCACGCGATGCGTCTTCATCGATGAGTCCGCCAGCAGCACCTCTGCCAGTGGCCTGCTGCAGAAGCACGACGGCATCGTGCTCGTCCCCCAGCCGACACAGTCGCCCAACGATCCCCTCAACTGGAGCCTGTGGCGCAAGATCTGGCACACCGGCCTCGTGTGTTTTGCCGTCGCCTTGACCGCTGCCACGTCCAACGTTGCTGGATCTGCAAGTACGGGCGTCAACGAAGAGTACGGCATCAGCTACGATGTCTTCAACACCGGTGCCGGCGTTCTCTTCCTTGCTATTGGCTACTGGACCCTGCTCAGCTCGCCCGCTGTCCATCTGTACGGGCGACGGATCCTCTACCTCGTCGGCGCCACCTGGGGCCTGATTGGCAACATCTGGTTTGGGCGGCTAAAGACGTCGTCCGACGCCATCTGGACGCAGCTCTTTGTCGGAGCGTCCGAGTCGGTCGCAGAGGCCGTGGTGCAGCTCTCCCTGCTCGACATTTGGTTCGAGCACCAGAACGGCACCTCGATGGGTTTGTACACCCTGGCCACCTCCGTGGGAACGTATCTTGGCCCGTTGATCGGTGGCTACGTCGCCGACAGCAGCCTTGGATGGCGCTGGATCGGCTACCTCGGCGCCATCATGTCGGGCTTCAACTTTGTCCTCTTCTACTTTGGTCTGGAAGAGACGGCGTTCCCGCGTGAGCGCTACACGCGAGAGCGAATCGAGAATCGCGCTGCCGCATCCTCCTCCCCAGACGGCGACGAGAAGACGGCCGGCGGCCCCCCAGCCGTAGCTCATGTCAACACGGGCGCATCAGACGAAGAAGCCGCGGCCAATCCCCGCGACGCCGACCGGTTTTCCCTCAACTACACGCGCCCCAAGTCGTACTGGCAGCGGATTGCCCTCGTCACCCCCGCCCCGAACCTGCGCGGCCTGGGAGCCAAGCAGTACGTCGGCCGTCTGTGGCACACGCTGCGCATCTTTACCTTTCCCGCTGTGTGGTTCGCCGGCCTGCAGTGGGGCATGCAGAACATTGCCCTGTCCTTTTATCTCACCATCGAGGAGGACTACTGGACGGACGATCCCTGGGACTATGGCGACGTCGCCGTGAGCAACATGAACATTCCCTGTCTCGTTGGCAGCATCATTGGCTGTTTCTACGGCGGCTACCTGAGCGACTTGTTTGTCCTCTGGGCCAGCCGACGCAACAGGGGGATCCAAGAGGCCGAGTTCCGCCTGTACCTCATGTTCCTCTGCGTCGTCATCTTTCCCACCGGCATGTGGCTCTTTGGCATCGGATCGGCCAAGGGTTGGAGCTGGCCCGTTCCCTACGTCGGCCTCGGCTTCATTGGCTTTGGCTACGGCTGTGCCGGCGATCTTAGTCTGACCTACCTTGCCGACTGCTATCCGGATATGGTCCTCGAGGGCATGGTGGGGGTTGCCGTCATCAACAACACGCTGGCCATGATCTTCACCTTTGTCGCGAGCTACTGGCTCGACACGGGCGTCCAGGATACCTTTATCGAGCTTGGCGTCTTGGGATTCGTCATTTTGATGCTGTCACTGCCCATGATCATCTGGGGGAAGCGCGCGCGGCGCTGGACCAAACAGAGATATCTCAACTTTTTGGAGATTCGCGACGGAATGGGGCACTGAGGATTTGGAGAGAGAAAGAAAAAAAAGCTTTGTTGCTGGGAGTTGTGGATGGGAGAGGGAGGACGAAAAGAAAAGAGGAGGATGGTGGGAGATTATACCCCTTGTTTTTTTTTGAGGAGCTTTGGCTTGTTTGTAGAAGAAAGGAGCCTGATGGTTGTGTTTTTTGTCTTTTTGGAAGTTATCACGGTATATTTATTGCAAATGCCTACCTATCTTGACCATGCTTTTATGGTTTCTTTTCTTGGTGATGTATCTTGTTGATGGCAACTCTTTTTGGTTGGAGGTGGAAGAATAGAAGCGTTCATGTTTGGAACTGCGATGGAGCAAGAGCGAATCCGACGAAGCACCTCGAACGGCATTCATGGATCCTTTTACTTTTTCTTCTTCACTCCTTCACTCCTCTTCTCCTTTCGACATCAAAACGTCGGCATGAACAGGAAGACGGCTCCGATTCTTCTCCAGTATGAAATGTTCACCAAAGTACTCGAGTCGAAGGGATTTCGTCCACCAAAACACGTGAGTCAAAGATGTTTAGACATTCCACCGACGAGGCCGTCACGGACGTAAGTTGATGTCAATATCAATATCGACAAATTGGAGCATGGCTGAAGTACGATTGAAGCATAATTGGAGCACGATTAAAGCATGATCAGAGGACGATCGGAGCACTGGCACCGGATCTTCCAAGCTAGTATGCTGAGATGATTGCAGCTTACGATAACAGTATAGGTACGAAGCACTTGATTCGAGGACATTGCATCGAACGGAGGCTTTCACAGACGTAAGCATGCTTCACCATCGTTGAACTGGAGTATGATTAGACCAGTGGCACCAAGATTCATCAGCTAATTCATCACCCAGAGTGCCGAAGCACATGCAGCTTACGATGATCCAAGTTTGAACCTTGCGAGCGACTCACCGGAAACAGAGACGACGTAATAGAGTGACAGCTCGAGACTCCATGGCTCGACAATACCTACTGCGAGGCAAATCTTCTTCCCTAGACTCGTCTGCCGTACAGACAGTGGGTGACAAATAACACCACCGCTGATCACACATAAATCTATAGTGTCAGATCGGCGGTGTTTTCTGCCACCCACATGATGGACTCTTGCTGAGGGCTCTCACCCCTGTGGTACACCGTCTGATGGCTAGTAAGATGAGACAAGGACGGCCGGAAGCGATCCGACCTGGCCTCGATCCGACAGACCACCTTGGTCAACTGACTGTCCAAATGCAAGGGATCTGCATCAAGGTACTCATACCCCCCCTCACCTAGCTTTCAAAAACCCGAGCTCTTTCAACAGGTTGGTGACGCGAAGTCACAAATTCGTGGGGATTCAATATCAACGACCCCCGATGGAGGGCGGCGAGTGTGCACCATTGGCCAGTTTCATCCGGGGAAAGACAGCGCCATCAAGGTTCAAACCAGGTAATTGGCGCGATTGTACGCTCGCCATGGCATCTTACTGAATCTCTTATGCAGGGTATGGCACTCAATCTGGCATCCTTTAGTCAGAGTCGTACGGAGTGTACAACCGCATTATTACCATGACTACGAATGTCTCAGACGTTGGTGCTGCCTCGGAACACGTCCCTCGCTCCTCATTCGTCTTGTCAACGACTTCATATCCACCTCAACGCATGCTGTGTCACCGAGCCATGATTCCCATGCGGTGAACGGAACACATTCCGGAGTACAAAGTTGGATGATAGGTGACATGTCTTGGACTGGAAATCACACAGTCACCATGTGCTGCATGAAGCAGAGCGGCCGACGGAGCGGGTCTCTACAATTTAGTAAGACCCCAACATCACGACATTCATCGAGTGGGGAGGCGCTGCAATATTACTCTGTCTGTCTCTTTTCCCCGACATTATTATGTCATTGTTGAGAGAGTACTCTGACATTGCAGGGGAATCTGAGAGTCGAACTGCATTGCATCATGCTGGGACGGCAACGATGTGAGGCTCCAAAACTTGTATAAGAGGCTGGTGATTCTCGCTCGAGAAAACCAAGCCTTCATCACCATCATCCACTCGTCGTGGCAGTTGACCCTTGACCAAAGTCAGACTCCAAACCTCTGCATTTCTCTGCTTTCCTCGCCAATCATGAAGGCAGCCATTCTCACAGCTGTTACGGCTGGTCTGCTGCCCCTTGTCGGAGCTCTACCGGCTTCTTCTTTGACTGCAAGGGCAAAGAATGGCATTGTCGAGGTTGAGATTCCATCTGGTACCATTATTGGCTCAGTTGGCCTGACTGTCGATACGTTCAATGGCATCCCTTATGCTGATGCACCCATTGGAGATTTGCGCTTCAGACCACCACAGAAGCTCTCGAGGTACCTTGGCGATTTCGACGCCACCAAAGTCCCATTGTCATGCTCTCAAGGACCCTTTGGGGACTCCCCGAGTTTCAGCGTCCCTGAAGCGGGCTCCATCGTCAACGACACCTCTGGCGAGGCAAAAGCTCCCGATTCCTCGGAGGACTGCCTGACAATCAATGTTCAGAGGCCCAGAGGCGTCCAGGAGGGCGCCAACCTTCCCGTGTTGTTCTGGATCTATGGCGGCGGCTTTGTAGGGGGAAGCACCGCCGGCTTTAATGGCACCAAGTTGATTGACACCGGTGTGCTTCTTGGCAAGCCATTCATCTTTGTGGCGGTCAACTACCGCGTCGCTGCGTGGGGTTTCATGCCGGGAAAGCAAATTCTGGAAGAGGGCAGCGGCAATGCCGGATTACTCGACCAACGCATGGGCCTTGAATGGGTTGCCGATAACATCAGGGCCTTTGGAGGCGATCCAGACAAGGTCACCATCTGGGGCGAATCTGCCGGCGCCATCTCCGTGTTTGACCAGCTTGTCCTCTTTGATGGCGACGCCACGTACAACGGCAACCCGCTCTTCCGGGGCGCCATCATGAACTCTGGCTCGGCGACTCCTACAGATCCCTTGGACAGTGACAAGGGCCAGGCCATCTATGATGCCGTTGCACAAGCAGCCGGATGTGAGGGAGACAACTCGCTGGCTTGCCTTCGTGCTCTGGACAATGACAACTTTACTACTGCTGCCAATTCCGTGCCCGGCATCTTCTCTTACAGCTCTCTTGCTCTGTCATATCTGCCCAGGCCAGACGGCCAAGCCTTGACAGATAGCCCCGACGCACTGCAAAGGGCTGGAAAATTCCACCGTGTGCCCATGATCATCGGAACCCAGGAAGACGAGGGATCGCTCTTCAGTCTTACCCAGAAGGACATGGGCACAACCGAAAAGATTGTCGCCTATCTATCTGAATACTACTTCCACAACGCCGGCCAAGACCAAATCACCGGCCTCGTCCAAACCTACAGCCCCTTCCCCAAGGACGGAAGCCCGTACGGCTACGGCAGTTTCGAGCTGTATCCCGGCAAGAAGAGGATTGCGTCCATCCTCGGCGACATTGTCTTCAACCTGATTCGCCGAATTTCGCTGCAGGTGTTTTCTGAAGTCGCCCCCGACGTGCCTACGTGGTCGTACTTTTCGTCGTACAAGGACCTGTTGCTTGCCATTCTCTTTGGCACCTATCATGGGTCCGACGTCAGCGTCCTGTTTTCGGGCGACAACGACAACTATGCGACGTGGAGTGGGCGGGTGTACTATATCAACTTTTTGTATAATTTGGATCCTAATGTCGGCACAAACACTGATTTGTTCTGGCCGCAGTGGAAAGAGGGCAAGGAGTTGTTGGAGTTTAAGGGAGCTACCAACGGGCTGAAGGTTGATGATTATCGGAATTCGAGTTATACCTTTTTGCTTGATAACATTGAGGACTTGAAGTTTTAGTTGGCTGACAACAAAGGGTCACATTTGCCATGTCATGGAGTCGGAATGGGGATAGGTCGCTGACATGGGCTGTTGTGAGGCACAAACTGAACAAAACACCAAGCAATACTACTCTCGCGAGTCACCGTACAGTCCTTTGCGGCGCCAAACAGGCAAATAGTGTATTTCTTGAATAGTCTATGGATGGATGGATGGAATAAATAATGAGATGTATGGGTCAAAACACTCGTTAGATGATGCAAGGGGAAAAAGGAAAAAGAAAACCCCTGTTTTTCTCGCGGATGCTTCGTTTTTGGACAAAAATTAACTCGTGATGATTTTTAAATCTAGTGATGAGGTGTCAAAAGTTGACACTACCTCTCTAAAAGGAAGATTTGATCTATGAAAGGAAAGGCAAGAAAAATAAGGTTTATCCTCAAGGATGTCTGTTTGTTACTGGCAAGTGTAGATGCAGTGGTTTTGTCTGTCGTGACGGTGTCGAGCGAAATGCAAAGAGTGCAGTCATGTCGCTTGACAGCATCACAACGGGGCTGGAGATGGTCTCTACTGCCTCTTCTTGCCCCATTTCTTGGGCATGCGCACCAGCCAGTAGAGGAACAGCGACGCGGCAATGTTGAAGATGATGTAGGCCATTCCGATGCCAAAGTCGCGCCATCGGTGCGAGTAGCTCGAGCTGACGCTCGTCAAGAAGACATTGGTGTCGGCAATCGGGCAGTAGCTGCAGCCGTCGGTGGCATCAGAGTCCTGGAGATAGCCTCCGGCGGCGGTGATGAAGTTGCCGAGATACTCGCCGCAGGTCTGGCCGCTGGGCGGGTTGAGATGCACGAGCTCGTTGGCGGAGCAGGTGACGCTGGTGTTTGCCAGGCCGGTGGACAGCACGGCGGAGATCCAGTAGGTGAACGGGGAGAGGCGATACATGAAGATCCAGAAGCCGGGCATGCTGTCGGGCGACGCGAGGGTGCCGCAGAAGATGAGGCACATCATGAAGAGCACGTTGGCGAGGTTGCCGCCGGCTTCGGCGGTGTCGGTGATGGCGATGCAGGCGTGGGCAAAGGTGCATGTGAAGACGAGGAACTGCCAGAAGAGCAGCCACATGAGGCCGCCTCTCTCGACGACCTGGTCGGCGGGCACGGCGTTCTTGTCGAAGCCCACTGGATAGTAGACGCAGACAAACATGAAGACGGACATGAGCGAGTTCCAGGGGATCTCGGCGACGACCTGCGACAGCATAAAGATCTTCCAGCTGTACGTCTTGGACGGCCTCTCGCGGACCTCGTAGAGCGACCGCTGCGTGACAAAGTGCGGCATCTGCTGCTGCACGAGCTGGCCAAAGATGGTGAGGATGTTGAAGATGGCAAACATTTGGTTCTGCAGGCCCTGGATGGTGAGCGGCGCGTTGAGGAAGACGAGGCCGATGAAGAGCGACACGAAGAGGCACAAGAAGAACTTGGAGTAAATGTACGAGGGCGTGCGCCAGATCTGCTGGAAGACGCGCTGGGTGACGATGAGGAACTGGGACCAAAAGGGCGCTGCGAACTCGGCATACGAGGCCTTGTCGTTGATCAAGTCGCCGTGGCTGCTGCCTTCGTCCTTGAGGCGCTGCAGCTCAGCCTGAACTTGTTGATACTCGGAGCTGTTGAGCCACGCCTGATGCCAGTCAATGTCCGTCGTCGATCCCGGTGCGGCTCCAATGGCCGAGAGCATCCACTCGGCGGGATTCTCGCTGGGCGGACACTTGGGCGCGCCCTGCTTCTCGAAATACGCAGTCATGGTGGACGAGTTGTCGCCAATGTCGCCAAAGTACACGGTGCGGCCGCCCTTGGCCAGGAAGAGGAGCCGGTCGAAGCGCTGGAACAGCATGGCGGAGGGCTGGTGGATGGTGCAGAGGATGGACTGGCCGGCCTTGGAGAGCTTCTCGAGGAGGTCGAGGATGGCCCACGATGTCTGCGAGTCGAGGCCCGAGGTTGGTTCGTCGACGAACAGGAGCAACGGGGGTTTGGCCGCCAATTCGACTCCAATGGTCAATCGCTTTCGCTGCTCGACGTTGAGGCCTTCGCCGAGGACACCGACGACGGCATCGGCATATTCTTGCATGTCCAGCAGCTTGATGACTTCGTCGACGTACGCCAGCTTCTCGGCTCGAGGGGTACCGGCAGGCTGTCGAAGCAGGGCACTGAATTCCAAAGCCTCACGAACGGTCGTCGTCTCCAGATGAAGATCCTGCTGCTGGACGTATCCCGTCTTTCGCTGGAACGAATTGTCGCGAATCTTGCCGTCCACCAGCATTTCTCCCGTGATGACTCCCATGGAGATGCGGTCGGCCAAACAGTCGAGCAGCGTGGTTTTACCGGCGCCAGACACGCCCATGAGCGCAGTGAGGGTTCCGGGCTTGACCCAGCCGTCCACATGGTCCAGAATTCGTCGTGGTTCGCCCTTGATCTTGATGTCGTAGCACACCTTGCCCCAGTGGAAGACGCTCGTGGAAGCCTGGATGTTGGCGCCGCTCGACTCCTTGGGAATGTTGGAGCCCTTTTCGACAACGGGAACCGGCCCAGACAAGGAAGACTCCATGTCGCCCTTTTTGGCGGCCGAAGTGAGAAGCTGGCCGCGACGGAAGACGAGGACCTCGCCCTTGGACTTCCTTGCCTGAATCACATCCGTCGCGACAAAGTACACCAGGTGGTTGAAGAGGAGGAAGGCAATCAGGATGCCGACGTTGCGCCACTTGTGGGCGTGAAAGTACTTGTACTGCGAGTTGATGTAGGCATCGCCACTGACAAGAGCCTGTCCGGGTACGGATCCGACGGCGGTGCAAGCTTGGTGTGTCGATGTCACGTTCTCGTAGCCCGGGATGAGGCTGCTCGGGACAAACGAGTTGCATTCAAACTCGCGGCCGTGGAACTCGTTGATCATGAGGGCTTCGAATCCGTAGGCGACGGGATCGAGGTAGTTGATCCAGCGACACCATCCAAGCATGTAGTCGACGGGGATGACGAAGCCCGTGAAGATGACCATGGCGAGAATCAGGAGCGAGGCTGGGACCATGGCCTGCGAAAGGGTTCGCGACAGGGCAGCACTGTCTGTGTGTCAGCATGGTAATGTATGGTGATGGGTGACAGGGGCATGGTGATGTATAAATAAGGGCATCGTCATGGATGACAAGGACAAGAAAAACTCACATTGATCGGAAGATTCCAGACATGGCCAGCACCATGAGAAACGTCACAAGCAGGAAATAAAAGAAAGCCCCAGGAGTCCGGTTCAGATGCACCATGAAATACAGCACCAAGTTGTAGCAGATTGTGTTGCCAATCTTGTACGGCATATCGCAAAGCACAGACGAAAAAGCCTCGGCCGACGGGAGATGGAATCCGTATCGCTGATGCTTTTCGACAATCGGCCGCTGAGCGTATTGCGTCAGGATTTCGAGGGCGCTGGAGAAGGCGTTGGACAGGATGGCGACGTAGAGGGCTGCGGCTCTCGAGTAGAAGCTGCCCGTTGTCGGCTGCAGGTTATAGAAGAGCGACGAGATGATGAGGGCCATGACGGAGTTGGACAGGAGCGAAAAGATGGTCAGGCTGGGGTCGCCCTTTAATCTTCTCCATCCTCGCCACAGGCAGAGTCGGACCTGTTGCGAGTACGAGAGGGTGTAGGGAGACTTGACTCGCTGACGCTTGGCCTGGGTAGCCTTCTTGTGCTCGCGGAAGGCCTGGGCGTCGGTTCCGTCAATGGGATGCTCCGAGTTGTAGCTGTCAATCTCGCCTTGGAGGGCCTTGTAGTTGTCGCTGTTCCTCCAGCAGGTAGCAAACTCATCAGGGGTACGAGGCGCACGACTCTCCCAGCCAAGGCGAACGATTCGTTCCGTTGGCGCCGTCATGGACGTCAGGAAATCAGGCGTAGTCTGACGAGCAGGGCATTCAAACCCCAAGCTCTCGAAATACTCCTTGGCCTTGTCGGTAGGGCCAAAGAAAATCTGTCGTCCCTCGTAGAGAACGAGCACCTTGTCAAAGACATCGTAGGCACTCTGCGGCGCCTGGTAGATGGACACGGCACTCGTCTGGCCAAAGGTGTCGGACTGCAGACGCAGCGTCTTGCAGAACTCGATAGCATTGGCCGAGTCAAGACCTCGAGTAGAGTTGTCCCAACACTGCAAGGGGGCGTTGGAGAGAGTGGCTTCGGCAATGGTGACTCGCTTTCGCTCTCCCCCAGACACACCACGGACGTATTCGTTACCGACGCGGGTGTTGACTGTGTGGCTGATGCCGTACATGGCCATGACAACATCACGGTAGTGTGCCGCAAACTCATCGTTGGACACTCCAGGGGGGAGGCTTCGAGGAGCTCGTGCCATGGCAGCAAACGAAAGCGTATCGCCAACCGAAAGCATGGGGAAATGCACGTCGACTTCGGCCGTGTAAATGGCCTCGCCTCGGTGGTGAGTGTGCATCTCCTCCGCGCTGATGCCCTGGTAGTTGAAGTGAGTCTCGCTGTCAATGTATATTCCGCTCGTCTCGCCCGCAATCGACTTGAGAAACGTGGAGCATCCCGAGCCCGGCGGTCCCAGCACAACAAGCATCTCTCCAGATTTGAGAACGCCGTCACAGTTGCGCAGGATGTCGATCCGTCTCTTGTTAGACTTTCTGAATGCCTGCCGAGCAAGATCCGGAATCGACAGCCAAACGTTGCCAACGTCCTTCTGGAAGTCAGTCTCGCTGCCGTATCCGTACACGTTCATGTTGCGGAACGAGATGCCGCTGTGACGGAACCCCGAGCCGTGCTCTGCAGCATACTTGGCCACCGTCCTTGCCCATGTGCGTCCGCTAAACTTGCTGCTCATGGGATTCAGGGGCGAGTCGGCATCGTTGTTCCCAAAGAGCGACGTGGCCTGGCCCTGGATGTCGATGCCCGAGGCGTGCGTGTACTGACGGGCCAGTTGCTGCACGACGCTCATCCGCCGCTCCATCTCGTGAGCGCTGTTGTTCTCGGAGGATTCATCATCATCGTCGCCGTCGTCGTGGTTGTCTTTGTCTTTGTCCTTGTTCTTCTTCGAGTCGGAATCGAAAGAAAAGTTTGGTTGTTGTTGACCGTCGACATATGTTTGGGCACTTCCGTGTGGCGACTGAGCACGGGACTCGGGGCTCGACTCACCGCCCTCTGGCGGCTGGCCAGCTGGCATCTTTGAATGCTGAATGAAGCTGTTTGTTTTTCTTCCTTCTTTAGATGCGTCGATATTCAAATAAAACTCGGTCGTCTATCAAATGAAATCAAAACCACCACTCACTCAGTCAGTTCTCTCTTCACGGTTCGTCAACGTCGAGCTTCGTTTCTCGTAAACTTGAATCAAACAGCGTCGACTATGACTGGTGCTTGTCCCAGAACCCCTACAGTTCGTTCCGTGAACCGAGAGAGTTGTCATGATCTGACCTTTATCTACAGAATATATATATGACCCTCCCCATCGGAGAGCCGCAGCCTGCCAGCGCGCCGGCATCTCGGAATAGCCCACGTTGCAAACCCCCGAATCAATGGGCGATAAAGGGAGCCCGTCAGCCCTGATTGCTAATTCAGGGGTGGGCTCCTTTGCCTCTGTTAGCTGTCAGAGACACCCAACAGCCCCCCGTGCAACGTTCGTCTCATCCCACAGCCGTGCCCTTGGCGATGCAGCATCTTGCGGAGTTTCACCATCCGTATTTGTCTGTGTACGATCCCGCTTGTCCAATCGTGGCCTCGCGTCCCTGCTCCACATCGACGGGCTCTTGTTAGACCCCGAGCCGCCGTGTGCTTGTTGCCCTTTTTCGGGGTGTCGACAGAGCACGATTCCGGCTTCTTGGTGCCTTCTTTCACCCCGAAGGACTCGACTGAGCACTCCGATCCAGCTTAGCTGCCCTACGAGTCGCATAGGCAACGATCTCCATGATCCATGACTCGATTTCCCGGGACCCATAACGTTCTTTTATTGAACAAAGTTTGTCACTAGGCTGATCTGTGCATTGGCTCGACGGGGGGTTACTACTACTACTATTTCCTCTTCGAGATGTGCCGCCCTTTGAGCTTTGACGACAAGTCTTCAAAATGTGTGAAATTCTCCTGTCCTTGACCAGTCTCAGGACGCATCTTTTGACCACTGATAAAGGGTGCTAATCAAGCTTCCATGGCAGTTACGGGTACTCTCTCTTCTGTCTCATGTCCACCTTTTCATTCGACACACGTCTTTAGCTGAAAAAAGGGTCCATTCTGAAAACCCTTCACATCACACCATCCTCATCCTCATTCACATTCACATTCACATTCACACTCTCATTCACACTCACATACACACTCACATCCACGAGTATCCGACCATGGGCTCCGTGGGCTCCGTCGATTCGGCTTCTCCCCACAAACCCGCAAAGGAAGCAAGGAAACTCGCATGTCGGCTCTGCCAGAAGCGCAAAAAGAAGTGCAACCGGAAAAGCCCATGTTCCATGTGCATCAAGGTGCGGCACCCAAATACTCTCCGCCCGTCCCCAAGATGACAAGAAAAACGACAAAACCGCCGCTGACATATTCCCTCTTTCAACAAACTCCAGCTCAAAGTCGCTTGTCAGCCAAGCGCACCAGCCGCGCCGCGCAAACGCAGGCAGTCAACAAAGGACTTGTTTGCCCGGCTGGCCTGGTGCGAGGAGCAGCTGCGGCGTAATCTTGAGTGTCGCCAGTGTGTTGAATGCACCTCGTCGACGAAAACGTCGACTGCTGAAATAGCAAAGAGGCTTTCAGAGATCAAGTCTGATCCTACCATCACTTCCACATCCACGCCGGCTACTGAATCATGACCATCTGCATGTCCAATTCTAGCAGAGCTGACAATTGGGCAACATATACCTACCTTTTAAATGTATTAATAAGAAACGCTTTCTTTTTTTTTTCTCCCTTCCATTCAGGATACCAAGAATGCAAGACATCAGCCTTTCAGCTGTTGGTTTACGCCGCGATGTGAAGCGCTGGCAACCACTTCTCACTCTCCCCCATCAAGAGTCTCGTAAAATCATCAACGTTGAACAACCCTCGAAAAAAAGCTGGGGGATGGCCTCTTCTTCGTTATTCTAAAAGTGGAGAGCCTCGCTTTCATCGTCCTTTATTGGTCCCTTTCTCATCCCTAATTGCTCTTTTGGGGCATGCGGAGTAGGCGGACGAGCAGGGATGGTCGACGGACTTTGGCGTCAATAATTCCCTAGCTCGCGAATCAGACGAGGCTTAACAAGCCTTCCCGGCCCGTCGAATACGCGGAAAAGGGCACTCTGTTGACACTACATTGGCTGGAGTGTGGCATGATTTGCCGTTGTTGTGTCGCGTGGATTGCCATATTGGATCGGATGCCTGGTGTGGGACGGCCCAACTCTTCCATCGATGGCTACGGGTTCATTAGGAATACTACACAATATACACACTGTTTCACACTCACTGAGGCTCCCCTTTTCATGACACAATCGGGCATGTCGAGTGGCCATGGACATTGCAAGTCTCCGTCTGCGTATAATGCATCTCCAGCCCCGTCTTTGTCTCCGTCCTCGTGTCGGGTGCGGATAGCATCATCTCTCCGACCAAGTATCCCTTTAGGAACAGAGTTTTGATTTGTCTTTACGTCGGTGTTGCACCATTTGCTATACGGCTATCTGTTGCTTACAAACGGCGGTATGAAATAACCAGACGAGCATTGCCCTGTTCCCAGCATAGAAGACGATGGCATCTTGTTAGTGTTTTTGGGCTATTCACCCCATCTTCAACTATACGTGATGGATGAATCGCAAAACTGTCTCGCCGTACCACGTTTTTTCTCTTCTCATGCTCGAGTCCTCTACCTAGCTGTCCGCATAATCTTAGGAAGCCTCTACACCTTGATCTTGTGCTTTTCAGCTAGGAGACTATGCGATGTATGCGGCTTCATGGACGGCCTCGTCGTCCTATTGGTAACGTCTCACGAATTCACGTTGTTTTACTTAGGATTTGACCCAACATCTTTTTTTCAGTGTCTGCTTTCCTTGACGTATAGTACCGTGGATCTTATCTATCCCTCGCTGTTGGATTCGAAATCGAGTATCTACGCGAGCACTCGATTTCGTTGCGATATTATATCATGTCTTGCTTTTACAATTGCGTCAACGGCGTTGAGGAGAGCTATTTCGGAGCAAGTTCAGTATGAGGATGTGTACTGGGAGAGAGATGCTAGTCTGGATGAGATGCGGCGTATTTCGTCCATCTTGACTGGATTTGCGAGGTGAGTGTAAAAAGTCGAGTTGTGATGGATGATGTTGATGCGTTTCAATAGTACGTTTCATATGGGCATGTGCGTGTGGCAGCCTCTATAAGACAGACCCTTTGAAGACGATTGATTCCGAGTTTAATGAACATTACGTTGCAGATATGAGGTTATTGTCTGCCACACGATATGACTACACGCCTTTACGAGACGCTGGATACCACGAACCTACATCTCGACTGATTAGTTGAGGGTTATAAGATGATATACACCATAGAGATGCTTGGATATCATGTTGTCGATGGGATTGAATACCAGTGTCTTACAAAATGAGCGGCTGCAAAGAAGCACGTAAGTTCAAGCTACCTTGGGCTTTGTGACTTGAACAAACTATATAAAGAAGAAGCTTCTTCTTATTTACCAAAGGTGTCCAGAGATGACTACAATTTCTTGGCGTGTCCCTGACTGCATAGTAGTGGTTGGTTTTCATTCACCTCTTCGATTGGATCGCTCTTTAGTAGGACTCATACGCATCGTGAAAAACACACCCCGGTCATCTAGTGATAAAACCCCTTAGAATTAAACGCTCATCTACCCTAGAAAAAAAATAAGAACGTTGGAGTCATTCAGTGAGTGAAAGTGAGTAACCAGTTGCATAAACACCGTTTCAAACCGATGAAACAAAATAGCCATGGGCTTTTATAAATGTAGACTTGAATATTGTTACCGGGTAAGATTGGGCATCAATAAGACTTCAGCCTTGGGTGCGGCTCAAGGATCCCGTAAACGCCGTCGGCATAGCGGCGGCAGTGGTTCAGTTTGCCGACTTTGGCTTTTGCCTTGTGTACAGTGCGTGGGAACTGTATAAGTCTCCCTCTGGCCAACAGTCCGGATACATCGATCTATCTGTCGTGTCCCAGGACCTCTTAAGCCTCGCTAATGCCATCAGAGCTAAGCTCGACGAGAGTCAAGAGTCGGGAGGAGAGGTTTTCGTCCGTCTCTACCGCGAATGCAAGTCAACCAACAATGAACTTCAAAGTATACTTAAAAAGCTCAAGGTTCGAGGCTCCTCCAAGATTGAGCTGGCCGCGGATGGTTTGCGGGTCGCCTTCAGACAAGTTGCAGCCGCTGGTGACATTGAAAAGCTGGCAGATCGCTTGAGCCAGATCCGGCAGCAGATGAACGTGGGTCTTCTGTATCTCTTGTTGTTAGTCAAGCCCTCCACCCTTCTCAAGCAAGTCGCATTTGTCATGCAAAGAGCTGGGTTAGCCTAGTTCTTATTATGGCCGATCAGGGATGAAGCCGGTAAGAATGGCGTAGAGTTGCGCCAGTTTGCAAAGCAACAAGCAGATATGATTGCCACTCTTGATCGAATCGACAATACTACCAAACAGTTCAGTACGGGTAACATTGACCTCATCGACAAGTGGCCAGTAAATCACCAGACGGAGACCGACGAGATGGTGCGTTATGTGCTCAGTAATAAGTGGTGGACAAGCAAATATGCAGAGCAAACAGTGTTTGATAAGAGCCAGGACATTGAGAAACTCAGAAAAGTGTGTCAGAGTCTGTCTTTTGAGTCCATAAGCCATCGAGAGCAAGGTATTCTTAAACGACATACGGCAACCTTTGAGTGGATATTCCACGAGCCGCAAACATCGGAAGACGGCAACGTTCTCTGGTCAAATTTTCCACAATGGTTGCGGGGGGACTCATCGGATATTTACTGGATTACTGGTAAACCAGGTGCCGGAAAGTCCACGCTGGCCAAGTTCATCTCACGAGACTCGAGGTTTGAAGCCTTGCTGCAAGAGTGGGCAGCCGAGTCCCAGCTCTTCATTATTCGTTTTCTCTCTTGGACCTCGGGAGCGAACAAACTAGACAAGTCTCAGGAAGGCCTTTTCAGAACACTCATCTTTGAAGCCATTCGACAGCGGCCTGAGCTTGCAATCCTCATCTTCCCCGCGCGATGGTTTCTTCTTCAGTCCTTCAATGGAAACATCAGCCTGCCAGCCCTGACAATGGACGAACTGAAGGTTGGCTTTCGGAGCCTACTTTCTGCGACCGGGGACACACTGAAGCTGATGATTCTTATTGACGGCCTAGATGAGTTTGACCAAGGCCACCATGAGCATCACCGCGGTTTAGTTCGCCTCATCCGCGACGCCAACGCAGAGACTGGGGTGAAGATTTGCGTGAGCAGTCGGCCATGGAATGTCTTTAGGGACGAGTACGGAAGAAACCCAATGTTGCAGCTCGAGAATCTGACCCGAGAAGACATTAAATCGTTTGTCCAGGACCAGTTTCAGCTCAGCCCGGGCTACCGCGACTTCGCGGACACCAACCAACAGGCAGCTTACAAGATCATCACTGACATTGTGGACAAATCCCAAGGCGTTTTTCTCTGGGTATCTGCGATTTCGGGCTTGTTAGAGACTGCGCTCCAGGAAGGGACCAGCATCTCAGACTTGCAAGCCACCATTGATGATCTCCCGAGCGAGATTGCTGACTTATTCCGCTACTTTTTGCCAAAAGTTATATGCACATATAACAGATAATTATACTTCATCTCGTAGCACATTTTTTATTCTTGGTAGAGTTGTGAAGCCTGAATAATACCTTCTAAGAGGCATGCAGAATCTGTTTCATCTTTTGTTCAGTACCCAAGTTCCATTCCGCCTGCTGGCTCACCCAATTCCGCCGACTACAAAAGAAGACGCCATGATCACAGCCTGGCTGTCTTAAAACATTTACTATTGGCTAGTATCTGAGGTGTTTGGACACGTGCCTACTCCAATTCCCAATTAATCTCAAAACCATGATCCATGTGGCCGATTTTGACAGCGGCCTCGGTGGCTATGTATAAACGGTTAAAGTTGGAGGTTAGGAGCCACTCGTGCCTAGAGTGATGTGGTCAGTAACTAGGTATGACGCCTTCCGGATGATACTTGAGATCATTTTTTGATGTATCTAACCTCAAGTTCCAAGCCACAGAGCCTCAAACAATGGGAAAATTCCACTCATAAGAATAGGTGAATAATAACGCATCCAGCCACCCAGCCTCATCCATCGAATCTCGACATCTCATGCCATATGTGGGAACTCAGCTGTCAATGTACAGAGCAGAATGACGGTGAAGCAGCCCAAACGATCTGCATTGTCGTGCGGATGTTTGGTGAGTTGACAAAGCCAACGGGCGTTCCATTAGGAAGAGTACAATTTGGAGAAAAGCGGTTGAATTTGACCATTTTCAAATGATTGATGGGATTCAGTGAAGGATAATGCTGTTAACTTTTAGTACAGGAGGAGGCCGTTCTGCTACGAAGCTTTCAGGTCTTTGTACGAAATAGCTAATAGAGTTTCGGCACTTAAAGCATTGCCTAATCAACTACCATACAATTCATATCTAAACTCAGTTTATCCAGCTAAAAGGAGGCTCGGTGAAAATATGATGCAGCTTAAGCGGGAAAAGATTGCGATGGGGCGATACTGTCACTGTAATGCATGGGAAGTCCCCACAAGTGCAGTATTGTGTAACAGGTGAGTTGGCAAGGCTGCATCGTGAACACGTGTATACGACGTATTGACTCTTGATACCATCTGGTGGTGGTATACTGATATCGTATTGTCTCCTTGCATCGCTGCCCAACCTAGGCCAGTTTGAGGAAGCACTGACTCTAACTATTCTACTCCAGTCTTACTACCACTCGTTACCGCGATATTGTGAAATAGATGCTTGGAAAGAGACATGATGGAATAAGTATCATGTGTATTGAACATGTTCTATATATACTATAGCTATGCGGCCAATGCTTGAATGAGTGCGAACTCTAATACGAGATGCCACTTGTCTTTTGGGCTTTAATCTGTTGACAATTCGGGCGTATTTGGAACTGGATCAAGTATCAGCAAAGAGATAGAGCATATAGTTGAAGCAAATCGGCGACAGCCTCATGTCCATTCTTCGTGGCCCATGATAACGGCGTGTAGCCTTTACAGTCTCTCGAACCAATCTCTGCCTGGCCTGTGGCGAGTAAAAGCTTGACAATGGCCTCGCTCCCACTCAACGCAGCTAATAGCAGTGGCGTCCGGCCAAATAAATCCTTTACATTGATATCAACCTGGCCCGTGGCAAGCAAAAGCTTCACCACACTCTCGTGCTCGTTCGTCACGGCCCATGACAATGCCGTCCAGCCAGTAGCATCCTTTGCATCAATCTCTGCCTGGCCTGTAGCAAGTAAAAGCCTGACCACAGCCTCATGCCCATTCTCGGCGGCCAATGACAACGGTGTCTGGTGATTAGAGCTCTTTGAATCGATCTCAGCCTGGCCTGTGGCTAGTAAAAGCCCGACCATGGCCTCGTGGCCGTTCTTTGCAGCTGATGAGAGTGGCGTCTGGCCTTCTTCATTATCTTTCACATTGACGTCGACCTGTTTCGTAGCAAGCAGAAGGCTTGCTATGGCCACATGCCCTTCCTCTGCAGCCAGGAATAGCGGTGTCCGATCCTTTAAACTCTTTGTATCGATCTCAACATGACTTATAGCAAGTAAGAGTTTGACCATGGCCTCATGCCCACTTTGCGCGGCCAACGCCAGCGGTGTCATGCCGTCACCATTTGGGGTATCGACTCCAATAGCAGTCATGCCATCGCTCTGTAGAATGGCGTTCATCACTCCCTTGAGATCATACCTCGCTGCAACGTGGTCAAGATGGATATTGTCTATAGGGCAACCATCTGAATCCTCGTCCATCTCGTTATAAAGCTCCGTCCAGATATCTGATAGATCATCTTCTGGCCAACCAAACAGCTCCAAAATTCCTTCGGGTGCGATAGTATAATTCTCACTTTCCTTTAGGTGTGTCATCCATGAAGAAATAGCATAGTGTAAGAAAGGATAATCGCCATACAAATTTTGTTTTTCGTAGCTTGTGAATTGTACGATTTCTTCCATTGCAAAGTACTGTATGCAACTCTTGGATAATTCCAAGTGTGACCTTCCAATTGCTGTATCGCGCGATATTGAACCTCCAACAATCTTCCCAACTAGCTTTGATAAGCCTTTGTCGGTGAAGAAATCTTTGACTGACTGATGGATGAACTGGACAATGGGATTGGGCCCCATTGTAACCTCAGCAAGTCCTTGACTGAGTTTCACAATCTGCTTCTTCATACGACTGTCGTCTGGTATATAATCGTTTGCATTCTGGCATGCGTTGAGCGAGGAATATTCGGCATTGATAGCCATAGCCCATCGTAGCTCACTAACCGACAATGGCCGTTTGGCGAAGCAAACCCATTTGATTAGTTTCAGCGATGATGGCGTCATACTGTGAACGAGTCCGTCATACAGCTCGTCGAGGCCCTTCGGAATAGAATGCACTGCCGCCGCGATCTCGGTTGGTCCATGGCCATTTAGTCCAAGATGCACAACATGCTTCACCACCAGCTCCGCCCACAGAAAAACACCAGAAGCCCGATCAATAATTAAGGCTGGGATCGTGATTGGTATTGATTCTCCAAAGGAAGATAGTTCTGACCGTACATAGGTGGAAATATCTCCTCGGTTCTCCTTCTCGAGGCATAACTCCAATGCACTGATAGAGCTTAGTATTGGGTAATGGCGACAGCTGAAACAGATCCGGAGTTGTTTGCCCGAAGAAGACAGAGGCCGCATCTTTTCGACCAAAAGTTGAAACTTGCTGGCCAGATCTCTTGCATTTTTCTCGCCACACTCATCCAGCGCATCAACAAACAGCCAGACCGAACGGATTGCCAAGACACTTGTAAGAGACGATTCTAAGAAGCGCCATAGATCGTCTGGATGCCATCTCCACTTCTCTTGGTAGTTGCCCATGGCCCTGCACTTTTGTGTATATGTATCGACAAGATCTAGCAGCGTATCAGGAGCTTGCTTAAGAAGTTGATAAAGAAGCGATCGGAATAGGCCAAACGGAGTCTTTTGAAGTTCATTTCCACGGCCGCGGAAGAAGAAAGAGATGAACATGTCGTCATTCGCAGTATTGGAAAGGCTTTGGTGAGTGAAGGCGTGTTTCAAAAGTGTGGACTTGCCCGAGCCTGGCTTCCCTTTGATCCAAAGAAGTCCATGACTGGATGAGATCCAGCTTATATATGTCTCATGTTGCAGCAGCCATTTGCATGTTCCTGAGAGAGCATCGCTAACCCCAGAGGCATGGTCTTGCACATGCTCAAAGGCCAGTGATTGCAAGCATTTTTCTATTTGCGCTGGCGATATTTGACGTGATGGATCTGTGAGATTTTAATACCATTTCCATTGAAGCTGGTTCGTTTAGAGCTTGGGTTTGCCACATACGCCTACGCTGCTGAGTTTGTCGTGCCTCTCGGACGAGGCTGCGAAGGAGTCCAACCACTTTTTCATCCTCATCACCCTCTGGCCCAAATTTGACCATGGGGATGAGCGAATTAATATCCATACCGTGATGTGGCACGCCAGAAAAGGCGATTCCATACACGGCTCGTAATAGTTTTTGATCTTCCTCGTCATTTGACTTGTAGAGGGATATAAAGGTCTAGTCTCCTGTAAGTGGACTCTTTGGACAAGATTTGCGAGTACTAATACCTGCTTGAGAACCAATCCGACTATGCTGTGGGCAATGAATACGATGGGCTTAAATGCGCCTGCAACCGCCAGCTTTCGAAGGTGCCGATGAAAAGCTGTCCCTAAATCTTGCAGATTCTGGAAACTGTCGCTCTGAACAGAGTTTGAGTTGTAGCCATATACCATGATACGCGAAATTGGTTTGTCGTCACTTTTTTCAGTTACATCATACGAGAGTGCATCTCGCAACCACATGTACTCCCCTTGTCGTTCTTTGAACGTTCCGAAAGGGCGTCCACCGAGGCCAGAGATTACGATAATGCTTGACACTGTTAGTATTGTCCAGAACGCAATGTCCACGCCAGTCACTTACTCGACTTCGTGATCCGGCGAGAGAGGAGCGTACAAGGTTGTGACACCAAGAAAGGCAGTGTCCAGCATCAGGCTCCGCGGTCTACTGTGTTGATCAGACGAAGGTATATATAGAGCAATACCTTTGACTGGGTCAGCTAGACGTTCCTGTAGTTGGCTGGGAACACGTTGAACAGTGACTGTGGCCGTCTGCGAACGCCCGTGGGTTTCATTGGCCAAAGTCTGGACATCCGGGCTGGTATAGCTATTTTCCGCCAAAAAAGATGCCAGTCCGTCGCGATTCCAGTCGTGAGGCACACCTCGTACGCGGAAAGTCTGCCTTTCACTGGGCAGATTTTGGCCGCCAGTCGAAAGCGATGCCATCGTGAGGATGACATATATGACGACCGACGTTGTATCGACAGTTGTGTGCAGATTCGGCAATTCTAGCAAGAAGGACAGCAATTGTTCCTGTAAACATTCGGTCAATTCGTTCAAGTCTCGCGAGACCTTTGGGTTGCAAGGCTGTGCATGGCTGCCTAATAGGTATTACAGCCAATCACTTACGCGCATTCATGTTCCTGAGAGGCTGCTGGTGTCGCTGCGTGCGCACAGCTTAATGGCACAATACGAATGGGATGAACATGATGAAGGAATTGAAAGACTTCACATGGCTATCCCCAATAGGCTTCTGTTGTGTGTTTGCTTTTCAGGTACCCAGGTATTTGGTAAGTGAATGAGTCTCTCGACTCGATAAGAGCCGGCTGCGTTTCTTCAACGACCTACCTTACCATGTATTTCATCGCCTTACATCGACCTCGAGCTCGGAAGTTGGCGTCATGAAAGAAACACACTGAGAAATGCGTGTTATGATTATTGGGGCACTTACATAGCATGGTTATTCAGTCATTGGCCAGGCGAGTGAGAATCTCATATGAGATGTTCACTGATCAACATGAGTAAGGCCCAGAGTGGATGATCTCAGCGGCAATAAACGCAAAATGGCCCGTAGATGGTTATCCCCAACTCTATTGCAGCTCACAAACAGATCGGTGTTTGTAAGTTGGGAATAATAGACAATGAAAGCTGCCAGTGTTTTAAACATATCATACGAGCTCTCACTTGCGAGCGCCAACTGTTCTGTCAAATATCGCATTTTAATTTGCAGGGTAAGCAGACAATCTGCCGCATCGCACCCTTGCCCGGGATTTGATGCCCAAAAAGGCAAAATATCGATTAAGCTAACTGATAATCTAGATCTTGAGCCTAAAATACGAGCCCACCGGGCCTCACCTGCAAGCGCTTACACAGAGCCTGAGAAATGGGCAGCAGAGATGCATTTATTTCTCATGTATCGTACAAGGCTTCTAATCATTATCAATTGTTCGCAAAAGTCGCGGGTGCGGAATCGATAAGGAATGCACGTGTCGTTATCGCACAGCCGACGGCAGGGTGTAGCTTATCGTAAGCGAGGAGCCGAAGTACGTACTGGAGAGAGGTAGAGAGGAAAAAGAAGCCGGAGCAGAGACATTCTTCACCCAACTCAATCTCGCCGTCGACAATGCATCAATCGACCCAACGTCGAGCAATGCAATTCGCATCACTTCCAATGCAAGGCGCACAGCAACGCGTAAGCAGTCGTCCATCGTTCCATCATCCGTCTGTCGATTCTGACCAAGCCAGGCAACCTGCTCTCCCCGACTCGCTCTTTATAGGCAGCGCATACTTGTTACTAGAAACGCAGCATATTCGACGGTTCCGCGCCTCAGCCGAGATGGCCGACGAAAAGGACTTGGGACTAGACGCAATAGGCCAAACGGGATCGAACAAAAGAATGTGGCTCGCCCTGCTGGCCAATCCCACGGCCGTCGACGCTCGCTAATCTGGGGTCTTGACTCGGCGAATCCTGCCTCTGCATGCTAGGCCAACGACAGACCGTCTCTGCTAGCCTCGAGAGCGCGGAATACGGATCGCTCGGCAGGCAACGTGCGTGCGGTTGGACCCGTTTTGGCATCACGCAGCTGCTCTTTGGGAAATCAGTCAACGTTGCGTATCCACTGGCGATGGGGCTTCGTCTTTCAGCCGCGCCGGTTTGGGCTTCGGGCCAAGGCAGACTGCAGACTGCAGACCAAAGGGCGCGACTGGCAGGCGAGGCCTGTGCCCGTGCTGCGGCTCTCCTGTATAACGCTCTGATGTCTCTGGCCGGGACCCTTATTTCCATCGTGCTCTTGTTCCCCTTGAGTTTGTTCTGTTCTTCTCTTGTTGTTTCTTCTCTCATTGTGCCCAGGCAAAGAAAACCAAGGCTACAACACACACAACACGATGCTGCATCTACTACTGCTTCCTCTCCTCTCTACAGGGGCTCTTGCTGCCAGCAGCAGCGTGACCCTGACCGGCACTGGATGTGCCGATTCGTCTGGCTTCGAGAGCTGTCAGAAGCAGGCAAACGACCAGATGAGCTCCTGTATTGCCCAGGCCAAGAAGGACAACAGCCAACAGGAGCTACTGGCCTGCGGATGTCAAAACTACGTCGACAACTACAACTGCTATTCCGCCTTTTGCTGGAACCGAGTCTGGCAGTGCGAGTACCAAAACTACATCACCGACTATTTCCTCAACTGCCCCATTGCCAAGCTGCCTGTGCCCTATTTCCCGACGCCAAACAACGCCCCTAATGCATGCTCATGCAACCTGGGCAAGGTATTCCTCGCCTACCAGGATGCCATCCAGGAGACGGCAACCTGTTCAAACAATGCAAACTCGGGCGATGCCAGCAGCAACCTTCAGCAGATTCAGGGGTGCGACTGCTGCGAAATTAGCGGTGCCATCTCAACGTAAGTCTCAAAGAATATCATTCGTGTTTGCCCCTCTGCTTTGCATTCATACTAGGAGACCTGTCTGTGACAAACCTTTATGCTAATCAAGCATCAGCTTCCTCAACATCTGCCCTGAAACCGATCCCGCCCTCCTTGGCCTGGGAAACGTGAACGCGCTTGAGTCACAACTCAACACACCATTTGATTCATGCGGCCCGTATCTGGATCAATATGACTGCATCAAGGACCTTGGATACTCTCTCGATGGAGTCAGCACATTCTACAAGCCGACGAACCTTCCCGCCACTGGAACAGCAACGCTCAGCAACAATGCCGGAACTGTGACCGCGCCTGCTAGCGGATCAGTCTTTACTTACACTAATGGCGGCGATGGAACCGTCTATACCATTACCGCTGCAGGCGTCAAGGGATCTAGTGGCTCCGGCTCCGGCTCTGGTTCAGGATCAGGATCAGGATCGGGCTCTGGCGACGGCTCAGGTTCCAACGACTCTCAGACTACCGCTTCTGACAACGGAGCCTCAAATACCGGAAGCTCTGCACAGGACAGCACTGCTGCTGCTGCGAGCCCAACCAAGACTGGATCGGGCAAGAATGCTGCTGGAGTAGTCACTGCAAGCCTTTATTTGGTAGCAGCGGCGATGGCTATGCCTCTCCTTGCTTGCTTTTAGACGTTTCATAGACATACGATAGATCCGATAATCAATATCTACGACACAATTTGATTCACAACAAGACGTTGCTTATAAGACTTGGTCGCAAGCAGACAAACAAACTCTGTGAACAATTTCTTTCATTAACTCGATCAAAAACGAAGACCAGATGAGTGAACATTGTGAACAAATTGACGATTCTTTCATCGGATCGATCAAGAATTGGTACCAGATAAAAGTGGTCATTATCTACCAAATAATCATCATCTCGATCAAGAATCATGACCCAACAAGAGTATCATCGTGAACAAGCTGACGGCTTTTTCGCCAACTTTACTAAGAATCATGACTAGACATAGGTGATCGCCGTGAACAAACTGACATTTCTTTCACTAGATCGATTAAAACAAGTCAAGATCATTCTCTATTCAGGCCAAAATCTATCAGTGCGGACTCTTGTGCTCTCTACAGAATCTATGCATATCGCTCCAGTTGCTCCAACAACGCAGGCCAGTAGTGCGCTGGATAATTCAGCCAAAAGTTACCCTCCAAATCTCTTCCCATAATAACAATGACGTTTGTGGAGAATGGACTCGTGTCTATGCTCTGTGAATGGTAATAAACTGGACGGCCCTGCTTCCCATCAGGCCGGACCGTCTCTGCGCTCTTTACAATCGCTGGGCTAAAGTCTACCGTTTGTAGAAACGCAGCTTTGCTCCAGTTGGAAAAGAGGAGAAGGGCCATATTGCTTTCTCCAAACATGGCAGGGTTTCCGGTGACGCTCATGGATTTGTAGGCTAGAGCAGCGAAGGCCTTGATTTGCTCTTCGGTGAGTTGCTCGAGGAGAGCCTTTCGACTCTCGAGTGCTAGTTCGCCAATGGTCTTGTCGACGGCTTCTTGGCTGGTGTACTGGACAAAGGCGGCTGCTGGCGCGTTGCAGACGTATGCGGCATCTTGCTGAAAGACTGACTTGACACGGCTACGAGGGTCGACGGCTTGTAAGGCTGTAATGGGGCGGCCGGGGGACAGATTCCTCGCCATTGTTTTCGTTGCCAGTGCTACAATAATGTCATTTTCACTGATGAACGCGGGCGAGCTTCCAGCAGTGCTGGCCTCTATTGATTGCGAAACCTGGTTTCTGGCATCCCGTACAAAAGCATCCATCATCTTTTTCGGAATGCAAACAAGCTTCAGTTCGATGGGTGAGTTCCACCATGACTCAAAAATGAATCGAAGTCCAAACGAAGCGAGTCCAAAGCCCGTGAGCTGTTTGTCGGCCAAGACAAACTTTTCCGTCGGCTCTGCTTTGTAGAGTCCAGCCATGGTATCTTCGAAAAAGCCCTTGAATGGAGGTACGGCCTCGGGTTTGCCTGCCAGGACGAGCTGCCATGCGTTGATGACGGCCATGAGACCTGCGAGATCACTGATGCAGTGGCTGAAGGTGATGGAGACTAGGGTGGCATCTGTGAAATTGACGACGTGAAGGCCGTATATCGGATGGTCGGAGTAAAAATAGTCGTCGATGCATTTGGGTGCTCCCGGCCCGAGGGCTAGTGATTGGTAGTTTCGGGCGCTTGGGAATATCGTCAGCTTGTCTGTTGCGCTGGGCAACTTGGATGCTTCTGGATGTTCTGAAATGCGCATGTCGAAGCTCTCCTTTGTAAAGCGAAGCGGCGGTCGCTCCTCTGTAAAGGGACAAGGAATGTGAATCTCAGCTGATCCATCGGGCTGAGCTTGAGTCAGCCAACCATTCCCAATGCATTGATGCCAATTGGCCATTGACTTACTCTGCGTCGAAGCCTTCCGCCAAGCTTCCGCCAGCCCTCCATCTGAAAGAGCCGAGACAGCGAATCGCCCAGCAGATCCGCGTCCAGCACCTCGTCGAATTTAAAGGTCCACACGAGCGTGAATCCCCGCAGAGTCGCCGTATCGTCGAACAGATGCAAGGGCGCAATCTCGTCCGTCGGCACGATTGCCGGGGCCGATCTCTTTGGCCCCATGCCGAGGAGCTGGTACAGATACGAGGCCATCTCCAATGGCTGTGTCGAAACCTGGAGCTGGAACTTGCCGATTGCAAAGTGTTGTTGGTGAAGGAAACGGACGAAGTTGAAAAATAAAGTTGCTTCGTCCATCTGACCGCTCAGCGGCCCCTTGGAGGATCTGTTGTGCTTATTAAGCTTTTCCCGTTGAAGGCTGACGCTGCCTTGTCGCCGTGGAAAGTCATCAGTGGTGACGGAATGCGGGTTGTTGTACAGAGAGTTTCCAACTGGCTACAAGTTTTAAAATGACTGAAAACGTGTCTGGGTCGTTGTGATTTTGATGAGCTCGTCTTTACATGGACTAGTGAAGGAATTGGTGCAAATCCCATTGATCAAGGATTTGGAAGAAATGAAGGATAAGAGAGGGGAAAAGAGAATACAACATCTTGCACGCTCAATTAACAGCATCACGATATTCGGCATGATTCTAGAAAAAGGTGACAGGCACGAGCACGTCTTGGAGTGGGCGCTGCTCTGCTGCCGAGTAACGTCATGTCACAGCCCCCAGTAAATAAAGATGTTACGTTGGTGGTAGGGCTGGATTGCAATCTCGTCAGCGTCGGCGTAATCTTAACCGTCTTCTTCAGCGTAATTGGTGTAGCGATGCAGCCGGAAGCCAACACAAGCCCTGTAGCTTGTGGCGAGTCATTGTGCATCCTTCATCGTCGACTCCTAATAAGGGGCTTTGTACGCCTCAGTCTCTGCTTTGAGATTTTGTGACGTCTCGAGGCTGTCTAGTTATATCACATTTCAATAGCGCCCGGCTCCATGTCTGTATATTCGTCGGTCAAGATCTTTGGCCGTTGTTTGGCTCCTTCGGTCGGCCGGTGACCTAGATTACCACGCCCATTGGCTTGATCTACCGGGTTTAAGGCCTCGTGGTAAAAACGTGGGCAGCATCGTGGTGTCTCGTCTACGCTGATCCGGCAAAAGTGCCCGGACAAGAGGGGCGATTCGACACAGCATAAGCTAACATGGAAGTTGTCTGGACTACAGAGCAATAGGAGACAGCATAGCGAGCTCTTGGTGCCAGGGAGCAAAATTGAACCCTGTCCTGTCCTGTCCTGTATGCCGCCTGTCTGGTGGACTAGCGTAGAGACGAGCAAGCGGTTGGATCCCATTTTGACTTTTGACAGGGCTCAGTTGAAAGCTGAATACGGGGCGATGGTCAGTGTGAAACGTTGGTCTTTATGTGGTCGTCGCGTCCAAGGGAGAAGCCACGAGCACTCTGCGTCATTGAGGGCCTAACGTTGAGTGCAAAGTGGTCGAAGAGCCAGACACAGATGGACACGCTGTTTACGCTCCAGATGTTCACACACAACCGTGCCATCATTATACCGAGAAGAGAATTAAAGGGTCTGCACAACAGGCAATAGGCGAAATGGCTGGCTTGAGCCAAAAAATCACTGTCTGCTGTGCCTGGCGACGGTGATTTCGCCGAGCGCCACGGGCCAAACTAGTGAAGCCAACGTGTTTTATGTGCAACCGGCAACTTCGATAGATTCCCGTAGCCTCGAGGGATGGCGTTTGCGTCCCCACTCGGTGCTTTTCGCATCTGGCTGAAGTCGTGATTTTTTTTTTCGATCCATGAGATCTCCCTCCCTCCCTTCCCCGCCGCTGCAGAAATGCCCGTGTGCCTGAACTAGCCGCTGCCCTTTTTCTTTTCTTTTCTTTTTCTTTTGCTGTCCACAAAGTGGTGTCTGTGATGTCTAGAATATGAAATGCAGGTGTGACACTTTGGTCAGGTTTTAAGAGACAAGTTAAGCTTGTTGGTCTTTTGTGCCCTCTATTGTGCTCAGTGTTACCGAGCAGGCGAGAGAGGGGTTGCGGTATTTATGTTTATGCATCAAGTCAGTCTTGCCGCTTCTTCTACTCTACGGACGCGCAGACTACAGTAGTCCTTGATTTTTTTCTCTTCTCTCCTTTGCTTCCCCGGGACTCTTTGTTTTGTGGCCGCCAACACCAGCCTGTGGACAAATCGCCCAGCCAAAAACTAGCTCTGACCAGCTGAAGCCAAGGTGCAGTAGCCGAATCGCCCAGGCCCCCTGTTAGCTCCAACAGGCTCTTGTTCCCTTGCAGATGCGCTGTACCACTGCAGAATATGCGTGAGCAAGGGCTTCTGCGTGGCTCCAGTGTCTGAACGGGCCTAGTCTTGGCTTCTTGCTGGGCTGAAGTGGACAGTCGCGTAGGATGGACAAGTCTCGGTTAGGCGTCATGGGAGGAGTGCTGAGTTGTGTCAAGATGTCAAGATTTGTGAAAGATAAAAGGGCCAGCTATCGATGAGAAGTCGTTGTTGAAAGGAATGCCATGTGATGGTACTTGCCTCGAGTTATCCAAAGATTCACGTCATGCACTGCCAATAACTTTTTATTTCTGCAACCGCATCTCATCTCATCTCATCTAGCCCTATGCACATGCACATCCACATGCACATCCACATCCTGCACAACGCTGGGCCGTTGATCCTTGCCCACTGCGGGCCAGCTCAGCCCAGCAGCTGATTTGGTTGGCTCGAATGCTGATTTGATTTCTATTAGATCCCATCACAGCTCCGATTCCCAAGTGCTGTGGACCCCCCTCTGATGCCAGCCCAGATCGCATCGAGTCCAGATCGTGGCCCATGTGGGCATCGAGTCTCCCACAGGGCGGATTCTGCCGAGGCGCGAGCAGCACAGAAAATGCTTTCAAGGCTTCCTTTCTTTTTCTCTTTGGCCCTCTTATTCGACGGCTTCTTGTCTCAGGCCGCCGCGCTGTTGTCCTGGAATGGGTTAGATGGCTCGGTTCGTCGTGGGACTATTGCCCTCGGCTGCCTCGATGCCCCCATGATAGGGACGGCATACGCCTTGTGCAAGCAAGCCCTGGATCGTGGCACGCCGACTTGGGTAGCCGAGTTACTAATGCACGCGGGTTCATAAGCGGACTTGGCCTGGCACTTCTTTCTCCATCCATCCATGCTGCGCTCGAGGCCGCCTTTGGTCCCGGACCCGTGGCTGCGGCTTTTCTCTCCCATGCATATGCATATGCTTAGCCGATGCGTTGTTGACGGTACTAGAGATATAAGGTACCGACCGTATCAACTCGACGAGGTCTCCCCCCCCCCCGTCTTCTCTTCCTTGTGAAAGGGGATAGATACTGATTCGTCTGTGTTCCAGACTCCCCCCGGCTGGTGTCTTGAGCCTTTGATGCCTGGGTCTGGGAATATGACTCTCGTTTGATCAAACGTTTTCTTCTTCTTTTCTTTTCTTTTCTTTTCTTTTCGTTTTTCTTGTCGACGCCCGAAGCCGCCGGTATCCCGGAGCGAAACAACAGAGAAGACGACGACGATGGCGACGCCCACGACGCAGCAGCTCCTGGAGGAGTACACCGGCAAGGTGGTGCCGTACACGTTCAACGGAGGGTTCGTGTGCCTCAGTTACGCCATTAGCTTGGTTGGGACCGGAACGGCACTGGAGTTGATTAGACGGAGAACTTCACACAGAGGAAAGCACAACTTGTATGTGCCCTTTCGGTGCTGGGCTGCCATGTAGCTGATAACTGACACTGAGAATCACAGCTTCTTACTAGTCGGCGCTGCCATTGCAATGGGAGGCATTGCCATCTGGTCCATGGTACGACACAACCACCACATGGGAAACATTAATGATTGAAACTACAAGTCTTTTGAACCTCAGTGCATGTCAAGCTTGCTAACATAGTGATCTTCACGAGACAGCACTTCATTGGCAACCGAGCCATCTACATGCTCAACGGCGAGCCAGCCCTCCAAATCGCCTACTCGACCGCCCTCACCGTCGCCTCTCTCCTCGTGCCCATCCTCGTGCTCGTACTCGCCTTTGTCGGCGTCAACGGCAACGGTCGAATCCGATGGTGGCGAATCGTCCTCGCCGGATTGCTCTCTGGCGGCGCCATCTGCGGCATGCATTACCTCGCCGACGCTTCCATCAGTAACTACCGGGGCTCGTATCGCCTCTCCTACCTCATCGGTTCCGTCGTCATCGCCGTCCTCGCCAGCACTACCGCCCTCACCCTCTTCTTCGTCTTTGAGAATACCTGGAGCAGCGCCTGGTGGAAGAGACTGGGCTGTGCCATGGCCCTGGCCGGAGCCGTGTCTGGCATGCACTGGTGTGCCGCTGTTGGAACGAGTTACACCCTCTTGCACGACAAGCCTGGCAAGGGGGTCTCCCGAAAGGATGCAATGGTTGTTGTTATTTGCCTGGTAAATCCCCTCACATCTCTGGCAGACGCCAAATGAATGTTGTTTGAAGGGCATCGAAACTGACTGAGCCTAATGGCACATCCAGTCCATCACTGCCGGTATTGTCATGACCGGCATGGCCATCTATTCAAGTTGGGTAAGACGAGACTACGCCAGCAAGTCGCAACAAGTCGTCCTCGCCGCCGGCGTCTTTGACGACAAGGGCCGCATCATGGTCTCTCAAGACGGATACTTGCCCAGCGAAGTCGTGACAGACACGTACTTTACCAAGGTCAGTTGCTTCTTCTACCCACACGCCGGCCTGCTTGCAGAAACTGACACCCCATGTTTTGCTTCGCTAGTCCAACGACGACGTCTTCAACACCAGCCACCCCCTCTTCCACTGGATGTTTCGTGCTTCTCACAACTGGGATACCATGGCAAAAGTCATGGCCAAGATGACCAACCATATTTCACTTCTCGCGCAAGAGCGCAACATTGGCAGGGCGGGCGTTCGACTCATCAGCGACGATGGCGAGCTTGTAGACGAATACGACACCATTCTGCGCGAGTTATTCTGCGTCACCGCAGACGCCCTAGCTTCCAAAACCAAGGAGACTCTAGCTGGCGTCGGAACATTGTGGGATGAAATTTTTGTCACGGGAGAGTCATCAAGGGTCCAACGACTATTCAACAACGACATGCCCGGCTTACAAAGTGTCGTGGAAAAGGGCATCCAGCGGGATGGCCAGGAGTACGGCCGCGGTTCGCTCATGTTCCTCGTTCGTAAGGTTGACAGCAGAAGGGAGGTGGTGAGACTTGAGGCTTCAGGGTTCCGCTTTGTAGAAGTTCACCAGGTCGCTCCCTTTATTCAGTCTACCATGCGCATCAAGACGCCCGACCTGGAGGCTCGTCTACACAACATGGCCAACCAGAGAGACAAGGCCCCCATGCTATCTCCCGGCTTCCACGTGGGCATGTTTGCCGTCCGCGCTCGACTCGACAGGGGCGGCTTCGACGTGCTCGCACAAAAGACAGCCCGGAATTTGCTTCCCTCTGTGCCGTTGCCCGTGAGCACTCTTGATGCCAGCAATGCTAGCTTTCTCAACGGCCTCCGTGGCTTGCCGCTCTCGACTATTCTACTCAAGCTTCAGAGCCACCAGTCCGCTTCCGCTCAAGATCGCATTTTTGCTTCGATTCTTCGAGACGCCGTTTCCTCGCTGCGAGACTCGCTAGGCGACGAAACATTTGACAACGCTACACTCTTGCCCAAGGTAGTGCAGCTCCCGTGCGCTCCCTCTACTAGAACGAGCAAATCTCTTTCGAAATGCGTCCTCATTGCGTTCCAACTCGTCCTCCCCATTCATGCCACTGTGCTCTCAACCGATTACGAATTCACCCCTCTCAACTTCTTCAAAATGCGCCAACTTACGTACGAAGGCTCTTCTTATAACATCCAGTTCTCCCACATGGTCCATCGCGACATGTCTTCAACAGCACATGAGCTGCCATCACCTCCGCGGCGGTACAGCGGTATAGCCCAAGTGAAGAATAAGCTATTTTCTCGAGCCATAGGCAGGGTTAGATATAAGCTATCTGGACACAACAGACGTACTACGGCTCTTGCATTGGCACCTACAAGGAGCCAGGAGCAGTTGTCAAAATCGGTGTCGCATCCCAGCTCGATATACAATGGTGACGACGGCAGCTTCGATGACGCCCGCAAGTTCTCATCAGCAAGCCAGTCCCACTCCGGGAGGGGCGCCCATAAGAGTCAGGGTAAGAGTATTCACGTTTTTGGTGGCATCATGGTGTCGCAGGAGGTGTCCATCAACGTACATGATGTAAGTGGCAGCAAAGTCTCATCCCTTTAATCTCCTTTGTTGGAAGCAAATGTCTAACCGCCACTTTTCCAGACACAGAATCAACAAGACCCAAATGCCCCAGAGCAACAGGGCTCAGAGCTCAAGCCCATCTATCCCCGAGCTGATGCCCAAGGCAAGATGGAAAGTTTCTACACTGCTACTGCGACGGGCGAGAACGGCTTCGCCGGCCAGGGGAAGCAGGATGAGTCTGCTTTTGTCGATGAGCTGCTCGCCCTGAGTATGCAGGCAGACAAACGGGCGACTGCGTAAAGTTTTTAGACGTATTTTGATTTCACATACTAATGATTGGATATTTCTCTACTTTGTGATATGTTGGATATGAGGGTTATCGGCGTTATACTATGGGGTGGTTTGAGCGAGTCATCTTTCTGAACTATGATTTGTATAAAAGCCAATTTCTTGGCACCTGAGATATTCCACAAGTTTTTGTGTTTCTATTACAATCTTGGATATTTTCTTTTTATTCTTCTCAAATTGTCTGATTATGAGGCAAGCGCAGTTAGTTTTGTTGAGACATTTCGTAATCAGATTCTGCCAACTGCACTTACCTCTTTTCCCCCGCTCTACCTCAACTCGCCTGCTTTTTTCCATCTCAACACGTCAAAGAATGGTCGGCAGAAAGATTCTCGGCTAGATTAAAGAAAAGACTCTTGATCTATCAATCGACGATGACGAACCAGAGACTCTCAGAGACGCTTGTGACATTTGCCACTGGAATGGACAAGGCAACTATCAGGTATCCAGCATCGACCGACTTCGCGAAACAAGGCGATCGCTGCAGCTTCAGCCAGGGCAGCGGACTTTTGAATTGTCTCGTTGGGTAATGGAACGTTGATGTCTCTGCTGTGCGATTTTGTAGAAGCTGATGGATAAGAGCCCGCTTGGCGAATTGCACGGTGCAGAGATTTCTATCCATCTATCTTCGGCCGCTTACTTCACCATAGAATGGAGGTATTATTTCAACGACTCCTTTACCCAGAAGCGGATGTTTGCGCTGACAGATAGCTGGGAAGAAGCAGTGGATTTCGTCACCCGGAAGCATAGATGGATGTCTCTTCCGCTGCACAGCACGCAGAAAGAAACAACACTCGGTCGCGATACTTTGTCGGACAAAGCCTCTCGTGGGCCAAGGCGTAGCTGGATAAATGCGTCAAACACCACACTCAGCAACTTTCTGCCATCCGGACCAGGCTGCGATGCTGTCCTTCGCAACAGAAGCGATATTCCAGCTGAATCTCCGGACGTATCCCTGAGTCACTGCTGAGGGCCCAATGGCAGAACCGAAATCAAGTGCCGAGCGTTATCTAGCCATATTTCTTCACACCTCCATCGAATCCCTTGGACTCATTGTCGCAGGCATTCCAAGATGCGGTCGACTTCACCCGCAGACTCGGCATGCGGTTCTTGCGGATCGATTGCATATGCATCATACAGGAGGACAAAGATGACTGGCAGAAGGAAGCGCCGCGAACATTTGATGTATATCATAACGCCCGATTGATTCTTGCAGCTCATCACGCAAGCACCAGTCTCGAATGGCCCTACTCCAAGTCCACACCTGAAAGAGAGACTCGCATAACTCTCCCACCAAAAGCAGCAGTCGAGGTGATGAAAAGAGACGGCGGCAGCATAGAAGAGGGACCAATTGAAATGATTGGTTTGCAGATGGATCCTTTATGTCCTTTCCGCAGCAATTCCAAAGATAATTCCGAGTTGTTAAATTTCAAAGATCCCTTGAGGAACAGCAACCGAGATCACAATGATTGTGGACGTCTATTCACCAGCACCTGGACTTTTCAGGAACGTCTCGTATCACACCGCGTGTTAGTATTTACAACAACGACCTTTCGTGGGAATGCAATACAATGCTGACTTACTATTGTCACAGAAATTCCATGAATACCTCAATCTAGTCAGATTACAGCAAGACACTTGAGGGCACAACCTCCAAGTGGTACAAGAAGAAGCAGGTCACTCTTGCAAATAAGAGATGCAGGCCATGGAAGCGCCATTGCCTACAACAGAAAATCTGACGAAGATGCAAATCTTGATGACATCGTGCATACGAGAATGGTTCTTATGGATTACGATCCGTGGCCGCAAAGCTTTTCAGTGCTGCGTTCCGATTCATATGGCGAAGCACATGCAGCTTCGGATGAGGATTCCAGCGTCTCTAAAGGTGCAAACAATGAATCCGAGGACAACAACTTCGTCTCCCCAGTAGACGGCGCCGGGATGAATGCCGAGCTGATGGATTGTTGTGGATCTCCATAACATACAAAAAAAGACATTACTATCCACGCGGGGGGACTGATATCAGGTAATCTTCATTATTCTCAAGGGAAAAAGTCCTGATGATGATTATCGGTACGAGCGGCTTAGCCTTGTCAAGGTGTCGTATTATACCGATAAGAATTTTGTCACGGCTTTTCGAGAGACCACTTTGGAACTGCCGATGAAGAATTGTGTCATTGTTTAGTTTCGCTTTGAAAATCTTGCCTAGATATCATAGCGAAGCTTCACGCTACTTATGGACGAGGTATTATGGAGTTGAGAGCCACAGTGGTGCCATTCATTTAGCTCGAAAACCACGAGGTCAGTTCAATCTCATCCAGTGACTATCTATCTTTAGCTGTCTGTCGGAAAGCACAGTTGGGCTGATCTTTCTGGCGGTGGGATTTTTAGACTTGATTTTTCGCGAATGGACAGACAATGACGGGACGCAATACTTGGTCAAATTCACAAGATTGCCGGGAGTGAACAAGAGATGGGTCACAACGACAGCACTGGGGAATTATGCAGCAAAGCTACTGCACGACTGATACAAGAGCAAGTACACCTAGTCAGAACCACCTGGCAAAAGCGAAGAGGCCAACTGACAGACAACTGTCACGAAACCATTGCCTCTCCTCAAGACCACCGCACCGCAGCATTATCTGACCGGAATCTTAGCCCTATCTCTGAGAAATACAAACACCTCTCCCAAAAACGTCGCCACCTCTCAGAGCTTCGTTTCAAAAGAAACATCCTCCACCTCAAAACACCAGCAAAACCCCCAATATCACAAAGTACCATACACCCAGATGATGATCAATCGTTTTCGACGCGGTATGGCGTCCTGAAGGCTCGATACCCGCCTCACTTCCTAGATTTGATTGGAATGGACAGCCCGGAAGTCCAGCTGCTGTCTACTCTACTTTACGTACCATAAGACCTACGAGGCGCGTGTTCGACTACGAGCGGATCCGAGCTATGAGGGGTTTCAAGTGAGCACCAAGGTTCCGCTTGAGAAAAGCTTTGTTCCGGGGCCGGGTGAACAACAAAACAGAGGATTAGCAGACAGCCAGGTTTGCTATTACGATACCTCTTTGCTGGCTGAACGGTAGCAACACTGCCATCGATATAAGAAGATGAGATATCCTCGTTGAACAAAAACGGATCAAAGCTGTTGCATGCAACATTATCCACGCTCAATGGTGGACATGAGGGTGAATCTAACAACGCGCCCGGCGCTGGGGGGGGGGGGCTGCGACAGTCGATTCAAAAAATTCCACTGCAAGTGAATCAAGGCTATAGGGTTCTATTTTGTCCATACCGAATGTTGGACATGATAGTAGTCTTGATGGCACTTCCGCAACTGGGGGAACTAAGGTTTCATTTGGTTGTAAGAGATCTAACGAGGGCCGCTTCGACCGTCCATTCGTACAAACAGTCTCCCAAAATTGTCGACTCGTTTGCGTTTTCCTCAGCTTTCATCATCTGGCTCCTTTTCTGAGGAGCACATTCTATCAATTGATGAGTCGGGCTCACCGAGGCTTCTGCTCCATGTTTCTCATGACGACAAAGGAAAGACGGCAGACTCGAATGCCCACGTTCAACTAAGTAACAAGAGCTTCTTACATTGAAGACGCTCTTCTCCAAGCAGGCACAGAAAGTGGCAAGGCCAAGCTTCGGAACCGACAGACCGACGGAACCGATAGACGATCTGATTATTCGTTGACAGCTAGAGAACGCCCCTTCTAACAGGGCTTGGGGGATACCAAACACAACACAAGAAACCTAACTCGTCCGACCACTATAACGACCAGGGCGCGAGAACAAATCGTTTGATCACGGGACCGGTCAAATACCCTTATTAAAAGTACAAATCCTATTTCTGCCGACGACGAAATATCAGAGCTCAAAGCCAGTTGATCCAGTTTGGTTGATGATAAAGCTGACGAAGCTAAGAAGGTGTAAAACTCTCTATTTTATGCTATAAAAAGGGAAAAGCTAGTTGCAAACAGCAGCAAATAGAAGGTGGGCTTGACCAAGGAGAGTGATCACACAGATCCACGAGACAACTCAACAGTTATGCAACATGTGAGGAAAAGATTGAAAGGTTCCAGCGGCGCTGCTCATTCTGTGCCCAGTGGCTCGCTGAACATGAGCCAAGGATTCCTAAACCCTAGTCGACCTGCGTCTACGAATACATTGAACGATGATTTTTTTATCTTGATCACTGATTTTACGTTTTATTGGGTTTCTCTCGTCATCTCTGGTACGCTGGAGCTATCTCACTTGGAACGAACGAGATTTGGGTAGACTAGGATCCCGAGTCGTTTCAGCTTCGTGACTGGATCCCTCATCCGCGCGCCATAACAGAAGGTCGGGAGAGTGTTCTGGGCTCGAGCTGTATCTTGGAACATGGCGGCCATTATCATCTGACACAAGCTCGATTTTGACTCTATGAATTATACAGATTTGAAGAAACATGGAGTTGAAGCAGAGGAAAGATTTAAGTAAGTCCCATGCTGTCAATCTGCTGGTACACAAGCTGAAATTATAGCCACAAAATTGCAGAGCTAAGAGCAACAATAGCGTCCATAATTGCTCGCGACATGAGATTACTATCGCCTATCCGCTATTTTATCTACAAGCTATCTATCGACAAGTTCGATTACATTGATCACTCCGAGAACGGTCTCTATATACCTGGCATTGCCACCACTTCAACTTCACCTTGCCAGTCCCCCATCATCACACTTCAAGGGAGGCTCGCCATATGATGCTTAGATACAACTGAGGCGCTTTTGAATACAGCAGGTTGACAGCGGCTGGATAAAGAAGACACCAAATGTCGTCCATGTGATGGACGATCTCAATCTTGAGACAGATTCTGACTGTGCGAACCTGCCAAGCCGATTGACTGGCTAAGATCCAGATCTATATAAGGATGCCAAGAGGGGAATGAATGGGGCTGGCCTGCA